CGGTGGTGCCATCGCGTGTTGAAGTTGACGTGTCGATATCCTCAGAAGTCGCGTTCCGCGCCCCCGTGTGTTCCGCGCTCACGTGGCCCGCGTTAATGCATCTAGTAAAGCGTGCTTACAAGGTAGTTACTACTGTAATATCAACTGGTGGTACTCCTTCATCCTTTCGTCACGGGTGACTGTCTGTAAGGTACTGGATGTGTATTGGACTGCGCAATACAATACCTCTTCCTCACCTGACCCGCCCGCCGGCCTCTCCCTCCACAACCGTGTACTACGGATATTCGTCATCGAACGGGCACTACAATATTCGCTCACTTGTCGAACATGCTTCTCACTTGAGTTTCCGCGCAGCTGCCATCGTCATACTCAACTCTGCGAGAACGCCAGCAATCACATGTTGTCGCGTCGCAACGTCATGGGCCAAGATCAAGCCGCGACGCCCTCGTCCTTCAGCTCTCGGTCAGTAGCGACGCTGCAGTCAATCCACACCTGCGCCTTCCGAGATGGATGCCCTCTTAGCTATTCCCCAACATGCCTACCAGGCGGGAACGCGAATGCTTCATGATGCACCGGAGGTGGCCAACACGATAGCTCGGAAGATACTCGGAAGTGGAAGCGTAATCGCGGACGCCACCGCTTCAACTGCCAATCTATCTATTGCACATACCGCCAAATCGCTAGCTGCCAGCACGACTGCATCAGTAAAGGCCGGATTCCTACAAAGCGCATCGAACGCGGCAGTTGGAGAGGAGGCCTCCTCATCGTTTGTCATGGGGATAACACATGCGATTGGACGTTTGAAGAACTTTGGAGGAATCTTTTCATACTTGACATCAAGATGGGCTTTAACAACGTTCGTTGTGGTGCGTATGACCGAGGATAGCTGCTGGACATGACGGGATTTCGATTCTGACCTGCGTGCAGGCTATCCTTCTTAATCGGACGCAATTCTACGCCTCGTCTCGTGAACGCCTGCAACTTCGCCGCCCTGTCCTCTTTGCTTTGTACTCGATCCCAATCGGCGCCTTCCTGGCGCAGACCTTGATTATGTTGCAAGCATTAAAGTGCCAGACATCGCCAGACTACCCACTCCTCCGCTATGGTGATCCGGCGAAACTCCCGGCCATTGACTTCGGCGCGGATGGCGGGTTTCTGTACGCCCTCAGCTCAAATCTTCTCTTCTGGCAAGACGATGCCACCTGTTGCGCTGCACGCGGCATGTCGTTTGATCCTTCCGACCAAGACCCGGTCGCTCGTCAAGGCTCACTCGCCCTGCTCTACTGGTTCTTCATCACTCTTTGCATTGGGCAATTCTTTGAGACGCTGTCTTGCGCCTTGCAGGGCAGGCAGCCAGTGCCGGAAACCGGGATGACCATCTTCGAGCACTCTTTAGCATTTGCCGAGTGCGAAGCCATGCTCAGCAACGCCCTAGGTTTTGGCTTCTTCGGGCTTCCAAAGCTTGAAGGCAGCGGTTCCCAGGCGACGCTCGGCGCAACCGCATTCACGTTGATGACGCGTGCTGACGTCTTTCAGAGATTGAACGTTCCACCAGAAGTGCTACTAGTATGTTTGATATCATGCTTTAGCCATTTGAGCAGCGCAATCCTAGCTGTGACCAAGCTTAGAGATCGGGTGAGGCTCATCAATACAGCCATATGGGCAACTTGCTATATGTCTGCATTCTTTTGGAGCTTTTCCAAGATTTTTTCAATGCCCAGCAATCACATCGCCGAGATTGGCGTCTTACGCTTCCCGACGGTCTGTATGGTCGGCTTCATCCCTCACCTACTGATCCTGGTCGGCATACTGGTTTGCGCTTTCATTTACGGCTTGGCCATGCTTGTCACGGCATCATCTATTCCCGCAACCGCTGTTGAGGGATTGACGTTCCGCCAGCGTCTGGCCTGGGCATACAATAATCTGCAAGCAAATGTCCACTTCTCGTCTAACCCGGTCATCCGGATAAAGCTTTCTGAGGACTTCTACACCACGCTACTGAAAGTTGGTTTCAACGTGCTTACAGCCGCTAGCGAGGCCGTGTACCTCAATGAAGGGAGCAGGATCCAAGTTTCACAAATGACTTGGCTCGAACAAAAACGCATCGACCAGATGGCGTCCAATATTGAACAGAGGCAGCGTGCCTTGATCCCACCCCAACTCCTTGATGACGGAATTGCTCGTGGGATTGGATATACAGACCAGCAAAATGCTGCTTTTAGCCAGTCGCCCTACGCCAGAGAACGAAAATCTCGTCCTACCAAGCCAAAGGACGAGACTGCAAATTCTCCTGATACCGACACAGGTGTAGGTCTGGCGCAACGGAGAAGTAGGATGCAGTTAACTACTGATTTCGTCGAGGGAATCTTTTGGCTGCTCATCCGCCTGCAGGCCAGACTAATCTTGTTCGCATTGCGTAGCCTTGGCATAGAGTACCGACCTGCGTTGTTGCTTAAAGCCGCAGGCTTAGGGGAAGGGCAGCAGAATTCAGCACAGCAGCATTCTGTGGACGCATTTGAGCCCGGTCTCGAATTCTATTTGATCGATACCGATGGCCAGTTCAATTTGCCAGTTGATACAAATGTTGACGTTGAGGATGAGATGCGTCAACGTCAGCATCGAGCCGGCACGTTTCAGGATGAGGAGAAATTCAGCGATAGCATTTATCGCTGGTGGCAGCAAGGCGGCTGGTTCGGTGATATTGACACGAGTGGTGAATATGAAGCGCGCGAACTTGAAGATGATGAGACAAGCATAATTACAACGAATGACAGCGATGTCGATCCCTGGGAGGATGAAGACGAAAGGGGGGACGAAGGTCGGCGAACACCAACTCAAGATCATCCATACCCTAGCCGCAGTCGTGATGGTACACCCGTCCCTGATGCCGGCATGGACTTCCGCTCCCTCGCTCGCCTGCTTGATCCACAGACTGCCGCTGATCGAGAAGAGGCGCGCCTTCTTGCACATAGCCTCAACATGACTCGGCCGTTGACTCGGAATCAATATCAGAGAGATGTACAACGCAAAAGCACGGAACTATTGAGTGGATTGCGGTCCAGCGGTCAACCGCGTTTGCAACCGCTCACCGAAGAAGAGGAAGAGCATGATTTGGAAGGGTTCCTTCTTGCTCAGCGAGCAGCTGCAAGAGCGCGGGCGCAGAGAAGTGGAGGCGGCACCTGGGAAAGCGGAGCTGAAGGCATGGGAGCTGGAGGGCCGCAATGTGTTGTGTGCCAATCAACGCCTCGCACCATTTTGGTCTGGCCGTGCGGCTGCTTGAGCATGTGTGATGAATGTCGAGTGGGTTTAGCTGCCCGCAACTACACCAAATGTATTTGCTGTCGGACGGACATTGCGGCGTATTCGAGGCTTTATGTGCCTTAGCAGGTATTTTTTTACACACGAAATCAAATCCGATCGAGAGCGAGTCTTCTAAACCATGTACAAGTCAGTCACGTTGTAAGCAGAACATCACGATGCGCATTCCTAAAGTTGTAGCGCAGGTATGTAGCATACCAGACCTTCAGCGTCGGCGCACTGTGGGCCATGTTGTGATGCAACTAGTGTCGGGATGAGATCACTGCTCACGATTTATTCCGAAAGCCGCTGGGAGGCGGTTCGGCGGCGTCGAATTGCCCGAACGCGCGGTGGTTCCGCCATGCCCGCCTTATATTCGCCCTTCATCTGCGACATAACTGGTATCAACCAACATCAACTCAGCTCACCATTACGAACGCGCGCAAACCTCATCAGCCATCGCAACTGACCCAGACACCTTCTGGCTCAGTTCTCAGATTCTCTCCAGTAATCTTCCGCACGTTTTATGCAACCAGAGCCATCCGCAATCTTCCCAGCAACAGATCTAGCCGAGTCACAGCAACCCCACTCCCTCGACTCCCAACATGGCTACCACGACCACTCAGACAGCGCCACCGGGCCAGCAGCATCAGACGCTGATGCGGCGGCCAATGCTGTCGTCTCGCATCCCGTCGAGCGCGCCGCGTCGGACGCGACGACGGAGCCCTCGCTACCTGCCCTCATTGGAAGGCGAACGAGTCCACAACGCCGATTGAAATCGCCTGATTCACCGTCGCCACCTGCATACAATCGCATTATCGAGTACGAGAATGCCTTGAGTCCATCGCCGAAGCGCAAGCAAGGGCCGGTGTTTGAAGTGATCAAAAAGCCGGGCAATCCAGGTGACAAACGCTCTCTGATACTGGAACTACCGAATGGTCGGTAATTCTTTTTCGTGCATGGTCAACAACAGCTGACTTGTTGACAGAGGTTTTGGTACAATCTCTTGCTCAGCTCTCGCCAACAGATCTGGCATCTATCTCTCTCGTCTCTAAACGCTTTCATGCTCTTGTCAATGGCCCTCATGCATGGCGGAGCGCCTTCGCCCACTTTTTCCCTGGGTCACAGTCCCTCGAGACAGACGCAGATGACTCCGACGATGATGATTCGGGTATCATACGAGTTGCCAAAAGATCATTCACCCGCTTGACTGCGCTTGCTTCGTGGCGTAGCGAGTACATCATACGTACGAGGCTCTTGCGCTCTTTGGCTCGTGGCAAGCCCGCGCAGAGTGCAAGCTCCTCCAATGCTCCGCGTGGTAGCACTGCATTGCCCGTGGTGATGTACAAGTCGCAGCTTTTGACAACTGTCAATCACCTTCACGCAACGTACAGCGGTGGCACCAACAGCCAGCGGTTTCCTCGTTTCATACACGGAGCCGATGATGTCGGAGCCGCCACTTCAAGCGATCCCACCGCACTCAAGGTAGACAATTGGGGTCTCTCTGATCCTCAATTCTTTCTGCAATTCGCAGAAAGATTTCCCGGAGATGCGCAATACGGGCTAGGACCTGCTGAAGTTGTAGGTGTGCCGAACTCTATGGACGTCAGTCGACCTTTCGGGATGGTCTATGGCGAAGGTTTCCCTGGAGGCTTGACGTATTATCGATCGACAGAAGAAATGCGAGGTCGCTATCTGGCTGGTTCGACAGCTCTATCGATGCCAGCTCTTGGCATTCCAAAGCTTGTTCCCGATAAAGAAGCTGTGACAGCTGTCTGGATAGCCAAGTGCAACTCCATACCCTCTGTGAGCGACGGAATGGTCGGCTTATTGACAGGATCATCGTTAGGCGTGATCACTTCATACAGCCTCGGAGCGGTGGCCGGTAAGAACAACCACAGTCGCGATCATCGACTCGATCGAGGCGAGGTGACCGCACGCTGGGTCTTAAGTCCGGGGGTCCCTCTTGTCGCCATTGCTATCGACGAAGAATACAGCCCAGCACGATACGCGCAGAACCGTATATGGGCAACGGCAGTCAATGCACTGGGCGAGATTTTCTATTTGACAAAATTCCCGAAGCGCGTCACGTCTGAAAGTGGCGCACGAACCGACCTGGAAGCAGCTGAGCGGAATGCATGGCTCGCCGGGCGAAGCGTTTATTGGAAGCTGGTCGAAGCCAGCCGACGAATTGCACGCCTCGATCCTTACGCCGACAGTTCCTACGATGGAAGTTATTCTCCTCGCAGTTCATGGAATGGCATGTGCTTGAGTCAAGATCAGATTCAGCACGAGACTAAGGAGATCGAGATGTTTGCCTCGCGTAAGCCACGAGAATTTCAGAGAACTTGTTTGGATTGGGACATGCAGCGTAGAATATTGGTTGATTTCGCTGGTGACGATGGCAATTTTGCGGGAGAAAACATTGTTGTCATACGATGCAGCGATGATGAACCATCTCAAAATCCTGTCCGCCGCTACAGTCGCTGCAGAGTACGGGACGACGCTCCTGTGGATTCTATTTCAACACCTCCGTTGACTGTCGGGAGTACGGAGCCCACGAGTCCTCAGTCAATTTTTGGAGCAGCGCCATCTCCAGCGCTTTCGCCCACAGCCAACATTACCTTCGAGGGATTGAATGACTCTCTCGCACGTGGAGGATATGACGGTTCCTCGACTCCACGACCAATGGTGGAAGAATGGCGCAGCACCACTTACTCTACGGGTGGTCTGAGAATCGGGCAGATTCTATCAGCCGCAATTGACTCATCTCTTTACGCCACACAGACGGCTTCAGAGGATCAGCTCTTGAATTTCTCAGGCAAATCGACCTCTTCGTCGCCTTCAATGACTCCTCAATCTCCGACAAGCGCCGCCTCAAACTCTGGAGATGTCCCGGGTCATCGGGCTCGTCTATTTGCGATTGGCACCAAGCTGGGAACTGTTTTGGTATGGGACATTCGTTCGCCTATCCCTCAAACAGCTGGTTCCGCAAGCATTGTTGAACCTGTCCGGATTATCAATACAGACTCGCCGGAAATATCATCACTCGCTCTGACATCTCTTTACCTAGTGCATGGTGGTAACGATGGGCTGGTACAGACCTGGGATCCTCTAGGATCTACTCGAAGCCCTATTCGGACACTCCATTCACGATTCTCTTCTCGTGCTCGGCGGGATCTGGCACGAGCCAATGCCTCTCCCCAGGGTGTAGGTATCAATCTTTATGCTGCCGGTGCGATCAGCCTGGACCCTGACCCAACGATTCTGCGTGGAATGGTGTCGCTTGGTAATCAGCTCAGATACTGGTCGTTCAGCTCTTCCGCTGCTGATCAATACAAGTCGAGCAAACGTCGTCTCCGCCACGGTCAGCGCGGTAGCAACGCTGCGGCAGACAAGTTCACTGGTGTCGTGCGATCGAACCTGAAGGACTACATTGCTCATGAGAGGTCCGAGCTTGATCGAGAGAAGCAGCAACGCAGACAAGATTCACAGCGCTTCGCAGGGCGTTTCGGCACGGAACTACTCGACGGAAGCGAGGAAGAAATGCTTGCTTACGCAGCGATGCTGAGTCAAGAGTCACATGAGCAAGAGGCATTGCGTCGGATGTCGGATGCGAGCGCAACGGCTAGCACGGTCGGTAGCAGCGCTGCTCACGGTGCATGGGAATCAAGTGCTCCCATGTCGGAGCAAAATCCGTCACCGAGGTTTTCGGCTGCGGTCAAATCCGATGATGAGCTCGATGCCGATATTGCCGAAGCCATTCGACAAAGCCTTGCCACGTCTCCCAGCGCGCGTTCCTTCGATATTCCCATCAGACAAGCCAAGCAGAAAGGTCGCAAGTTATCCTCGGCAAAGACATCGCCGCGAACGTCGCCTATGTTATCTGGCGCCGCCAGCGCGACAGAGATGAGCGATCTTGACTTTGTGCTACAGCTTAGCCTGGCGGAAGAACAGTCCAAACGGGGTGCGCACACTGCGACTGACGGTTCATCCTCCCCCCAGCCTCAGTCGAACCAGCACAACTGCTCCAGCAGCAAAACATGGATTCCATAGGCAACTGGCGGTAGTTCCTGGTGACTTCGGAGGTCGCAAAGATACTGTTGGAAGCATTCGTTCGATCTCTGTCTGGCATGGCATCGCGTTCAACACCGACGTCATTGCACATCAGAATGTCCTGAAGACTTCTGCTGTGAATAGTCCCAACGTTTAATCAATCAACGGTCTTAGGTTAGCATGGTTACCCAGAGGCTACTGATGTTTCTGAAGTCATGGTAGTTCGTGAATATAATCCGAGTGGGACGTTGTGTTGAACATTCCGCTCAGATGTAGTGTCGCGTGCCCCTCCAGGGCTGTCTGTAGAAGTGAAGTCAAAAGTGCTGCGGCGGCTCAAGCCGCAGATTTCATCTCGCCCTCCTTCTCTCACACGCTTGGAAGGGTGATGAATGAATGGCCAAAACGCCAAGAGGGCGCACAGACCACGCTCGCCCGCCAGTGCAGTATCTCGCAGCAGCACCACTACCACGTCAGGCAGGGAGGGAGGGAGGAGGGTTATGTGCGTGGGTCGTATGTTTGTGCCCGCCATCGATTGAACAGCGCTACTACTACTGCTCCTACCGCTATTGCTGCTTCATCACCGACCTCGAAACACCCACCACCAGCCTTAGACTCACAGTATCCACACCCACTTTGTCCACCATAACCACCTTCTCATTTCAGCGACCGTCAATTGATCTGCTTTGCACCGCATCACAAGCAGACGACTCACCAACCCACCGCTCACTAGAAACTTTTGGTCCGCCTCAGATTCGAGTACTGCGCAGGAAAGAAACAGAGTTAAACGAACGAACCGGCTCAAAACATCGCACTCCGTAACTTCAGATCTCACGACAGGTCGTTCCGTATCGCCAATCACGTGCTCGCCTCCATCATATAATCCCTCAAGCGCGTTCAAAGCGTGCCCCAACCATACTTCAGCCCAATTGCGGGACAGCATAGCAAAAGATGGAGGCTGCTGCATTAAGGCAGCAAACCATACCAATGGACACGACCATGGAGGATGCCGGCAAGGCAGAGCATGCCCTCGGTGTATCTACAGACCCACCACCGATCTCGACCGTGGACGGATGGATCGAGAATCTCATGGCGTGCAAGCAGCTGGCGGAGGAAGATATTCGAAGGCTTTGCGAAAAGGCGCGAGAAGTGCTGCAAGACGAGTCCAACGTTCAGCCGGTCAAATGTCCCGTCACAGTATGTGGTGACATTCACGGCCAATTTCACGATCTCATGGAGCTTTTCAAGATCGGTGGCCCCAACCCCGACACCAACTATCTCTTCATGGGTGACTATGTTGATCGGGGTTACTTTTCGGTGGAGACGGTGACTCTGCTGGTCGCATTGAAGATTCGCTATCCCAGCCGCATCACGATCCTGCGTGGCAACCACGAAAGTCGTCAAATCACACAAGTGTACGGCTTCTACGACGAGTGCTTGCGCAAGTACGGCAACGCCAATGTCTGGAAATTCTTCACAGACCTTTTCGACTACCTTCCACTGACAGCTTTGATTGACAATCAAATCTTCTGCTTACACGGTGGCCTGTCGCCGAGCATTGATACTTTGGACAACATCCGTGCACTCGACCGAATTCAGGAAGTCCCGCATGAGGGTCCTATGTGTGATCTGCTATGGTCAGATCCCGATGACCGATGCGGATGGGGAATAAGCCCGAGAGGTGCTGGTTACACCTTCGGGCAGGATATCAGTGAGGCGTTCAATCACAACAACGGCCTGACCCTGGTCGCTCGTGCACATCAATTGGTCATGGAAGGTTACAATTGGAGTCAAGACCGTAACGTGGTGACCATATTTTCTGGTAAGGAACGTCACGCTCAGTGGCAGCGGATCGAACCAACGCTAACCGCCATTCTTAGCACCCAATTACTGCTACCGCTGCGGCAATCAAGCGGCCATTATGGAGATTGACGAACACCTCAAGTACACCTTGTAAGTTTCGGTTGCCTGCCTCCGCGACGTCCTGTGCTTCATCTGACCTCAGCATTCCAGCTTACAATTCGATCCTTGCCCACGGGCTGGCGAGCCCATGGTGTCTCGACGTACACCAGATTACTTCTTGTAGAAAGCAGAAAGCGGGCTTTGGCCATGCAGCATCCCAACCAACGATGCTCATAATATCATGATACACCACCGACTTGTGCATTGTGCTCGTGCATTGTGAATCCGGCTGAGATGCAGGATGCATCAGGTTCTGAATTGCGCCACCGAGCGGCGACTTACGCTCTGGCTAGGCACTTTCTGAAATGCGTCAAACGGCACAGATCGTGTGGGTAACTTGAGGACTCTGGGCGAAACGCTCCGGCGTCAAGTTGCCGCATCGCGCGGGGTTTCCGTTGTATGAATCTGCATCATGTGTGATCAGCTCGGCTCTCGAGCAATGTCGTCCATGCTCTGCTGCTTACCGCGTCCGCCAAATTTATCCAATCCTGGATGCCTCTTACATATGGATCGTCATCCTCAGGCACTACTTCATGTGCCCAGACCATGACCTCCTCAAATTGTGCTTTCACGCCCATGATGTGAACATCTCCCTGCAATTCACGCTCCTCTCCTTGCTCATCTCTTGATTCTCTGGGGTCTGCAGAGGTCGCTTCCGGCTGCAGCATCTCTGTTGTCTTTTCGAGGACATAGCCTCTGTAGCCGGAAGGGAGCCGAACTTTCTTGCCCTGTAATTTGCGGCCTCGTAAATATGCTGTCTGGGCACTTGCCGTCTCCTTGGCAGCATCACCGACATTTTGATCGTCGACAGGTACAGGCTTATGCGTCTCTTGAGGGTTCCAATGCCGTTGCTCAATGGTGATCGGTCCGCTGTGCTTCACACTGCAGGGTATGAGGTTGGGAATGAGCTTCCGGGAAGAAGACTGAGGGTTGATAGCCAACATCGTGTCGTTACACCACGGGTCCTAGAGATTGCTAAAACAGCCTGTCGTATATTGAAATATTCAGAGACCAATGATCTGTATTCCCAGTATCGAGATGTCTTGACGCTGCTTGTATAGTGATGACCCCACGCATCAATGACTACCTAGGTATACAAATAGAAAGATGTGCCTTGCGCGTTGGAGACGCGTCTTCGGTCACGTACAGCACGACGCCGCTTTATCGATAAAGAAAATGGATCCTGCGCTTGTCTGGCGGGATGTACCAATTGGAAGAATTCATGAACATTCATGAAAATCGTCGCCTAAATTGAATGGCTTTCTCGGGGCCGTGATTTATGCTATCATGTGCACCATGAATGCGATCGTCAGCGGCGAGGTTTAGGACCCAAAACCATAATCCTTAAGCATTCTCCAGTTGAGCGGACGCCTGGCTTCAGCCACGATTCGGCTGAAGCTGCGCTAATACTGCAGGGACACAATCACTATCCAATCTGCTATTTGTGTGGACAATATGTGTCGGCCTTCATTCTTCAGATTCGCGCCCGTATTCTCAGAAGGTCTGCGCGATTCGGTCCCGGGAACACATACGGATTCATGAATGTGATGTGAAGATAAGACATGGACATTCAGCCCATCATCCCCGCACCCTTACGACAGGGCGACACCGTGGCCTTCGTCTCGCCTTCTCTGCGCTTGAACAAAGTTTACACCCAAGCATTGGCCAGAGCGAAACAATGTCTGGTGAAGCAAGAATTCAAAGTACTGATCATTGATGGAGGAGAGCCGTCCGGAGATTTCAATGATCAAATCTCTCAAAGATGTGAGGAGATTCATGAGGCTTTCCGCCGTCCCGAAGTTAAAGCAATCATCACGACTGTAGGAGGCTCGAATGCCCACGAGCTCCTCCCGCACCTTGACTACCAATTGATCAAAGAGAACCCCAAGATTTTCTGCGGCTATTCAGACACGACATCACTTCACTATGGAATATTCACTCAGACGGGTCTGCAGACCTTTTACGGGCCAATGGCCATATATCCGCTGGGAGAACATCCGGAGCCTCTGCAATTCACGGTCGACAATTTCTTGCGTGTCGTCACCGAATTAGGAAGTCAGCCATTGGGTGGCGTTCCTTATTCTCTCGAATGGTCGCCTGAGTTCATTAAATTCTGGGCCAATCCTGCCCGGCTGCTGCGCCGTCGCCTTCAGCCAAATCCCGGTTGGCGTTGGCTTCGGACTGGCTCGGCCCAAGGTCGCATCTTTGGCGGGTGCCTGGAGCCGATGATGCATATGCCAGGCACAAAGTTCTGGCCCGATTTCACTGATCGAATTCTCCTTCTTGAGACATCCGTAGGCGAAAGTCCTGAACAAGGCATTCCCCTGGAAGTCGTGGCGGCTCAACTCGCAACATTACGCAACCTTGGTGTATTCTGGCGCATCACAGGCCTTGTGATGGGTCGACCATACGGCTACAGTGATGCACAAAAGAAGAGACTTGACCAGGTCATCCTTGACCATACAAGGGACTTGGCGTTCCCTATTCTAGTCGACGTTGACATCGGACACACAGATCCTCTTTTGACAATTCCTCTGAATACCATGGTTTCACTTGATTCAGTAGATAACTCATTCAGCCTCTTAGAAGCAAGCGTCCAGCCACCGGAATAGGGCGAACGACAGCGGCGTGTCTCTGCCTCGTGATTTCCGCTGAACCACAGGAGCTATGTGAACAATCAACGTACTTCGTCTTCGGCGGCTTGGCCTACCCACAGAAATTGTGCTCGATCATACACCTGCGACGGATTAACGAGAAAAGAACCCCAAGCGAACAACGGCGTTGAGCTTATGCGGCTCATCTTGCTCTCACCCAATCGCGCAAACACCCGTTTGATGGGTGCGCCGAACATACATGCATGGCCTATGACGGCGCCAATGCGCTAGCAAGTATGCAATTGTGGTGCCGAATGGTGAAGAATGCGATGGAATCTACAAAGCGCCAGTGAAATACGCTTGGTGTGCACATTCCGAAGTCTTGCTTTCTTTGTATAGATAAATCCTGCCGTCTATTGCGTGCGCCTTCCAGATCGGCGGAGCGTGACTCCGCAGCGCCTATTGGTGGCTTGCCTCCAGAGAATTGCGAGAACAAACTAAGAACGCATCCCATTTTATTTCCAAACAAAGAGAATATGTTCCAACGTATGTCGGCCCGGATCTCTGTAGCTTTCGCAAATAGCAAGAAAGTAATCACGTTTCCATCAGCACGGTCGAAGTGATATGGCTGTATATAAATGAGTCTGCCAAAGGTGCTTGTGAATCCACTTCTCGCTGTTTCACCACTCAGTGTCACAAACATGCTACAGGACGATATCTGAGTTGATACTGCACGATCTTTACGAACTTTTATGATGGCAGCACTACCAGAAGACGGTTTCAGAAACGACTATAATCATAGCTGGTTCCCGGTAGCTTCATCTGATCTTGAGTTGACATGTTTCAGCTACCCAGCTTCAGATGAACATCATGATATGTTTCGCCATATTTCCAAGTCAAGTTTGAAGTGTGTCGAGGCAGATGATCAGACTATCGAGCCCGACCACAACGATCTCGACAGAACAAATCACCCGGATGTACAACAAGTCAAGCCAACCGTATCCCCGTCCCTCGCAGCTGTTGAAATAGATGACATCGTGTCAATTCCTGCCTATGATGAGCAGTTCTCAACGATTTTAGACGCCAGAAGGTACCTAGCCGACGAGGAGACTAGGATGCTGCAGCTCGACCGGATGGATGACGTTTCGGATGTGCGTGCTTCGCTTCATATGCATTGTGCTCGACTATTCACCGCTCTGACTGCGAACCCTGTTCAGGCGCCGGCAAGGTTCACCCCGTTCCAGATCTTGTACTATGATAAGAACCAGGCTACCACGCTCACCGACGTCAAATCGAGTGTTGTCGACAATAATGCACACGCAGAAGCGCGAGTCATGGTCGTCATTGATGAGGTGATGCAGCTACATTCGTTGGGCGTTCCGCTTTCCTCAACCTCGTACACGAAATCTGGATCGAAGAACGGATATCGTTTGGACGAAAGCTTGATATGCTCCGAACGTGTCGAAAGAGTCATCGAGGCCGCACAAAAGAACAAGTGCGTTGCGCATGATATCCTCAACGACAGAGGGGTGAAAAACTTGGTACTGAACCCCAAGGAGTACCTGAAGCGAAAACAAGAGAATGCGCGAGTCAACGCGAAAAAGTCGTACGACAAGTCGCAAGCAGGCAAACACAATTCATCATTCGCAAACCGGTCCACTGAGCTTGCTTCCAACCGTAGATACGGAGCTAAAGGGCAAATATACGTCAAGTCGAATATGAACTCTCCTCGTGGGCAATCTGCGCGTCGAAGCACTGAGCGGGAGATTGAGCATGCTCTAAATGTTCAGGTCCACGCACGTGCAGATGATCAGATGCACCAGCAGGAGGTCGAGGATGCGCAGCGAGCATTCGCATACCACCAGGTGCGGTCTGCTCAGTCCTTTCAGCAAGACGAGATGGGTGCCTCGACAATCCAGGACGGGAGTCGCAAACGTATCAAGCGAGGATGATTCTGGTCATGCTTTTTGTCTTCCATCAAGAGTTTCGTAGCCTCCTGGGAGTGCGCCATCCTGTCTGCCACCGAGGCACCTCAACGTTGGACGTGAAGTGGTAGGAGTGGAGGCAGTGCTGATTATCGCAATGGGCTAGGGAGGACCTGAAAGTTAGGCCGTCTCCTGCAGTGACTGTATCGTAGGCTCCATCTGCGATCATTGTTGCATTCATCTAACTGAATAGTGATAGCTTCGTCTCGATACAGCGGTAGCTGCATAATTTCATCGTTTGTCCTTCGCAAATGGTGATCCTTTATAAAAAGAAGCAGCGTGATATGCTATATATTCGGCGTCCAGCTCAAACAAAAGGGAAATATTGTAGAGACGTGAATGACCACCTTCTACAAGCCTCGTCGGCTCGAGGGTTTGTCGCCAAAGTCACCCCCTTTACGTTCGCGTTCCACCTGCTCATCAAACTCTCTTTGAGCCCTAGCTCGGGACGACCTTAGATCGTCCTCAGCTGGAAATACCTGGTCGAGTCCCGAGGCAGCCGAAGATGCATCGCGATCATCTCTGTGGTGGTCTGGCTGCGACAGTGCTTGCTGTCTCAATTTATCCCACGCACTGCCTTGGGATGGTGGTCTTGTTGACGTGCTTCCAGAATTTGCTTGGGAGTCGCTGCTGCGCTGAGGCACTAACTCGCTTGTTTCGTGAGTTGTGCCGCTCGTAATACCATTATTCGAATTGGCGTTCGCGGCCTCTCGCGCCCAAGCGCCATTCGTAGGTGACATCTCGTCTTCGCTGCCTGCACGGTTGTTGCGGTCCCTTGTGGCAGTTTGGAATGCACTTCGTTGCCTGGCCATCTCGAATGTCTCACCGGCTCGTTGGCCCGGAGCTTGATCAATCTCTTTCCTGATGGACTGTTCCTTTGCATTTCGACGCATGGCTGCAAGAATATCTCGTATCCGGGGGTCACGAAAGTAGGTAGGGGCCAGCACTGTGACGCCCCAGGTCGCAGATGCCGCAGTACTGACCAACAATGCTGCGGTAGTCCATGCGAATAAGCGTGTTCCTTGCCACATGAACCTCGCAGTGCGACCACGCAAAGGTCCAAAAGCATCTGCATTGAAAGTCTTTCCCGGTTGCCATCCGGGAAAAAGATATGTGTGCCTTGTCATCGAGAAGACTGTGCACGCAACCGCCAGGCCTAGGTCGTTGCAAATTGTCCCGTTCCTTGTCACTGTCGCCGTGTAGTGGACTACCGCTTCCGCCTCATCTTGTCTCGCTGGCCTCTTGAGCAAGCCTACAGTCGCCTGCGAAACTTTTTCCACGGACACTCGTAATTGTCGCTCTGAGAGCACAAACCCGACGTACGGACTTAGATCTACAACGGCTGCAGGTGTGCCAGGCGGATTGAAGTTGATGCTATGTTGTGGCAGTACACTGGTGTTTGAACCATTGGCGTAAGTGTCTGTATCGGAGTTGGGCGCTGGGTCGATGAAACTAGTTTCGGATGACTTCTCGATCTCTTGGAGAACCATATTATCGGCAGACCTCTCTGGTAGTTCCCGCCTGTGTTGTGTGTTATTGCTATGGTCAAGGTCGAGTGTTAATGGTAGATGAATGTGAGCTGGACCCAGCGTCATCGTTGTTCGAAAGTGGTCCATGCGTGGAGGTAGATATGACGATAGTCTTCCGTTTAGCAACTCTGGCCAGTCACGGCTACGGATACTTCCGTACCTCATTAGCATATGTTCTTCGTAGTTAGGTCAAGTATAGGGCATTAATTTAAACCGTAAAGTTTTCGTATTATTAATAGAGGGTTACGTATTACTAGTAGAGAGTTACGTATAGGGTTATATATAAGATAGAAGAGGTATAGCTAGCCTAAAATAGGTCGTAGCTATAGCTACCTATTAGCTATTATAAGGTTAAATAAGGCTATAGCTACCCTTTAAGCTTACTTGTCGTATTATATACTATATTATAAATTAGCTAAAAAAAACTTAGGTTTAGATGACTAAATTAGTATTTATTAGATAACTTTTCTACTACTTATATTATAGCTAAAATTATAGCTAGAGGCCTACTAATTTAGTAAAATAGCTTGAAAAAGTGTAAAGCCTAGCTAATAAGAAAAAGACTAGAAACTAATTTAAATATAGTTATTTATTATTTATCTAAATATTAATTAATTTTAATTTATTAATTAATTATTTTATGTTTTTAAAGTTTTATTCTATTCTTAAAGCTCTTAATACTATATTATAGAGTATATAAATACTAATAAACTAATAAATAGACAAACTTTTCCTTTTAATACTTTCAAAACTAATATTAACTTTAGAGCTTAAGTATATTATATTAGTTATTTATTTTACTTTTATTCTTTATAAGATTTCAAATTATATAAGATAGTAAGCTTATTAAGGCTAGAATTTTATAATATTTATACTCTAGTAGCTTTCTTTTTTAGTTAGTCTTTTTAATATTTTATTTAGTATCTCTCTAATTTTCTTATAAATTTTTAGAATTCTTATACTTAGTTAGGCTTCTTTAATAATAATAATAATAATAATAAAGTCTTTTTAGAAGTTAAAATATTATAATTACTAATTTTAAGTTTTAAAGTTTATAAGAAAAATATAATCTTTTAATTTTAAAAAGTTCTTACTTTTATATTACTTTCTATTAATACTTATTAGAATTAATACTTCTTTTATTCTATTTATTCTATTTCTTTTCTTATATTTGTATTTAAAACTATATAATATTATAAGAACTTTTTAAGTTCTAGCCTTTTATTATATATATTATCCTTACTTTCTAACTAATATATTATTTAAAAACTAAGAATTAAATTTATTATAAGCTAATTAATACTTTTATAAACTTATATACTTTACTAAGATTAGATTAGTAGATTTACTTAAAAAATATTAAAAGAATATCTAACTCTAACTTTACTTTTAAAACTACTATAGCTACCTAATAATTAGTATTAGTTTTTTAGTATTAGTTTTATAATTACTTTTCTAAGAGGAAATTCTCTAATAATATTTTAAATATTATATTTTAGGAAATATAATTTCTAGTTTTCTTTAAAAATTTTAAGTAAAAAACTTAAAATAAAATTTCGGGACTTAGCTTCTTAACTTTAAATTAGATAGCTTCTTTATTAAATTTTAGTAAGCTATTATAATAGTATAAAGTATAGAGGAATAAGATAAAAAGTATAGAAAAGAAAAATAAGAGAAGAAAGAGAAAGATTTACTTATAATATATTAATACTAAATAATACTTTAAAGGAGAGGAAAAGATATAATAACTAGTATATATCTACTAGAAGACTATTCTTAAGAAGACTAAGCTTTTTATAATTATATTTAAACTCCTCTATAAGATTTAGTACGAATATATAGATAAATTAATAATTAGATAAATAGATAAAGAAATAAATAGATAGATAGATAGATAGCTAAATATATAGTATTTAGATAATGTATATAGTAGAAAAGATTATTTATACTACTAAGAATAATAATTATACTTAAATCTTATAAAGTAAAGTAGATTCTAAACTTATAGGTATTATACTAAGTTCTAGTCTTACCTAAAAAATTGTAATCGACTCCTAGATAATATTATAGTATAATTTTTATATATCTTAGAATAAAAGTTTATTAAGTCCCTTCTTCCTATATAGAGACTCTTAAAGTAAATTTTTAAGAGCTTCTTAAATATAATAAAAATTATCTCTAAGGTTATAGCGTATTTTATCTATAGTTTATAGATTTCTATATTCTCTTTTCTTTTAATTAGTTTTTAGCGTACTATAGATATTTATATAGTATAGAGAACTAGATTTCATATATAGACTCCGACTCTTATCTCTCTTTTATATATACTTTAATATTTGCTTTATAGTATAGTAGTAGTAAAGGAGTATAGTAAGCCTAGCTAGTAGGAAGGCTAGAAACTAAATCTATAAGAGTATTTTATACTCTAATAAGATATTTAATACTTATAGGAAGGCACTTAGCTATATTAAAAACTCTTAGAGAGTTAATTCTCTCCTTTTTATAATATATAATCTTTTATTTTTTTTAAGGATTCTTACTCTTATTATCTTTTCTCTATTTAGTAATAGATTTCCTAAACTAAATTTTCTAGTATTTTTATAAATACTACTAATCTCAAAACTTAGGTATATTTAATATCTAGGATAATTATTATTATTAAAAAATAGAATAGTCTCTTTATAAAAGTATTTTTAAAGTATTTTTAAAATATAGAAAGGTTTCTTATTTAAGTTAATAAGCTTTAGATAAATCTATAATAAATTAATATTAATATTATATTTTAAAAAGTTAAAACTAAACTTCTTTAAAAATTAAAGCTTTTATAGGTATTATAGCTCTTTTAATATAGATAATCTAATAAATTATATATATATATCTATAATTTTTATAATAGGAATACTTATATAAGATAGCTCCTTTACTTCTAAAGAGGTATATTTATAATTTAGAATAAGCTTTAGAGAGTACTTAGAAAAATATCTATTAAAAGAAATTTAATAGCTTCCTAAGTCTAAAGGGTAAGAGCTTCGATACTAAGCGTTAAATAGTATAAGTAGTAAGTATTAGGTAATATAGTTAGGTTTCTCCTAGAATTGAATTCTAAAAGATTACTTAAAAATCTCGAAAATATAGAACTATTAACTAGAGCGTCTCTACCCTAAGTAATACCTCTATTTCTACCTTAAAGAGGCCTATATTAAAATAAATCGATATCTAGAGATAGTACTAAGTATAAGGTAATATAAGTACTATATTATAAGTAAGATAAGTAAATCTTTCTAGAATTAAATTTAAAAAAACGCTTCTTTAAGTCCTAAAAATATTAAGTAGATATTTATTATACCTCTACCTTAAAAAGAGCCTCTTCGTCTACCTTAATAAAGCTTTTATAGTGTAAAGGATTTTAAGCTTATTAGAGAAAAGTAATAGTCTTCTAACTAAACTAAAGATATAAGATATAGGAAAAGAAAGCGAAAGTTACTATAGTTAATATCTATTAAAGACCTAGCTTTAAAAACCTAGATATTCTATATAGTTTTATACTCTTATATAAGATAAAGGTATTAAAACTAAGGGAATTAATAAGAGTAAAGCTTATTTCTCTATAAATATAAGAGAAAGATATATATTAGTATATCGATTAATATTATATATAATAAGAATATAGTAGAGAAAGTAGGATTATAAGTAGAGTTTCCTATTTATATTACTATTGGGGATAAATCTCGACTAAGCTAAGTATTATATATATTTTTAGACTCTAGTAGAAGTTTTGATAGATATAAGTATAGAAAAATAAGTAAATAGTTAAGGAATATATTATAAGATAAAGAAGTATCCTACCGTTTTAGTACCCCTTTAGCTACTATTTTAGCTACGATATAAGTAGTTAGAAAGTTATCTAATTAACGCTAATTTATAGTAATAAAGCCTAAATATTTAGCTAATTAACGATATAATAAATAACGTAATAAGGTAGCTAGAAGGGGTAGCTATAGCTAAAGTAAGCTACTCTATAGCTATACGTAACTTTACTTAATTTTCTATAGCTATATATAGCTCTCTTTAAGCTATATATATATATATAGTATATAACTCGTACGTAATCTGTATATAATTTATATATAACTTTTATGTAACTTTTATGTAACTAGTATATAATTTTCTTAATAATACAAAAACTTTATAGTTTAGATTAATAATTAATACTTGACCTAACTAAAAAAAATATACTAAAAAGGTACGGAAGTATCCGTAGCCGTAGCTATAGCTAAAGTTATAAGAATAGTAGATTAAGTAATAGAACTTATTTAATACTTATAAGCCTTAAATCTAATTAATTACTATACTTCTATTAATATCTTAAAAAATAATTAAGGGAATTCTAGAATAAATTATTAATATAGCTTTAATAAATAAAGTATAATATATTATTATTTCTATTATATAGAGGAAGTATATTTCTATAGAAGAAATATAAGTAGAAAAGCTAAAAGAGAAGTAATATATTAGAGAGGGAATATATCTTTCTAAAAGTTTCCCTTCTTATAAGTTAGATACTTTATAGTATTTTAGACTTTTAAATAGTATATAAATAGTATAGATTAGTAAATTATTAGAAATAATAAAAGAAGGATTAGAAATTAAATCTTAAGGTTTCTTCTAAGTTATACTTTATCTATCTTAATAATTACTATATTTCTAGGTTTATTTAAAGTTTATTTCTTATTTACTTTAATTATATATTTCTAATAATTTAAACTATAGACTTCTTCTTCTAATAATATACTTCCTATAAGTTATAGTTATTATAAAAGGTTTATAACTTATAAAGAGTAAGCTTTACTAAATATTAGTAATATAGCTAGTCTATATTTCTCTTTTCTTCTACTTATATAAATTAAATATTAATTCTTTATAATTTATTTTCTAGAAATAAAAGTATATTTAAATTTATATATCCTTATAAATCTTTTATCTTTTATTCTTTATAATTGTTTTATAAATAATAATATATTTTTAAAAATAAATCTAAAATAGAAGTAATATAATAACTATAATAAATATTCTCTCTTTATTTACTATTAAATAAGGAAAAAGTAAATTATAGTAATGTAGAATAATATACTATTTCTATATTTCTTTCTTTATACTATTAAGATTATATATAGACTAGTCTTAAGAGTATATATAGTATTAAGCTTAATAGAGCTAGAAAAAAAACATTTTTGTAGTAGAGGTATTATAAGTAATAAGCTTATTTCTTAATAAAAGGATTTTAACTACAGTAATTACTAGATTATATTATTTATAGATTATAAAAAAGACTAAAAATCTTAGAAGTAGAGATTTATAATCTCTACTTTTGACGCTTATTATTATCTAAATAAGGCTATATAAATTTAAAGGACTTAAGAAGATATTATAAAGTATAGCTAAAGTACTTTGCTATAGATTTAGTAAGAGGACTATATATTACTAAGAGGACTATTATATTACTCTAATATAATTCTAAAAGAACTAAAGTTAAGTATTAATAAAACGAGCTCTCTAAATTAAGAGAGATATCTTTATTACTATAAGTATATAAAGTACCTTCTCTAAAAAGTTAGTATTAGCTATAGGCCTATTATAAGGGTAGGTTTAAGGATATATTTAAGGTATTAAAATATAAGTATAAGACGAGTATTAATAGTTGAAATTAGTACCTAAGTAGTATTAATACTTATAAGTTATAAGTATAGGAAGGTTTAATTAATTAAGAATAGTCTAAAAAAGGAAAGGATAAAATATACTCTATAAGGCTAGCTTATATCTATATTATATATCTCTTTTAAGAAGTAAACAATAGCTATATATATTAATAAGAATAAAGAATAACTAAGTAGTTACTCTATCTATATAGTATTATAATCTATAGAGAGTAAGAAGCTATCTTAGAATTAGTTCCTTGCCTTCTTATTAGCTAGGCTTTATAACTTTTCTTAACTACTAAGTAGCTACTTTATAGTATTGTTTAAAGACTAGGTCTAAGTATTGATTATTAAGTATAATATTATAGAATTTAGGATTTAAAACTACTATTATTACTTAGAGATATTAAAGGATTTAAGACTAGAGTTTTAGCTTCTTTTACTATAGAAAGGTCTTTAAAATTAGAGAATCTTAGAGGTATATATTAAATAAGAATTAATTAAAGATATTAAGTATAATATAGAGAGGTTAAACATTGTATAGAAAAATTTAAAATTATATTAGAGAAGAATACTTACTAGAAAAATTAAAGGGATATTTTACTAGAAGAGATAGAAGAAATAATAGATTAAATAATAAATAAAAATAACAGTATTTTAGAAGTATCTATTTAAGTAAGTTTATAATTATACTATATCTTATTAAGTATATTCTATAGAATTTCTTAATACTACTAGGCCTTTAAAGGAAAAAGATTATTATAGTACTCTCTAAACGTAGAGGATAAAGGGTCGATACTATTACTACTAGCTATACTAACTTATAACTACGACTATCTACTATAGCTTAGATAGTTATAGTTATTATAGCTAACGGAGATAGAACCCTATATATTAAATCAAAGAATAGATAGTTAGATAGTTAATTAACCTTTTTATAGAATATATCTTAACTATATAATAGAAAGCCTCTTTTATATAAATAAGGTTATTTCGAGAATTTATAGTAGTAAGCGCTATATTCTATATCTATATAATAGCCTACTAGTATTACTTAAATAATAAAGCTACCTTTAAGCTACTAATACTATTTATCTATATATATATTTTTCTAAATACTTAAGTAGGATAAGAAATATAATAAAATAATAGAATATTACCTATAGATATAACTTTTAAAGACTTTATACTTTTACTAAGATAATAGAAAACTATTCTTTAGAGCTTAAGGGCTTAGATCTATAGTTAACTAGATTTAATAATATAGAATTAATTTAAAGTAATAAATACTATTCTCTAGAGCTAAGAGGCTAAGAATATTCCTACCCTTATTAGGTACTATATTAAAAGTCTAGATTTGTAGTTTAGGTCTTTCTTATAGGTATATTTCTTATATAATATATGATAGCTAAATAACTTACTCTAATTTAAAGCTTTCTTACTAAGTCTTATAAATATAGATATAAAGGTAGGATTCTAATAATTTGTTTTATTTTTCCTACTTTTCTTTTTTCTATATCTTAAAGTTTTTAGAATTTCAAACATATCTAGAGTAATAACCTATATATACCTAGCTATAAGATTTAGTTATTCTAAAGAATCGTTTCCTATAGAAATATTTATAATACTCTCTTCTTAAGATATTATAAATCTAAGTATATATAAAAATTATTCCTTAAGAATTGTTTTTTACTAGATTTTATATATTTATTTTATTTATAAAGGATCGATCTTAGATATTATTAGAAGGTTTAACTAGTAGAGGATATTAGGAATTTTACCTTAATTATAAACTTATTTATACTTTCTAGTTCTATAATTACTTCTATATATTATATTAGGTTTAAATAGTAAAACTCTAAGTAGATATTTTTCTTAATAGAAAAAAAAAATCTAAAATAAGCTATTAATTTAGATCTAATTAAAGTATAGGATTATAAAATTATTTAGTCTTATTAGCTTCTTAGTTTTAAATAATATAATATTGAAGGATTAAACTTTATATATAATATTATAATATATATTACTAGAGTTTAAAGAGATTTAGCTTAGAATATTAATAACTTTATTTTAATAAGCTTAATAGAAATCCTTTAAAAACGAAGGCGTTTATTATTAGCTTTAGAGGACTACTAGCTAAAATAAGGAAAGAAAAAACTAAAATAAGAGTAATTTTATATAGAAATTTTCTTATATATATAAATAGATATTAGGAAGAATATTAAGCGTTCTAAAATTTTATAAGTATATAATAACTTTTTTTTATAGTCTTAGACTCTAGTATATAATAAAAATAGAATAAGTAGTATTAAATATAATAATCTATACCTGTTTTATAGATATATACTATTATACTTATAAATAATAGTACTGTACCCTATTTATTACTAGTACTACTAAGTAGTATATCTTTATAAAATAATATTAGAGACTTACTAACTTACTTATAAGATATCTAATAATTTAAGTTTTTTTAGTATAAAAGCTATAGCTAAAGAATAATTATAGTATAATAGGTAGATTAATTCTCTATAAGAATTTTAAGCTTAAAAATATTTCTAGAGTCCCCTCTTATTAAGTATCTAAGTTAGTACTTAATTATGTAATATAAATTCAAGAAAATAATACTTAAGAATTTATATTACCTGTAATCTTTATAAGAGAAATTCTTTTCTTATATAATAATAGAAAAGATATTAAAAGGATTCTTTCCTTAAGTAGTTAGATTAAGCTCTCTACCTCTATAGAGCCCCTTATGAACTATAAGAAAACTTTTAGAAATATAATAGGCCTTAAAGACTATATTTAGAAAAAAGGATATATAGGTAGCTATTACTAGTCTTCTCTCTAAAACAATATAAAGCGTTAAGAATTAGCTTTTAGAGTAATATAAAGACTAGATATCCTATTAATAAAAGTAAGAATTATAAGTAGGGATTAGATTTTATAATTATCTAAACACTCTAAGACCTGGAAATAATCTTTTAATAGATTTAGTCTTTATACCTAGAAAATTCTCTAAATACTTATAAAATTAATATTTATTTGTACTTGCTTTGTTATATATAAGAGCCTAAGACTATATACGATATCTGGCCCTCTAAAGCTATACTTAGGAGAAGTATATTACTTCTTAGCTATTCTTTTCTTTTCCGTTAATAAACAGTCTTATTTTGCTTAGTAACTACTTCTCTTTCAACATCCTTTTAAATCCCTTTTGATATCTCTAAGGTTCTTCCGGCTTTATAGGGCCTCTCTAAAGTAAGAAGAAAGCTTCTATAGAGAGAAAAAGGATAGATATATTAGTAAGAAGTTTTTAGGATTTTAGGGCTACTTCTAAGTATTTTACGTAGGGTTAAAAAATCTAAAGCTAATATATATTACCTACTACTTAGTTCTTATATTACCTAAGACTATTCGTTTCTTATCTATAGTTTTCTAAGGTGTTTGTCTTTTTTTCTTAACCTATTATATCTATATTTACTAGACATTATAGGACCTTCTTTAAGATAATAAAGAGGTCTCGCTCGGGCTAGAGGGGCTATATATATATTCGAAATGTTTCTAGGATTTAAGGTAACCTTTAGGTTATCTTAAAAGAATTCTAGCGCTCTAGAGCCTGTTTATATTACTTCTTAATTAGCTTTAATCTTACCTTACGCTTAGTTTTTATTTCTTTAAAGAAGCTATAAAGAACTCTATAGACTATATTAAAGGACAGTAAAATGAGACAATATAAGATAATAAAGTAAAACATAGCTCTTTACCCCTAGAGATAGAAAAATCTCAGGTCTTCAAATTTTAGATAGTGAACTATAGAGATATAAAACAATATAAAAGAAGTATGCTCCTAAATATAGTAGAGGAAAATTAGAGAAAACCCGAGAAATATAAGTAATAGTAATACGCTATAAAATACTCCTAACATTAAATTGAAAAATGCAATATCTCTACCTCTAGAGAGCCCTCTTTGTTTATTTACTATAGAGAGAGGCTTAGAGAAAATAGAGGTCGATACCCTAAGGGCGATACTAAGCGTTAAGTAAGGTAAATACTCAGCGTTAGGTAACGTAAGTAAGTGGTCTTCAGGATTAAAGTACGAGGTCGCTAATTACCTCAGGCCATCCTTGTCCCCATACAAGCGCCTTATCGCCCCATCTCTGCGGATGCGGTGCAAGAAATCTAACTCGCTTTCTTACTTCATCGACTTCCGCAACGTAGAGAAATCCAATTACCGCGCTGTCGCGCACTTCCCGCTCTTCACTCTGACCGTGGCAGAATTTTATCGCGATCAGATTGCCAGTCATTGCTAGACTAGGCGTGATTCTTTCGAGTCCGTTGCGGTTGGTGCTCTTCGCTGTTGGAGCAGTAGCATCAGAAGCCTCATAATCATCATCATCGTCGCCCATGTCCGGACCGAACGATTCTTCGCTCGAGACGCTTGATTGCGATTGTGCACGGAATATGTCTAGATCGGCGAAGGGAACTGAATGCGAATGTGGGTTCAGAGCCTCTTTTCCAGAACCAAAAAAATAATGCCGCACCTGTTGTGCACGAAGATGCTTCATGAAAGCATTATCACGCTCGATAGCACCGCCAGGCTTCGAAATTCGTAGCACAGTCACCGCGTCCTCGCCTGACTTCGCATTTTGGAAACGTTTTGTGAGATCACTGGAGAGCCGCTCCGACCCTATAGTCAGAATCATATTGATACTGAACTCTGAGACAATGTGATACAAGAGATCGTAATTGCTTTTCGGGTCGTTGAGCGTGCCAGGTGTGTCGATGAAAAGTCCACTTTTCTTCACAGAACCATCTTCCTCAAGCCGGTTCATCACGCTCAAGGCCATCCGAGTGATAATCGCTTTATACACCTCCGGGCGTTCGTAGGGACTGGCGAAGGGATATTGGTAGAGCAAAGGGGTCCTCACAGGTGAGCTTGTCGGGCCAGATACCGGACCAATACCAAAGCCGGTTTCAACATCCATCTGTGAATCAATTGCGACTGCAGTGAGGGCACTTGGTGGACATAGCAAACCTTCCCGTGGATCAACATTGATGACTATCGGACAGCACCCACTTCTGACACTCCATGCTACCAGGCTCCGCGTGAGACTCGTCTTGCCGACGAAGTCAGGCCCAACCACTAGAACTCGTGGCGCTTGTACAGGTTCTTGACTGCGAAGCGTTTCAAGCATGCCGTGAACATTGATCCACTCGATCGCATAGTCTGTTTCTTGGCCTGCATATTCGCTTTCTGCGTCTCCGCTTAGCTCTAGTTGACAGCCCTGCCAAGTGAAGATGGCTCCTTTGTAACCGGAAAAGGTCAATGTCTGCCGAGGAGCGAGCTCAACTCCGAACAGCTCTGCAGAGCCACTTTCTAGTTTGATGTGATATCTTTGGTTGAATCCAACCTCGAAGCGCCATTCCGATCGCGCCTCGAGGGTTTCTCGGCGAGCAGGACGACTGGACGATGCCGCGGCCGCGTTGATGGGAAGTGAAGGATTTGTTCTCGGCTGCGCAAGGCCCGGAAGTGTCAAGCCTGGAAGCGCCATGGATTCGTGGTCGTACTTCTTCCCGGGCTGTGTCAGAATTCAAGGGCAACAGAGACCACGCTTGTGATGAATTGCAGAATTGATGAGACGGAACCTCAATCTCTTTAGCGACTCAACAAGCGTCAGAAATGGAGTTGTTTTCTTGCTTGTGAATGATGATGACTGGCGCTTGGGCGCGTCTATCGATTGTGATCTGGTGGCATCAAAAGGCTTGAGCAGATGTGATATGATGCAATGGGGTTGGAGATACAAATGTCTTAATGTACAACAGAACAGCCTCACACGCGCAAATACGGCATTCACAAAACATCGAAATTCTGTGCACGGGCTTCACATATGCGAGTCGATAGGTATTTATATCATGTACGACTTAAAAGTACAGGGCATGGATAGATAATATTATTGCATCGATTTGACATACTCTGCAATGAGGAGGTGCAACGCTGATTACACTGAAAAAATGTAGTGATGTTATCCGAAGCCCATCATTATTATTGATGGCACTCCTCACTCGTGCTACAGGCAACATTACCAAGACGCTCGAGCAATGTGTTTCACTGCTCGTGTGACTAACGATTTATCATTGCAGGGGGATGGCATTTACTCTATCGTACTGTCGCACCAGTCAAGCTCTTTACTGAGCATGTGCCTTGCTTCGTCTTCAACAGAGCAACGAGATTGGACTTGGCCGATTCGCTTTCCTGAAGCTTTTCCACTTTGGCGGCCTCGAAGGCAACTATCTTCTCGGCGGTAGTCGTGAACCCTACTTGACAATCATCCCATACCTTCTTCTTCGGGTTCAGTTGTCCTTCGGGCTCACCTTCGAAGCCCTCGAAGTAGACTCGCTCGCCAGCAGGCGCACCGGCTGGAGGAGCCACAAGCTCAACAGGGCCGGCGTGGTGGTCCTCCTCGCCAGGAGCTAGCCGTGGAGACGCTGCTAAGACCATGGCACAGGACTTGATCCCTCGCATGGTTACCGGCTTCAGGTTGCATACTGTGATGACCTTGCGATTTTGCATTTCCTCCAGCGGGATAAGACCATTAAGGCCAGAACAGACCGTTCGGACGACCTGTCCCTCGTATTCGCTCGTGTTTTCTGTGCCAGGCGCATCACCGCAGGCGATGGTACTGACAAACAACGAGTCGGCGTTAGGATGCGCGATCGCCTTGAGGATGTGTCCGACTCGAAGATCGATGAGAGCGGGCGAGAATGGCTTCTCCACAGGTGCCGCTTTGGGCTGCTTCGGCTGCTTCTCCTTTTTCTCCCTCTTCACGCCCGGAACAACGGCTCCAACGGCAGCAGCAACAGCTTCACCGACCTCTCTGGACTTCTTCTCTTGCTTAGATTTGGACTTTTCGGCAGCCTGGACAGAGTCGCTTGCGGCCGAAGTGACGGTGCCGTTTGCCGCAGCGGCGGCATCTGCGCCAGCCGCTGCAGCTGCAGCCTTCTCCTTCTTCTTTCGCTCTTTTTCAGCTTTCGCGTCGATCGGCTTAATGATTGCGACGACTTCTGAAGGTTCAATGGCGATCTTGTCTTCTACTGGAATTTCCAAGCCGAACAAAGGGCCATTTTGTACGAAGTCCAGATGCCGTACGATGTGGTGGTATCCGTGCTCACCAGTGCGTTGTTCAGCCGTCCATCCCTTGACCAGTGGAGCGAGCTCTGAATAGATCGCTACATCGGCCACACTAGGTTTTGATCCGAGCACGGTCGTGCGAGTCGCAAGATGGGTGTTTAGACTAGACAGTCGCTCGGCAGATTTGGCTTCATCCTGGGTGCGGTCCGCGATGCACGAGGAGGTGACGATCCATTGGTCGATTTCACTTTTCTCGGCAGTTGTGTACTATTTTGTTTACTCGTCAGACTACTTATCCGGGTACCCAAGCGGACTCTTGTTTTGCGTATTGCCTACCTCGATTGACGCAAACTTGTCGGCCACGGATTTAACCAATGGACTTGATTGTACGGTAGCGACGGTCATATTGGATCGGAAGAAGTCGCTGTAGCTGCGGATCGCAAAAGGGGATGCCTGTCTTCTTGAGAAGGTTTCGCCTCGGTGTGGACTCCCGAGTGATCGTTGTCGGATTGGCCGAATTCCTCTATCCACCAAGCGGATGAGTGAGCGAGAGCGTAGTTGCTTCAGGGTGACGGCGGTCGCGATGTTGGCGACTGATGGGCTGCTTTTACAGGCTGAGTGTAATTAAGTCGATTTTCCGGGATATGGAAATATTCTGCGTTGAGTCACCGATGGTTGTACTGTGTTTGGTGGAGCACACGACGTTTTTTATTCAAATCAATGCGGGCAAGAGAGCGATCTGCAGTTCTGCACTGCGTTACCCGCTGAGGGAAACCTTATGACGAGCAATCGGGCTGAGTCATTATCAGAGCCCCACCATCAGTCTGTCAAAGGGTTGCGGTCTACACGCATAGGGTTGAGGTTATTGTCTGCAAAGGAAAAATTGACACACCTTCCATCATTATTATCATTACTACTACAACTGCGTCAAAACTTAAGTTTGCTATTCGATCACACACCTGACGCAGACAAGGAATGCGAGTGTGCAGGTATATGGGGGAGGAGTCGGGTTGCATTCACATGAAAATTGCTCCCTGCATTGTATTATAGATGTCGTGGTTGAACTCATATGTACGGTTTAGAAATGTGGAAGTCTTCGGTATTCGGTCAGGAAAGCAACATGGCTCTTCTGTCATTTCCGTTTACGATATATCAAGCAGCCGATATTATCTTTTCTATTGATGATGGTACAAGCAGTCGTGCCGTAACGCCATCCATGCTATAACAGTACATTCATCGCAATGACACATTGATTCATCCGCGACTCAGCGCATCCAGCTCTTCCTTTCGCGACCGATACAGATCCTGTGCCTCCCTCTCGCGCCGGCTGATCAGGGCGACCTGATCTCGAAGGCTTTCCAGCCGCTCGGCTACCGTGGCTTGCTCAGCGACATGGACCCGCCGACTGACCTCGACTTCCACCGTCATCCTGCCTAAGGCCTGGCCAGCTTCCGAGATCTTCGCGCGTAATTTGCGTTGTCGATCTAGATATCCGCCATGAAGTTTGGCGAGTTTCTTCTCTAGGCCGTTGCCCTTGGTCGACAGTTGCCCGATGCTCTGTTGTATGCCGTCGAACATCTCGATGGAAAGTTGTTCTTCGTCAAGGTCGTCCTTGCCATATCCCGCCAATCCTGGCAGGATCGAATCAACACGAGCGCGCTGCAATGCATCCTCAAAAGCTTGACCAAATGTCTCTCGTTTGTCACTCGCGCCCATCTCCAAAATAATGTCTGCCTGAGCTCGCGCGAGCAAATCCTCCGGGAAGCTCGGCAACGCTCGCCGAGGGGGCTTGCCTTGTGCGCGGCCGAACTGCGCCGCATCATTTGCCATGAGCAAAGCGGCCTCCTCTGCAACCTGGCGCTTTGCCGAGTCTTCTATCGTTCTTGCAGCTTTCAACATTGCGTTGAGGTCGACAACAGAGGGCCGGGGCAAGCCTCGTTGCACGACTTGACTCTGCCTCTTGAACTCAGCCAGAGCGGCCGCCTCAGCGAGCTGGGCATTCCTTTGGTCGCGTGCAGCAGCGTCCTCACCTCCGTCTACATCTGTAGATACCGACAGCTCGTCTTGCTCCGCAGGTAACGCTTCTAGCTCGAAGTCGACTTGTTGTGGTTTAGGTAAACTTGCAAGCTTACCCCGTAGCGAAAGACGCAAGGCCTGTTCTTGTAGACGAATGTCACGGGGAGTTTGGCCTACCAACTGACCGATTCCATCCTCCTGATTGAGTCGGAAATTGTCTCTAGGGGTTCGTAGAGGCGTCGCACCTACCATGCCTAATCCACCTGGGCCACCACCAGAACTGCGAAACGGTGTTGCCATTGGATTGGGAGTGGAAATGCTTTGCTTTGACGGCGCCACTCCCCCATATCCAGTGGTGGCATCATCCTCAACAAGCGAGGCATTTTCGCCGCCGAGTAAAGCAGACTGTGTCTCTGTCCGAGCACGGGCGTTGCGCAGCTCGTTGGTGATCCGATCTTCCTCTTGAGGCGCTCGTGGGGTCCGGATAGGCGTCGCGCCAATTGTACTAGAGTAATTGCTCACAAGAGCTCTGGTCGCATCGTTATCGCCATCCTCCGCCAGCGCGTTGGCCCGCGCGCCTGATAAACCCATTTTGACAATGTCCTCGAGCTCACTCTCGCTGACCTGCGGCGCCGGCAAAACTAGTGATCTTCGCTTGCTGCTCTGTTCTGCTTCACGTATCCGTTGCAATTGACCAGCTTTCGCGGCAGCGGCAAAGGCAGCGGCACCGCCATCGTTCTCGTTCTTTCTCCGCTTGTGCTCTTGTCCCTCCATTTCCTGTCCATCGCCTTTGCGTTTGTTGGCTAGCTGGGCCCGGCGCGGGTCAAACATGGCTCGCTGATGTTCATTGTGAGCTTGCTCCTCCTGTGTGTCGTAGAAGCCCGGAGCAGGCGCCTTCTCGAACGGAATGTCCGCATTGTAGTCCATCTGACCCTTTTTCCTAGTTGTCACCTTGACATTGATTCCAGCGTTCTTCAACTCTCTACGCTTCTGCAGTACTGCCAGTCTCCTGCTCTCCTCCAACTGCCGTTCACGCGCCTTCCTTTTCGCCTTTTTGCCCTGCGTGTTCGCCAAGCGAGCGCGAGCCTCTGATAACATCTCCTTTTCGTCCTCATCTAGATCGATGGTGTCGGGTCGCGCGGGTTTACTTTCAGGGTCAGGATCTAGCTCACCCGGTCGAAGCCTTCGGACATCGTCTGCAGAGGGTGGCGCGGCCTCTCCTCCGTCCGGTCCAGCCAGCCCAAACTCTTGCTTCTCTCGCGCCTCGGCCTCGTCGAGCAATTTCTGATATCGTTCGAGGCACTGCGTAGCCGTGCGGCCGACGATGGGAGCGATGGTCCGCCATTGCGTCGGCATCAACTTTGCCAAATGCAATAATTTCTCATCCTCTTCGCGACTCCATTCGATCTTCCGGATGCCAGGATCCAGCCATTCCGCCCATCGCGCCTTGCACTGCTTGGGAGTTTTGCGCGCGAGCAGCGAAGACACGCGCGCCCACTGATTCAGCCCATACTTGGATACAGACGCTTTGAGAATTTCATCTTCGATATTCGTCCATACACCTCCTTTGACGACAGGCATTTTCGGTCGACGGGCGGGATCGTTACGTCGGTGATGCAAGAATCGGCATGGGCTGAGGCGACGCAACTCACCTTTGACGTGTCTGATGAGAAATGATTACAATATCTCGAATGTAGAGTCAGGAAGGCGAAAGCAATTGCGGGTAGGGCTTGGGTGAATGACTCGCGTGTAAGCTCGTGTGCGCTTAAACGCCTGATGACATTTTAGGACGAAAGCATGCCCACCTGCAGGTGAGATGTCACGGAGCTTTCCGTGGACAACCAGAATGATGACTTTTGTTCCAATAAGACGGCTATGATTGTACTCAAGATGCATCCCGTGCTACAACATATCCGAATAGCTTCCCATGATCCGTCTGGGATGCAACACGTATTACTGGAACCAAAATCCATCGCTGAGCAGCCCCTCCTCCGATTCTCGTCACACTAGCTGCAAGTGTTCTGTGATCTTCTGTAGGCGACCGATCCAAATATCAAATTGATCCCGTGCCAATCCCATGAACGGCCGAGGATTCAACGCACCATCGTGAATATGACCATGTTAGCGAAACACACGCTCAAGCCGATTCTCATCAAGGACGGCCGCGTCGTCGCTCGCGCCTTTCTCGGCTCAGTAGCATCATCCCAAACATCCACCGCAGAGACCAGCACGACCAACATCCACAAGACGACAGAGCCGATCACAGAGAAAACAAGCAGTACTGTCATCCACAAGACGACTGAGTCGCGTGGCGAGAAACAGACGCAAGCGAAACCAAGCGTCAGTAGCAAGACCTTGGCGGAACTGGACGAAGATCTCCGTCAGAAGATGGCGGCAATGGTGGGCGATGGAGGAGAGGCGGGCGTCGAATACGAAGACGGAAAGCCCGTCGCCATGAAACGAGGAGTGCGCGAGAACATGTTCCGTTATATTTGATGAGGCACTGCGCTTCAGACTATGGCGGAGCCTAGCACGGGTGGCAGAACAATGAGAGGACACATACATCTCGGCATGTGTCAGTGCCGTGGTCGCGAACACACGAGGCGGGGGCGCATTCTGTACATTGAGACGTGCTGCCGAAAGTTGCTTTTCACACAAAAGTGCTTGACCTAGGTGATTGCTCATAGAATGTAACTTTAGGAAAACGGGTCGGCACAAAAAAGTACAGAGTATGATTTCATTTGTAAAGAGCATTGCTGATACAGGATGGCCAGTATTATTGACCACCAGGGTACAGTAAATCTGAGAGCGCTCTGGACAGGGCGGCAATCGATGTGGTATGAAGCGGCGTATACATGGCGCAGAACGCTGCGAAAGAAAAAGAAGAGCACGACGCAGCTCAAGCCATGTCATCGCCCAACCTTTGCGACCCGAACGCCGCAAGAAATAGATGGTGGTCCCACCGCAGGCCGGTAATCATCGAAAAACGTGAGCGTGAACAAGGATTGAAAGATTTCGCAGGGGAGGGTGTCCGCTGCAGCAGGAGAATGGTGAAAGCATAGGGCGGAGCTGGGGAATGGCGACGGAGGGGAAAAAGGCTCGCGCCCGCGAAGATGTTGATACATTGAGAAGGAATCAGGATGGCCAAGGCCGAAAAGAAATCAAATCAAAAAGTGAATGGCTGCGTAACGCATATCAGCAAGGACGTGTACATGAGCGAGGAGAACCGTCGAGGCGAGCTCCTCCTAGAAGCAGTTGAGGGAGTTCTTCTTCTTCTTCTTGTTGGCGTTGAGCTCCATCATGCGGGCCTCGAGCGCCTGTCGAGCCCTTTCGGCACGCAGTCTCATCTCGCGCTCCTCCTCGACGGCTTGCAGACTGGCGCGGGAGCTGCTGCGCTCCTTGCGGAGGCTGACGAGTTCATCCTCGAGGCTGGAGCAACGCTTGCGGTAGTTCTCCATTTCTGTCTTGGTGCGGTTGGCCGAGGTTTCAAGATCGACCAGCGCTTCCTCGAGAGTGGCGGTGAGCTGTTTCTCGGCAAACAAGTGCTTCTCGATGGTGCGGATGCGGGCTTCTTGCTCCTCCACCACCTGTGCCATAGCCTGGCTGACCTCATTCGACGCGTGACGCGAGGGCGGAGGAGAGCCAGCGGTAGGTGAAGTGGCCCGTGGGGTTGGCGGAGACGCGGCCCGAGCATCGATACCACCCAAAGTGGCGCTGTTGGTGCCACCGGGTGAGCTGGGCAATGGAGGGAGGGGAATGGAGGGCGGTGGAGTCGGCAAAGCGGTCGACGTTGTAGATTTGCGCGGGTTGGACGAGGACGAGGCCGATCGTGCGAGGGCAATGGCAGCGGCTTCTGGAGAGAGGGATTCGCGATTCCACGAAGTGGATTGGTTTGAGACAACCGACTGGCGCTTGAAGGCAGCCAACTGTTGCTGTTGGTTTGTGTCAGTACGTTGCATAGAGTGCTTGTCAACATGACGAGAGTTTGGCCATACCTCAAGTGTGCTGTTGCGGATCTTGTGTTCCTCCAGCTCGCGCTCGAGTTCCATCCGCGCCTGCACTGTTTCGCTCTGCATCGTCGACAGACGCTTGTTGGTGGCTTGGTGCGAGTCGAAGTTGGAATTGAGCTGCTCCTCCAATTCCTCCACGAGGCGCGAACTCTTGGCGTATTTGTTGGACATCTTCTCAAGATGGAGCGCGCGCTCCTCGCTGACAAGTTTGATCTCGTTCACTTGACTCTCCATCTCGACGGATCGGTTGATGGCGTTCTGCAATTCTTCCTGCACCGCCTTGAGATCGTTGGTGGTCTTGAGGTGGCGGTTGTGTAGTTCCTTGCCCTCTTCGACGAGGCCTCGGATCTGAGAGTGTAGCTTGGATGGGTCGGTCTCATAGCCCAGAGCCGTGGAGGCGTTACGGATGAGCTGGCTGGACTCGTTGTGCGCGGCTGCGAGGGCATTGCGTAGGTCAGAGGTGACTTGCTCATGTTGCTCTTGGAGCGCGGCCGTCTTCTCATTCGATTCCTTTTGCAGGTGTTCGATGGACGTCTTCAGCTCGTCCACCTCTCTCGAGTGCGCGGCCTGCAAGGACTCGAGGCTTTCTTGGTGGATGGCAATGGCAGACTTGTGCACTTGCAGCTGGTTCTCCAGGTTGACCACGAGGTCCTTGTGAGTCTCCAGCTCCTTCTGCGCGAGAGTGTGCGAGGAGCCGGCGGCATCGACTTGGGAGGCGATGTCGGCATACGATTCCTGAAGCTGCTCGAGGCGCGCAACCCGCTCGTTGGCGATGGCCTGGTGCTCCTGCACTTGCGACTCCAGCGCCTTGACCAATTGGCGGTGCATGGCGCGCTCCTGCTCGATGTCGTCGGCGTCAATGTCCTCGTCATACCGAGCCGAGCCGCTGGGCGATGCATCACGCGTGCGATCCCGCTGAGTCGCGGCGAGTGATGCCTGCAGGTCCGCGATGGTGCTCAACAGATCAGCTTGTGAGGCGGTGAAGGAGTCCATGGTCTCCTTGTGCTTCACCTCCCACGCAGCGACCTCCTGCTGCAAGCGGGCGATATCCGCCGCCGCGTCGAGGTTGGTGTCGGAGCGCTGCAGTGTCCGGTCTGATTCGGGCGACGCTGGGAAGCCTCCGGGGATGGACGAGAAACCACGTTCCTCGGCCGGAGTGGGCAAGCCATGCCGACCTGGGCTAGCAGATTTGCCGGATTGCAAGATGGCTTCCTTGAGGTCCTCAATCTGTGCTTGGAAGTCCTTCTCCTTGGCAGCATGTTGTTCGTGCAAGGCGCGGATTTGGTTCTCACTCTCCAAGAGCTGGTCACGCATCTGACCGACGACGGAGAAATCGACGCCCGACGATGCCTTCATGCTGGACCGTTCGCGGGTCAGACCCGAGATGATGGTCTGCTTGCTCTCCATTTCCTTGCGGACGTTGGCCAATTCCGTCTCTAGGACCTGCACGCGCTCCGATCGGCCATGCAACTCGGTCATGACGGAGTTGATGTTCTGATCGAAGTTCTGCTTGGCGTCTGAGCTCTCCTCGAGGTGGTTCGCCGCCAAAGTCTTGAGGTTGACGATCGACTTGGAGAGGCGATCAGAGGTGCCGTTGCTGAGGAGGTCTTCTGACCGGCGACGCCACATGGATTTGCTGAACGATGGCGAGGCCGGGAAACTGGGTGAGGCAGGTCGGAGTTGTTGGGACCGCATGACTTCCTGCTTGAGCTCCTGCACCTGCGCGAGTGTGCTCTCGTGCCGCTGAGCCAAGCTCTTGTAGTTCTTGGTGAGCTCAGTGACGGATACTTCCTTCTCGGCGTGTAGCTTGCGGAGGGTCTCCATCTCTTGCACCATCTCGTCGTGGTCGGAGGGTGAATTGGCACGGGACTCGCCTCCTGCATCAGTAGCATCGTCCTGGGCGTCGAGATCCGCCCTCGAGGCCTCGGCGCCACCATTCAATGGCACCGGCGACGAAGAGTCCGAGGAGGAGAGAGTAGACGAGGGTTGCTCGGTTCGTGCCGGCTTGTCTGATTTTGCGTCGGTTTCTAAAAAAGAGTTGGGTCGGCTCTGCTCCGGGGTCTGCAGAGATTTGAGCTCCTTGTCGTATTCCAACTTTGCGAGAGTCTCCAACGCCGTGCGGTACTTTTGCTGCAGGTTGTCGTGGTCGGTCAAGATGGCCTCGTGCTCGGAGCGGAGGTCGAAGAACTCTTGCGACAGGCTCTCAAACTTCTCGGCCATGAAGTCCTGCTGGGCGCCGATGGTGGCAGCCAAAGGTGCGACCGAGGGTTGCGGCACACCATCGCTCTTCTCGTGCGTCATGGAGTCGTCGCCGTTCACGCTGCCATAGTCCGACTTGGACTCCGCAGCAGACGGGGGCCGGAAGGGATCGTAATCGTCATCGTGAATGTTAGGAACGGCCTTCGCGGCGCGCTTTGTGGCCGCGGCGACATCAGACGCCGCTACGCCGCTGTTGTTTCGCGCCACGTCAAGCTCGCCCAGCAGGTTGTCCAGCTTGCCGATGCTGCGTTGGCGGTCCACGACATGCTCCAAGCGGTCGATCTCGCGTTGCATAATCTCCTGGTCCTGCTCGGCTTCGGCCAAGCGCTCCTCTAGGGTTGAGATGTAATCTTCGGCACTCGCCTCGCCCTCCCTCACTCGAGCCAGCTCCTTTCGCAATTCATTCATCATTGTCTCGCGGCGGTCGTCCTCGGTGGAGGCGCCCTCCATTTTGTTCTCGAGCTCCCGTGTGTATAGATCGTTGCTAGCCTCGCGATCCATAGATTTCTGGACGCGTGACTGCAGCTGCTGCTGAATGGTCTCCATGTAGGCGATGCGGGTCTCCTTCTCCATCAGCGTCGTCTCGGTGTTGGCGAGGGAGGAGCGGGTCTTGGACAGGCTCGTCTCGAGGGTCTGGATGGTCTTTTCATATTCGAGGACGACCTGCTCCACGGCCTCGGCGAAAGAGTTGGAGCGCTTGATGCGCTCGCTGACATTCTCTCCCAAAGCCTCGTGGAGGACAGGTGTCTCGCCCTCTTCACTCTCGTGGGCGCGCGAGATCTCAGCGATGAGGCGGGCGTGGCGTTGGCTGAGCGCATTGTAATTCTCCTGCATGTCCATAAGTTGCGACTGCAGCTCAGCATCGCGACCGCGCGAGCGATCGCTCTTGTCACCACCGCGAGTGGTTTGGTCGGCATTGCGAATCTGGTCGCGCAAAAAGCTCACCTCGGCCCGTAGGCGGTCGATGGCGGCCTGCTTGTCGCCTTCGTCGTGGCTGCTCTGGATCTCGGGCTTGCTCTGGATAGCGCGCGCGCGTTGGGCGTAGTGAACGGTGTTGAGCGTCTCGCTCAGGTGGAAGACGGCCGGCGTCACGCAGGCGACCATGAAGGTGATAGCGCTCCCACCGAGGGAGTCTTGCAGCAGGCGAGTCAGTCGTGAGTCGCGGTAGGAAATGTGTGCGTTGGGATTCCTGGAGGACAATTGCGAGATGACCTTGCCCAAGCTGGCAAGGCCGGCGTTGATGGAGATACCCTCCTTGGCACGGTCACCGGTAGCACCTGTATTCTTCAACCGTTCGCTACCGGCCAGGTCGACAAAGTGTAATTTGCTATCAACGGTCACGGTGGATTCGGGCGCGAAGCTCTCGGCTGGCATTGACTGCCGCTTGTCGACTTTGCTCGTCGTGGCGGCCGGGGGAACGCCGTCGGATCGCCTCTGAATGAGATTGAGGCTGAAGACGGCATGAGATCGCGACGATCGCGCGTTTATGGCGGTGGCGTCAGTCTGGCGGATGGCAGAGCCGTAGGCGAGGGCGTTTAGGACATCTTCGGCGGAGTGGATGGGGACTTGGGTGAGGCCCGTCAACATGATGCGGCCCTTGGTGTCCTCGCGGATGGCGACCTGGCTACGATCGCCTTGGCCTTCTGGGGCGAGTAAATCCCGCAGCTGCTCATTGTAGATTTCGACGTAGGTAGCCCTCAATTCCCAGTCTTTGGTTGCGCCAGCGATTGAGGATCTGGCGGGCGTGGCCTGTGTGGAGTATCGTTTGGGAGCCTGGAGACCTGACGGACGGGCCTGCCCGCCGTTGAGCTTCTCGAAGAGTGCGTGGGCGGCGCGGGGAACGATGCCTCGCGATTCCGGTGCATCCTGGTCGCCCGACGCGGCGGTGCCCATGGTGTACGATTTGCCGGCACCAGACTGGCCGTATGCAAGGATGGAGACATTATAGCCCTTGATGAATGACGACACGCTATCGCTGACGTATTCCCATACTCCTTCTTGGGTGGTGTTCTCATCGAAAACACGGTCGAAGACGAACAGCTTCTTGCCCTGAGGCGATTGCACCGACAGGCTGGCGGGTGTCGGGACCTGGCACATGCTCTCACGGAAGCGCTGCGGAATCAGGTCGAAACCCGGATCGGTCGGATTGAGCGGTGGTCGCACACGTACGGCTGCACGGCGAACAAACGGACAGACAAGCAGTTAGCAAAACGGAGAGGACATGAGCGGACATGGGACCAGTATTGAGCGCGTCAACGGCTGTGGGACATGTGTAAAGACCTACCGACCCGCACCGCGGTTTTGTTTCCATCCTCGCCATTGATGCTGTTGTCTTTGTTGATGTTGTTGTTGTGGGCATCGGTCGCGCCCTGACGGCTGACGTTCTCAATCATGCGGCTGCTGCTGCGATTCCTTCGTGTGCCGGCTGTGCTGGGTCTCTGTTGGTGACCCCAATTTGTCGCCGGTCGCATCGGGGAGGCCGGAGGAGATGTGGCCGCGGCAGCGACGGCAGCGGAAAAGGGCTCCATGGTCGCGATACTGCTGCTGGTGCTGATGCTGGTGCTGCTTGCGTGCGAACACCCGGCACCGCAGAAGTGAGGCGCGATGGAGGAGGGACGACCTTTGTTTCCCTTGGGTCGGTCGGTGGTGACGCTGGGATGGGATGGAGGATTGGGTGGTAAAGGGAAAAAGGCGGTCCGGAGAAGGAGGAGAGGATCGATTGGGAGAGCAGCAGAGGAAGGGGAAAAGGGTGGGACCGAGCGAGCGAACGAGCCCCGGAACCCTAGCACGGCGTTTGGATCTGGGTAACGTTTGGTAGTGGAGTTGGGGGTGGTGGTTGCAGCGGTGGTGGTACTCCAGGGCTGTTCTAGGAGCGGTCCTTCCAAGGTTCCTTGTCACGTACGGGTTTTCCAGTAGTCCAAAAGGGTGCAAGAGTTCGTCCTTGACACCACACACACACACACACACACACACACACACACATACCCTCCCCAAAGCGAGGAAAAGAAAAGGTGTGGCCGGGGCTGCGCGTGCGCACGCGAATGTGGCGTGGAATTTATTTGTTCGATGGCGATGGATCTGTGTCGGGAGAAAGAATCATCATTGATGGTAACGATCAGTAGTGACTGACGACAACCACGGAGAATCATAATTGTTGTTAGTTTCGAAGAAGGGAGGGGGCCTCCTGCCTGATTGACTGTACGCGCTGTCGTTGTGTGTCTTGGTGATACAGTGCACCTGCACCTGCAGTATTCATTCTTATTATGCCCATGTGGATTACGGTGTGTATAACAGTAACAATGAGAACAAGGATGAGGGATTCCGAGCGTTTCCCTCCCGCCGGCAGATGTTGTTTCGGAGCGAGGAGCAGTCAACAAGTCATGGCATGTCCTCCGGACTGTCCATGCGATTGTCTGGATACAATATTGTATACATGTCGACGGTTCACAGCAGTTGATCGCAATGATGAGGAGTGGTTGTTGCATTTACTCTTCTCGGACACGCGTTATCGTGCCGGTATCTGTCATGGTCGTCGTCGGCATTCTCATCGCAGCGGTTTACTCTCACGACAGCACCGTCATTGGCTGCAGGACGAGTCCCTTCCCATCGTTCGCTCCGAGACACGCGCTCTGCTGTTCATAACATCGGTCATCACTCGTCGGAACAATACAACCAAACAGGGGGAGTTTGGTTCGTTCGCGTGTCTCTTATCAGGGTCCTGAGACAGTGATTTCGAGAAGGGGAGGGTTGTGGATCTCGGGACACACACACGGAAGTATGCGTATCGAAAACCAAGGCTGGCCTGCTGCCACAGTATTTACACATCTACGCGAGGAGTTTGTGGGAACTTGTGCGTAGACGAGTGACTACCTAAGTATTGTGTAGGTACGATCTCATAATAATTCACAGTCAGGTACCAAGTGCAAGTGCAAGCCACAAGTGGTGCAATCTGGATGGTACCTGAGCTAGTTGAATCATCCATCCATGGATCACTCCGGCTCTCTCGATGTGCGCGTGGTGGGGGGTGGATGCAGGTGGTGTGCCTGTCAGCCCTTTACTTGTTGGTGCACACAGAACACAGCGCACACATGCATGGCGACAGTGGATGAACTCGTGCAGGTGGGCACCGGTAACATCCATGGGTGGATGGTCGTGATGGTGTATGCCAAACCACCTGGGCAAGGAAGAGAGCTGGAGGCGGCGAAACGCAAACGAAGGGGGGGGCGCCGAAGCGAACCACAGCATACACACCTGGGCACCCACCTAATAATAATAATAATAATAATAATAATAATAATAATGCATGCAGAGTGCCTGTCGCTGCTGCCGTGAGTGGAGGTGTAGGTAGCATGGATTTCGTCCGGCGCCCGATGGGGAATCCCATCCATTCTTTTCCTCAATCGCACCTGGGCATATATTCATGGACGGGAAGATTTACGTTTCGTACAGTGATCCATTCGTCTTCCTCTGATGATGCAAATGCCCAAGCATCGTTATGATGCGCCCGTATCAATTTACCAGAAGTCAATAATTGCTGCGCATCAAAATGTTATGCGTGGTACTCACAATCAAATGGCAGGCCCTGTCCAGCCATTTGCCGAGATGCCGACCGAGCAGCTGAGCGTCTTCTCTCTCCCGCCCAGTGAGGGCCGACAGAAGACAGCGACGCTGACAACAATCATGCCCACCTGTATGATTCATCTCTCACATCAAGGCGATGTCGTACATGCCTCACGACAGATCCCAAAGGTAATCGCTCATCTTCGCGAGATTCGTCAACGGCTTTCGCTCCATCTAGCAATCGCTCTCACGTTTCGTTCATCGGCTAGAAAACCCGACCCATGCCCACGGTGTTGATGAACTGTTGATATTGCGGAGAAAAGAAATTAAACCATGCCAACGGGGAATTGCATCGGCCCGGCTGGGCAGATATTCGTTTTGGCGGAAAACTCCCATCTCTCAACGTCTTGGGTTGGAAGGAAGCACACCGCAATCCTTCTCGTTCGCAGTGGTTAGCATGGCTCATCTCCATGCATGAAACGAACAGGCAGAATTGCTACAGGCATCGTAGATATCGGGAACAACGATGTCCCATTGCCGTGGTTGTTGTTCAAGACCGGGCTGCGCAGGACGCCTGCCCTGGAGATCGTCGTCGCGGCGGCGGCTACGTGCGTGTACCTGCTTGCCGATCACATTTCTCGTCAGTCGTGTTGAGTGCCACGTTGGGGTCGAAACTCTAATAATATACATGTTGTTATCATTGTCATCGTGAGAAGTCATATTGAAGGCGACAAGTCTTTCAATTGCCGTTATCAACATGAAACATGCAGTTGCACAGTCGATGCACAGTGTGGACTTGCTGGACGTACATATTAGCTGCAGCCCAAGGTAATCAATCTATATTCCCGTTGTGTGCGCGCGACGCGACGCGACATTGGAGTATTGCAGGCGACGCGACGCGCAAAGCCGCCCGCATTCGTCATCGTCAATGATGAGCCTCAGCGCGTCGATTACGGAGGTGGAGGAATAAGATAACCTTGCAAGATACAAGACAACCCCGAACCTCGGAAGGAGGAAATGGCATCAGCATCAGGATCAGCAAGCGTGTGATGAGAGATTCCGGTATCGATGACACTTGGCAGACGCCTTGTGGACTGGGAGCACAACACATACCGGACTGGGATCTTGCACATGCTATCATATAGCACAATCCAGGAACACGATGACAGAACAAACATCCCGGACCATACTCGCATATACGCCAATCTCTTTTTGACGGCGGCATGGTGGTGGTCATCCTGTCGTGGTCTTTGCCCAAGGGCACACTGTCATTCGAAGAAGAGAACGAGACCAACCACGCACAAGACAGGACTGTGCTCTTCTCGCACAGAATTACGACGGCCAAACCCACGAACGCGTCATTTTCCACATGACGACGAGATCGTTTGCGCCCTGTGCCTATCATTCATCGTCAACAGGCTTCGGAAGCGTCGCCGTTGTGAGCGCAGTGGGATCTATTCGATGCGCGACAATATCATTCACATGTGACTACAGACTGCGGTGAAAGATGCAAGCAGCAAAATCTGCTGATTCGTCCAGCCTCCCGCTTGTGAATGGCATCAGTGTCGTGACTCCATTAGATTTTTCAATTATTATAGTCGCCGTTTGGGGCTGGGAAGATTCATTTCTCAACTCCTCCACCACCCCCAAGACTGATAAGGATTTCGTCCGGGGGCCAAATGCACCATGCCGATGAGCCACGGGCTCGGATTGGTCCTGGCATTGCTTCTCTTTTCATGTTCAAGCCGCGCATGCCGGGCTGATCGAGGCGTCATCAAGATGGTGGTGATTCAACGTCCTTCTGCGACGAAAACGATCGACTAGTGACTGTGCCTCACTTGTGCAGCTCAACTGTCAGGATCCAGCACAGGCACAACTGATCATCAGATGAGGAGAAAAACATAGGAACGGATGGGCGACAGACCGGTGCCGTGTCGTGCATGTCTAGCGTACCGCGCTTGCGGACATCCGATCGAGGGCTGCATCGTCTAGTGTCGAACTCTACCCGCGCCTGCCCTTTTCCCTCCTGTGAGGTCTCCAGTCATAACGGACAATTTATCAGTAGTAATTAATTTATATTCCAACATTAATTTGTGATTGTGGCCATTCGCGTATTTGCGAGGCTGTGGGCATGGTGACAGCCCTTGCTTCTGCGGACATCCGTGGATTTACCTGCTGGTCTGCGCAAGGAACGAAGTCGAACAGACAGCAGGAGAGGAAGGAGGAGGATATGAAAAGAAATACAGCCCTACCGTGTACCGACCAACTGCTCGGCACTTTCCTCTCACATACATCCGGTACCTGATCCCCTTTTTTTGTTTTTCTCGCTCGGCACACGAACACTCTGCATTTCCCATCAAATGCACGTGCTTCTCCCAGCGCTTGTACATCGGTGATGGTAGAGCGGAGAAGACAAGACATTGGTTCACGGATGTTCTCGGCGGACGACAGCAGCAGAGACAGCACAGTGGGCTCATGCAGTCCATCTGCAAAGCGAAGGGGGTGGAGGAAGAGGAGGAGGAGAGGCGCTGGTGGAGCTGTTGGGAAGTGCCGCGGTCAAGCAAACATGAACCCTCTAGTTCGTCGTTCGTATAGGGTTACGAACCATGCCGCGGCTTTTGTCATTCTCATTCATTACCCAGGAGGTATGTATTATTACGCGCTATCGCTCATGTTGGAACTTACTATGATGGAGGATGACTGAGTACTGGTAACAATGTGTAATGAGGCTCTTGCGCAAGGGACTCTGTGAACATCGTTCGGCTTGTCATCCCAGCACGTTCCTATGTGCCTGGGCGCATCCCGTCCCTACTGCACCGATCATCAATGACATCCGTTCCACCAAAATCCACGTCACGAGCCCGGCCACACAAGCACAGATTCCCGCCCCGGTTGAACTATATTCCTCCACTCTCTCACGCGATCGTTGCAGATAGACAACAAAGACCCACGCCAACAAACCGTTTTCGTTCTGGAAGAACGAACAAAACTCTCATAGATTAAACTTCTTACCGGACTCCCAGCCGTGACATTTCTACACCGCAACGAAGAACATGAGTGGTGGGATTCATTGGATTTTGGTCGAAAATCCATCGACGTCTCACCAATGATGTGAGGAAAAGGGACGACTTTCGCTTTGCTTTTCCTCGCCCCGTCCCCTGCATGCTGCATGGTGCATGCATCATGAGGAAGTCGGTGACGCCAACAGAAGGCATCGTCACATGTTTCACCTCGTCGTCTCTCCCTTGCGTGCGTATCGCTCTGAGCTCATTGCCGGCAGCATGCTGTCCCTTTGCTTCCATGCTGGCGTCATTGCTTTCGTAGTAATAGCACACTGTCAGAGCACAAACTTCACATGTCGAACGAAGAGATAAGGTACAGTATCATGACCAATTTTGCAGCTCAGTCAAGAGAAATATCGGCATCAAGATGATTCGTTTCAGCGCCACACATCATTATAATACATCCATTCCCGCCTCAAAAGGAAGTCATGGCTATCGTGTCCGAGAATTGTAGTCCCGCCCAGTCCATTCGAGCCCGTTGTCATAAATCCTAGAAAAACTCCCAACGCCCAGTGTTTCCCGTGGTCGTTTCCATCAACGAGGTTGTTGTCATTCGTCACATCCTCGTATGGAACGACGTCTTGCACAACCGTGGCGGACGTGTCCGTCCAGGCACGCGCACATGTGTCGGAGTTTGGGATTTCCACGAACATGCGTACACCCCATACATGGTCTGCTCACAAGAAGTACTCGCCGCGACCTTGACGACCTGCAGGTACTGCTCGTCGATGATCCGGAACCGCGCTGAATATCTTAAAGTCCGGGTTGAGATCCTCGCCGAGCGTCATGATGCTCGCCACATTACCACAGCGATAGCAGTAGTTCGGCGCCGACCAGACGGTCACAACGTCCTGCGAGGCGAAGTGGTATTTGTAGCCTTCGTTGACCAATTGATGTGCTCGGGCGATGAGTTGAATGTTGTTGACGTGGTTGAACTATATCTTCGTGTCAGTGTAGTTCCTGTGAAGCAAAATTGATATTTCGAGAGGATCAGCCATAACCTCGCTCGAACATCTTACCTCGCCGGATACTTTGTCTCCAAACAGCCAACCAGCTCCTCGAGGAGAAACTGCCCAGGTCTCGACCTCGTCAGGGTCACTCCAGACCAGGTCACAGAACGCACCCTCGTGAGGAATCTCCTGCGCTCTCGCCACGACACGAATCTGATCCAATGTTCTGATCTCGGGCGACAGACCGCCGTGGACACAAAGGACCTTGCCGTCAATAATGGCAGCCAGAGCTAGAAAGTCGAATACCTGACAGCAGGACTTCCATACACTCGCGTTGCCATATTTCTGTTGGCATTCTTCGTAAAATCCGTAGACCTGTGTAATTTGTCGAGACTCGTGGTTGCCTCGCACTAAGGTTACCTTGTCGGGATATCTAGAAAACAAGATTAGCAAATCATGTCTGACGTGCATCGTGCTCAAGTCAATGCCTACTTTGCTTTGAGACACATCAGTAGCGTAAATGATTCCAACGAGAAATAGCCTCGGTCGACGAAATCGCCCAAAAAGATGAAATTCTGGTGTCCATTGGCCAGATCAGTCTTTGCGCCTCTCTGACTTTTGCTTCGGCTTGGTGCCGGGCTGCTGACACCGACGCCACTATCCGGGCTCTCCTCTTCCTCGTCCTCTGCATCTTCTCGAGCACTCCCTTGACCGCCATCTCGACTCCGCACTCGTCCTCTTGGGTGGTCCTCGTCCTCTGCGCCCGGCTCTGAGCCGTCGTTGGACGCCGCTGATGTGTACGCACTGTCCGCTTGAAACCTCCGCTTCATCTTCCGTTTAACCTTTGGGTCAGAGATCTGGGTCGGAGGCTCGATATCCGCCGCACTGATGGATTTACTTGAACTGGTACTGATACGAGAGGCGGCTTTGTTTCGCTCGCTAGCCGCGGCGATTGCGGCTTTCTCGTCGACCTCGCCGGGCATGCCTCCAGCGACATGGAACAGTTCGAGTAGATCATAGAACTGTCCATGGATATCACCGCAGACTGTCACCGGCGCCTGCACAGGCTGTATGTTGGACTCCTCCATCAAGCATTCCTTGACCATCTCGCACAACCGTTTCATATCCGACTCCGGCAGATAATGGCACAGTTTGGCCTGCGCAAGCCATTCGTCTGGACCGGCATGAGATGTAAGAGTGGCGGGTCCGGGCTGCGGAACGTCGGCATCCCTTTCACGACCCATCTTGCAGACTGGCGTGGGTATAGACGTCAATCAAGTCGGTGTATCATGCGCTCAGGCAAGATCGCGGTGAGCGGACGTGCGCTGACGAGGTCCTGCGATTCGATGCGGAGTGGGGGGACGCGCAAGCGAATCTGATATCGTGACTCTGAGGATAAGATTTCTGTCCTTTCTCTACGATCCAAAACGCAGGTAAGCTACTTCGTGAGTGGGTTGGTGTGTGATATCGTGATATCTTCAGTAAGAAGTGGTCGCGTGGTGATTCTGTGCAGTGGAAAGTCCGATGTAGCGGGACACCCCGCCGCCGCCATTCGTGGCCATCCTGAGTCAAGGAAACGGGGCACAGGCGAGTGGGGCCCTACGCATATTCATCGTGAGAGGAACGATGCGGCTCCAATGTCTCACCATGGCAGCCAAAGAACATTCAATCAACTTCATGCGTCTCCTCACTTCTGCAGAGATGCCCTTGAAAAGAGTGATTAGTTCACAGGCTACAGTACGATCATTCGTAAAAGATAGTCATTGAGCTATTCACGGCAGGCAATTCATGAAATCTGCAGCTAACGATGATTCTACAGATGCTTTGGATTCGAAATGTCCTCATTCTGCTTCACCGAGGATCTCAAGGCAGTCAATCGATTCCAAATACCGACTAGGTACTCGTCTTCGGCGCATCTCCAGCAGCAGCCGTAGACGCAGCACTTGTTGCTGCAGCACCACTCTTCCCTGCTCCTCCTCCACCACCGCCACGTCCTGCATTACGATTAGGCCTATGGCCAGCTCTACTGCCCGATCCACCGCCTGAACCCGCAGAGCGATCCTTGAACTCGTGAACCTCCACGTTCCCACTTGCGACCGTCACTCGCTTAGCCTCACGCGCCTTCTGCAGTCCCTGAGCATCCATAAACAACGCAATAGCTGTACCCTTGCGAGGATCGATCGTGACGCTGACGACGTCTCCAAATTGTGAGAGTGCTTGTTGGATCAAAATCTCGGTCATGCCTTGGCTGGGATTGGCATGTTTGAGATATGCCTTGTGGGAGGAGGAGGATGCTGACGCTGCGGACTGGTTCTCGGATTTGGCGGCTGCTGAAGCTTTGCTGTTCGACTGGGCTTTTGACGCTGGCGGATGTGCAGATTCCTTGGCCTTCGTGGCCGTAGATGCTGTTGTTGGGGTGTCGGGTTTTGGCTTAGGGGCAGCGGGTGTGGTTTCCTTCACGGCTGCCACTGGCTTAGGTTTGATGCCGAGATCCTTCTGAAATAGTTTCTTGAGACCTTCTGGATTGCCCTTCTGCCGTTGTCGCGGCGCCGCCGGTGTTGTAGAGGAGGTCGTCTGAGCGGTGGCTGTTGTGGAAGTTGTAGATGCGGCTGAACTTGCGGCCGGTTGTGTTGCTGCAGCACCCTGACCCTTAGCGTTTGGTGCAGATCGCTTCGACTTTGCCGGCGACGGCTGTCCTTTGGTCGACGCTGGCTGTTGGGGAGAGGCAGGCCGCTGCTGTTGCTGTTGCTGCTTGCCTGCAACATGCTTGTTGACAGCCTTCGCTGGCTCCTTGGCTGCGGTTTCTATCTTTTGAGGAGGAGCAGCAGATCTCGCCTCTTTGCTGGGCTTCTCGACCACAGGGACCTCCTTGCTCTCGGCCTTGGCGTGACTCTTCCCATCTCGCTTCTCTTCCTTGGCCGCAGCTGCTTTGGCCTTGTTGGCTTTCTTCTCGCGTATCGCTTCGATCAGGGGTGTGCTCGTTGCGCCGACCCTTTCAACCTTCTCCTTCTCCGCTCCAACGGTGTCCAGTGCTGCAGGTTTCGATATCGGTTGTGTTTCCGCTTCCAGGAAACGGATGAACTCGGGATCCTGGTCAATTGTCCCTTGTCGGGTGTCGGCCCTCGTCTTAACATTCAATGCCATGCGCTGGTTGGGCGCAAATCCCAACGTGGGTGGTAGATGTCGTAAATCTGGACTTTTATGGGTTCCTGCTTTATCATGAAACACGACCTGTAGGAAACGGGCCTCGAAGTCTTTGACCAGCGCTTCGCTGGTCAGGTGAATGTAACATCTGCTCTGTTCGGGCACCTTGCCAATCGCCTGTTTGAATTTGCCCTGCCGATACTCTCGCCAATCAACTTTGCGATTTCCCAGCTTCCATTCCTGACCCAATATCTCTTCAAATTCGCCCAGAGTGAGACCTGGTGGAAGACGACGAATTTCCAGTTTGAGCCTTGCTGTGTTGGTGGACTTGGTGGGCGGCGCGCGTGCTGCTCCGCTCACAGGAAGGACGCCGCCCGCGCGATCATGGGTTTTTGCCAATACTTTTGGCGGCATGGCGATCGTGAAGTCAGTTTGACGTCTTTCAGTCCAAGTTACGGCATGTGACAGGATAAAGGACTCGTGTCACCGAAAGCGCAATTCCAGCCACCGAAGCTGATCGCCTGTGTCGCACGATATGACGGAGCCCTGGAGTGGGAAAGGGCAAGGGTTAGCCTCGCAGCTCTGCTCAGGCAACGACGCTGCAGTCCGTTGCTCTTTCACAGCGGCCGACGATTGAGAGAAGGAAAGTATCTGATACGGATTAACGTACGTCCATTTTACATGATTCAAGGAATTGAAATCACACGTACGAGACATCCTGGAACATGCTATATGTCGATGCAGTGTTGGGAGTATAATCCATGACAAATATCGTTCCTACGGTCCACGATAGAACCGAGATCGCTATGCAGTTAAATATCGAAATCCTCATCCAAGCACAAGAACATTATAAATCACCCATATCTCAACCTAAATCGAATGAATCATCGCCTCAACCACTATCTTCCCTCAAAGAAATCCACCAGAACCATTCCGCGGGTGGTAGACTCCCTGCTGCAAAGTCTCCGGTGGCATGTTCGCTCGAACCTCACGAGGGTTGCGATAGCCTGTGGCGCTGGCAGATCGAGCAGGCAGGCTGGACGGAGGAATGGTCGTCTCATTGAGCTTCGTCTCGCCGTATAAGTGAGACGGCGGCTGCGGCAGAGGCGGGTGATGCATACGGTGTTGCATGGACGACTGCTCCGCCATAGCTTGCTCATAGGGGGACTGAGCTCGGGGAATGCCTTCCAGCCGCGTCTCATACGGAGCTCTCGGGGCGGAATAGTCCGAAGGCGACATCTTGGCTCGCGATTTGGAAGTGCTTCGCATGCGGTCACCTAAACCTCGGATCCGAGAGCCGAAACTGTCGCTGCTTGGGGCATTGCGGCGGTGGCTCCCCGGCGATGCTGTCGCCGCACGGTAGGTCGTCGGCTCCAAAGATGTTACATCAATCACGGGCTCGTTGCCATCGATCGCAATCGAGATGACACCAGAGGCCAGTCCGTCTGTGGGCGGTCCAGCGAGATGCTGGAGCTCGGGAAGCATTGGAGGCGGCGGTGGTGGTGGCGGCGGCGGTGGCGGCGGATGCTCTCCATATCCGTCGTCCTGTGGCGCCATCGAGGGAGGATAATCATCATCGTACATATTGCCCTGTCCCTGGGAGGCATTCATGGGGTCATATCGGGCGTCGTTTGCGGGACCTTTGTGAGGTGAATTGCGAGACTGCTGGCGAGCGTGAGAGAACGTATTGCTCTGCTTTTCCGGAGGAGCAGAAGCCGAGCGCAGCATGGGTGGGGTCACTTTCTGGCCGAATGTTGTCGCTGGTAGGAGGGGTCCAACGGCATCGTCTGTCTCTGCAATAGTCGTGACCATATTGCCTGGTGAACCATCCCGAGTCACCTCAAGCAAATCTTGACTGAGGGTTTCCAATGTCAGAGACGCGCTTGGGCCGCCGGTCAATTCGTTGAACTGGACAGGAATGCCGGGAACGGGAGGGTGCGCATAGCCGTCTCGCTCATCCGGGTCAGAACTCATATACTTGGGATGCCTCATGGCTCGGGGCGTGGCTGGCAGACCGATCGGTGCAGACGTCGTTGATGTGCCGGTAATCTTGTTTGTGAACGTACCGTGTCGTGACATAGCATCGGGGTCGACCGTATGACTACGGCCAGGAGGAACGAAGGACGAAGGGCTGTCGCTAAGATCGGTCTGTGATCTCGGGGACATGGTAGGACGGAACGACGGTGTATCTCCGGGAAGAGGGATCAGCGGTGCAGATGGTCGGCGTGCTAGTGATCGTCTTCGAGCCTCAAGTTCTTGTGCCGCCAGCTCCTTCTTCGTCGTCCGCCGAACACGTCCCTCGGAAGCCATCGATGCCGTGTCCCAGGACGGAGTCGCCTTCTCGTCCTTTAGTCCAATGGCTCGGAAGTCATCCTGAGCGGAGGTTTCAGCATCCTCTCGGAGGGGTAGTCCTCGGCTTTGGGAGGGCTCGCGCTTGTCACGGAATCTACGTGATTGAAGGTCAACAGATGGTCGTCGGCTCGAGCTCCTCGCTCTTGTCGATTGATCACGTCCCGCGGGTCTAGAGTTGTCATTATCTTCGCCGTATCGCTTGGAAGACAGCAATGGCAATGATGGAGAACGTGGCGCGGCGCTGATATCTCGACCCGCACTCCTTCCCCGTCCGTCATCGATCGCTAATGGAGCCAGACTGCTGATGAGCGCTGCCCTCTCGGTGTTTCTGCCGCCCTCCATCGGAGGCTCCAGTCTACGCGACGCGACCGATCCAGCTCTCCTGCGAGGCTCCGTCGGCGAGACACGTTTGTAGAATTCCTCATCATCCGTGGTCGCTGGCGGGGGCTCGCGGTTCACGCTTGCCTTTGCGAGTTCTTCAGGTGACATTGGGACTGGCGAAGAAGGTGATCGTTTGCCCGGTTGGATCGAGCCTGTCCTGGTCCTCCCTACGTCACGAGGCCGACTGGCTGCGCGGCCAGCACGACTTTCGTTTCTCTTACGGCTTTCGCCACGCTTACGACTCTCGGCACGGTCTTTCCTGGCTGCGGCTCTGGCTTCATTGACGCTGTTGATTTGTCCATCTCCGGCACGTCCCCTGACACGTGACATGTTGTCGTCGTCGTACGACGTGAAGGCGCTTTCCGCGGTTGTGTAGTTGCTGCCGACAGTGAAACTGCTGGTATTAGTCATCGGCGCGGTCTGTCCAGTTGCGAGGATCTGCACAGCAAGTCCATCGGGTTTCTTGTCTCGGGAGGAGTTGTAGGTGTCGGATCTTTGTCGAGTAAACACGCCTTGGGAGGGAGATGGGAGATGGCTAGTCCCTTGAACATTGGATTGCTCGTCCGGATCGTATTCTGTCGCTTCTAGTGTCTGACTCATCTGCGAGGTTCTGCCCGAGCGACTCGCCGCGCGTGATCGAGCTTCGCGAGTCGCCGTCATAGGTGCAATCTCTTCGGTGTCGCGCCGGAGGCGATCAATATCTGACCGGGAAGGCAGACGCTTCTTCTTGTTGAAGTCACCGGGGATTGCTGTTCTGATCTGCGAAGATTCTCGCGGCCTGCCCCACCGGTCTCGGCCTTCCATGGGCGTCATTCCGACAGCGGTCACGAGATTGGGTCTCGTCGTCATACCACCATCCTCTTCAGCTTCTCTGTCTTGGCCGAAATTGGTGATGAGAGGCTGCAGTGTCTTGATTTTCTGCGTCACTCGACCAGAAGCTGATATGGGACTTGCGATGGCGTTGAGGCTGGTTCCGAATCGTGATGCGGAAAGCGCTTCCACGGCGTTTTGAGCTCCGGGCGAAAACCATGCGTTTGGTAATTCTACTGTACCACAATTGAGCAAACGCATACCAAGACCTCTTCGTGTGCCAATTTCGAGACCTCCCCATGTGAATACCAAATGCTTGATGCGTCCCCAGTCCGAAGGGCTTGTCAGACAAGTGAGCAGCACTGCCTCAAACCAACGCTTTTGCGAGACGTAAACCTCGATAGCATCATTGTTCTCACCTAATCCCAGCAGGATTGCCACGGCAGGGTGAATATCACCTTTTTCCAACAGACGCTGCACGAAAGATTGGCCCATCTTCTTTTGCGAATCGGCTCCTAGGGAGCTGAGAGCCAGCATCATCCAATCCGTAGAGGACATGTCGTCAGATCCAATCATGTTTGCCATGTCATCGGCCCCCATCTCCCCAAGCCATTTGGCAAGCAGGATACTGGAGGTTGATGCGACATCTGCCGGTCGGTCTGATCTCCGAGCATCCTCGAGTTCGCTTTGCTGAAGTCGTATTTCCTCTCGAATTAGGCTTTGCACGTCGCCTTGCCAGCCGAAGACATATCGAAGTAATTCGGTTCGCACAGAATCGGAATTGGGGAGGCCTTCACGATTCCAATTAGGGTATTCGTTGGGACCTTCACTGTTGTTCATCATCCTTGCGATGGCGTACGGGAACAGGTCCGTTGATGTATCAAGATTGGCCCTGCTGGGTGCTCGCGAGTGATCTCTGCGTGTGCGGGATTCCGGCCGGCGGGAATGGCGAGATTGTGCAGCAGATACAGTGGACGTGCCTGTTCGGATGGACATGCTATCGCGGACAACGTTCGTGGCCGGACCCATGGAAAACTCGGTGGCATCGTCACGCCCAACGCTGCTGGAGGCACGAGACGAACTCGGACGATCATAACGATACTTCGGTCCTCTCGCACTACGTCTTCCGGAACTTCTTGAGCTAATCGATGAAGCTCGGCTGGATTGCGGGCTCAATGGCATGATGACATCTCGCTCTTCTTCCTCTTGGTCGTAATCACCTTGAATCAACTTCCGTAATGCTGAAGGATGCGGTCCCTCGTCGGCGCTGCTTTCCGCATCGGTGAACCCAGTCACTGAAGAGCCAGCCATGCTTCGTAGCCCACGGCCTTCCAGCGTTGACGGTGGCGACATCAGAGAGTTTTTGGGAATGTGTTGTGCACTGGCAACTTCCATCGGTCTGTTGCTGGGGTCCACGTCGTATTGATGTACCATGTGATCCAGGCCTAGTGTGAAAAGAGTAGCTGATGATCCGTAGTTGGCAATACCGGCCACACCCTCAATGGTCGGAACGGTCTCATAGGTGACCTTCTTTGTACGAACATCCCACGAACGGGTTTCTCTGTGTTGCACAAAACCTCGTCAGTCCACATCACCTACTCAAAGCTGTAGGAAATTTGGGGAGTACACACCCTTCTGCATATTGTAGGATTCGCCCATTTTTGGACCAGGCGCACCAACATGGACCCTGCTGTTGTCCCTCTGACCGTGAGAGCACTCTTATGATGTTCGGCGCTTCTGAGGATGGGCCCTTGGGCACACTCCACACCCGCAGATCAGCATCCGCCGTTTGCGCGGCTAGCATGTCGGTCTTTGATTTGGAAGAAGATCCATGCCAGGCCAAATCGGTGATTTGTGAGGGAGCTCGGTTCGTGTTGAGAGTGTGAAGGATGGCAAAGGAAGGCTGAAGCGTTGCAATCAATAGAGAGCCATTCAGGTAGCCGATGGCGAAGGTCGAGCAATCCGGTGCGGGAGCGAGTGCAGTGATGGGATCGAAAATCGTGCGCACAGAGACGTGCTCGGAGGTGGACGGGTCGAATATGACGACGCTACCTTGCTCGTTGCCTGCACCGCTCTCAGTTAGCAGTGAATTGGTTTTACCGATTTCATGAAGAGAGGGATCCCACCGAATGCGATATTTCCATTGCGCATGAAACTGGCCGATCGCATGTCCGCATAGGAAGAGAAGCGCGCAAGTTCCTTGCCGGTGAAGATGTCCCATACGATCGCCGTCTTGCCCAGGTCGAAGCTGACGATTGCGCGGCCAGAGCGCTCGCTGACATTATCGGCGACGATCCAGAGGACATTTTCTCCATGTAATCTCACACGACGCTCGACGGCCAGGGTATCATGGTGGAGGACGAGGATTTCGTTCCGCTGGGCGAGGAGCAGAAAGGCGGCGGTGGCAGCACATGGTTCGAATTGCGGGATTCTGTTCTCGGGCGCCCGCGAGGCGGCGTAGGAGGGGCCTTGCCGTGAGATAGAAGAGGACATTGAGATGGAGGACCTTACGGACCGCGTCCGTAGACGAGAAGGATATGCGAAAGACGACATTTGACGCCGCTAAGGGAAAAGCGTCAGCTCGGGTGCTAACACACTACACGCGATGCTTGCTGTCCTGCTGCTGCATCCTCCTCCTCCTAATGCTTGCTGCTGCTCATGCTCCTCCTCCTCTGTGCAGGCTGACAGCTGCCAAGTCCATGCTCGAGATCTCCCCCAGCCAGCCAGCAATGTGCGGAGAGGGAGCCCAAAAGGATCGACTGGCTGTCATTGGGTGGAGATCCTCTGCCCTTCATTACTGGTGTGACCAAATCACGATGCGGTCGCTGCGAAGGAGGCCCACACCACACACCCGAACCCGTGGGAGGGATGTTCATCGTCCTCTCTCTATCTCTCTCTCTCTTTTTGCGGTGAAGGACTGACTTACTCAGACATGCGTGCAGTCCCGGGTGGGAAATCGGTGGGCCCTTCTTCTGGTCGCGGGAAATGGGATGGATTTGTGTGTGTCGGAAAAGCTGGTGGAAGCCCGACCGTCCGTCCCGAGCTTTGTGCGCGCTTAATTAATCGGTGACACGACTTGGAGAGGGAGCGGTCGGAGGAGGGCGAAACGAAGACACGGGCGGCGGTGTACTGTACAGAAAGTCGGGATGGGAGGAAAGAGAAGAAGGTGGACAGGAAGAGAGTCGGTATGGTATTCTACAGGTTTTCCAGGAGTCGTAACGAGGAGTGATATCGTTCCAGCTTCTGCGTGGCATTCATCGAGGGAATATGCACGCGTGCGGCACAGAAAATGTAAATGTCCACACATTCATGGATCGTGCTGCAACAGACACCGCCGCCGACGACGGAATGGGCATGGACAAACGATCGGGTTGGAAAGTCATCACACATCTCCCATCATTTTACTCACATCACTGCACACGCGCGCACGCATTCACACACCTACGCACTTGGGCAGACCCAACCAAACCGGAACCATCTTGGAGGGGATGGGAAAAGCACTCACGCCCTCTCGAACGGCGATGAATCTTATTTCGGGCAGTCGGAGCAAGTGGAATCAGTGCAGGTCGAATCACGGCGCTGGGCGCGTATCCCAGGGCCGATTGTGGACGAGTCTAATGTATAGCACATATGATCGACTCCTTTCTCATCCAATTCTGTCCATTCCGGAAGAGCACTACACATTTATAGGTGCGCATGTACTGGAGCTACTCGGTAGTGAGGGCCGAAATATCCATTCGGTGAAGTAGCAGTCATGAGGATGCCAGGGAGGTAGAATCAGCCATGATGAAAACCAACACCTCCTGTTCTCCTCCTTGATCCAATAACGACCTCGAATACACCTGGGCACTCATCGCAAGCGGAGCCGGACCGATGGCCACTACTGTCGGCTGGTCGTCTCCAGGCCGGCTCACTGCAGCAAATGATATGCTGTTGAGGTATATTTTGAACGCATCCCGGCTTTGGTGAGGCCGATCTACTGCACTCGCCAAATCAAACGGATATATCACAGGCGTCGTCGTGGTGGTTGTGCGTGATACAGTATCAGGAAAGGCCTGAAATGTGCAGCAGGGTGTGCCCTTGCAGACCTCTCCCATCCGTGCAACCGCACACCAAACAAGTCATCACATCACCATCAGGGCGTATTATAGGTGTCTCCACACACACTCTCTCATACTGTATGTACAACACATGCCGTAGTGGCATGGATTTGAGCGCGTATGCTGGTCGTACATGTTACCACCACAAAGATGAAATACTGTAATCATAATCCAGCACCATGGACCTCTCTTTGTTCTACATACGGGGCGTTTCATGACCGGCTGGCACTCGCTTTGAACGTGATCTCGCTTGGGGACGATGCGCTGGTCGTGACACAACAGGGAATCAGGCTACACAAATCTAACCCGGACAATTAGGCGGTCACCTCGGAGGCGGCCGCGGGCGCGATGATAGTTCAGTAACACAGTAACACAGTAGTCGTCGACCGAACGATGGACTCTTGCCGTTGTGACCTGTCGGAGGCCTGTATTCACGCACTCCGCGATCATTCGTGGAGGAACCAACGGGCATCATCTCGACGGGACCCAACAGCATGATGTTCGAGAACAACATGGACATCGCATGGACAGAGGATTGATTGGCGCATCGGCTAATAAAGCGCCTTGTACTAATATGCCTAGGTAGATAGCGTGGAGCGGGAAGTCGCGAACTGCGTACCTGCACATGCGTGACATGCGTGTGATTGGTGGCGCACGGGGAGTGTGATGGAAATTCGGTGAGAGTTCTCCCGAGCCCGGCTAAGCGTGATGAACGCCCAGGTGAGCAAGAATTATAATAAAAACAACTTCGCTGGAGAGACTAGAGAATGATAACACGCGCAAAAGAGAGTTGGAGGCGCGTGATGTCAAGAATATTTGGCGGCGGTGAAGGTTGTCATATCATGTTCACCGCAGGTAAACCACATCTAACGAGACCTGTGCCTCGTCCGTTTGATTGATAACTTCGGCTGCTCCAACATCTGAGACGACCAGTTCTCATTTATTGACTCTCCACGCGCCGATCTTCACATTGCTTTTCGAATCGCACCAGGACAGTCTGTGATCGCTTACATCATCACATTGAACTCTACCGCCTCCAAGCAAAATGTATAGGTATTTCACTATTTTGGTGTGCAATCTCCCTTGTGCTTTGTACAGTTCATCCCAGCTCCATATGTACACCTGCAGTGATACCTCGTCGTCGTCAGAAGCTACCCGGTTGTCATGATTTCGAGAAATGGAACTTTCGACTAGGAGCCGAGGGTTACCTTATTCAGGGGCGTTGAGTTTATGTGGGTTTACCTCTCGTGGTCATCGATCATGACCACTGGGATCGTCATCAAATGCGATCTTCACAGGCATTGCAGCAGCCAATCAACTGCAGCACCATTTTGTCTACTAGCGAACAGCCTAGCGTAGGACATTTCGAGGTCTCGTTCATCTCTCCCCAAATGGGCATCATAATCATAATCAGCGTCATAGGTGACTACAGTAGTCACAATGCGACTAGACCACCTGCAGCAAGATGGAGACCTACTTCTACCCCTCAATGAAATCGAGCGATTCCCCTTGAAGAGGGCAACGATATTTGCGCAAGAGTATCATGGCGTTGATACAAGCCAGACCAAGAACATAGCATCTGTAAGAGGCCATCAAATAATTTACGATATGCTACACACAGTATATACATCGCCAGCTGCAAGAGTGCTGATCAGGAACCATCGCCGTACTAATATTAGACCTCGACCTTCCGGGCGCTTTCGCCATAGTAGTGCCGGCTCTACGCGGTTCAAGTAACAAAGACAAGGGACCGAAAAGCATAATCGAGGTGACAAAAAGCATCTGCCTGCTAATAATAAAACACGACAATCACCTCGTCGCATCGTCACATCGTCATCCTCGGATAAAGAAACGACCATACTCATCACTCGCGATAAGATATAAATACTTTTCTACGCGAACATATCACAACGTTTCGCGCGCTCGCTCCCCAAGGATCCCGCCGCTAGTGGCGGGACAAAAGCGAAGTGTTTAAGCGCCCACCAGACGGAAAAGGCCGTGGGCGCGTGTCTGTCCGTGATGATCGATGCGCCATGTGCGAAAGATACAGCGCTCGTGACAACTCTCGTAGCTCTGTTATGATTACAGGAGGATCAGCTTTGAAGTGTATGCTGTGCGACCTGCCAAATCATTCTCCGTTCGTTGTCACCTGCGGCCCTCCGTCGCCTGTGGACACGAGCTCTGACGGTTACGCAGAAACGAGTCTGACGTGTAGAATTGCTGGTGGGATACACAACAGGGATACTATGCTGTGGATGCAATAGGTGTATCTATATACAGTAGATGACGTGCGGTGGAATGGAACGACGGAGATCATGAATCAATGTGATATGAGTGATGTCATTATCTAGAGTGCACTCTCCTATATAATTCAACCTCCGCGAAAATGCCGATGGCGAATGCGAAGTGGTCCAATATGCTGCGAGGTCCGTGACAAAGTCCTCGTGCTGTGCATACTTGGTGCCCGACGATTGATGCTTGATAAATGTGATGATCGAAGGCAACCCTTTCGGATGGCCCGTGGGAGGCATGATGCGTGCACACTCAGTGTGATGAGGCGAGTAGCGTGGATGCACGATCAACCCTTCTCGAGATCACACACGAGTTGCATCGGGAGGTAGCGGAGCGCTTCGAGACTGTGCTCGTGTTGCATCCGGCCAATGCTATGACCATCCGCGACGGCGTCCTTGTTGAACTGTGTCGGACGGAGGACGCGGGGGGCGCTGCGACGGCACGCTGTCATGCGCGTGAACTGTCGGCTTTTTGTGACACTATCGGTCGAGATTGGAATGATGGACAGCAGTATGACCCGCTGTCCTGCTGGCAAATCCCTTCATGAGATGCGCTTGTAGGCAGAGCTTGTCCGTCGTCGGTTGGACACGGCGATGCTGGAAGTTCGCGACTTGACTTGTTGCTGTTGCTGTACCGGAGGCGCAGGGGGTGGGTTCGCGCACATGTTCGCCCACTCCTCTGCAGTGCGCGGTGGAGCGGGGGCCTCGCTCAGGTATGCGCCAAGGTCATCGTCGCCGAAGAGATCTTCGTCACTGACATAAGAATTCGGGGTGCTAGATGACGTCCTACGATGCGCCGAACCATATGGCCAGCTGGAAAAGCCGGCATGTTGGGTGAAGCCAGGGAAACCAGCCTGGGAGGATTGTGAAGTCGATCGTGACATGGGCGCTGACGTAGGGGTGGATGTAAACCTCGGCAAAAAGCCGATGACGGCTTGCCCTTGACTTGTGGGGGATGTGGAAGGCGTCCCCTCACTGACGGCGGTCGAAGAACACGAAGACATTTTCGTATTGGAGTTTGTTGTTGTGAAAAATGCGGTTTTGCTTCCTTGCAGTGGATGTTGTTGCTGCTGAAATAATATATCGAGGACGGTTTTTGAAAATCCAAGGTTCAGTCGTTCGGGCGGCGGTTGTTCATTTGTATGTGTCGTGACGAGACGGTGTACATAAGGCGCAGTCTTGCAGGTATGCGACGGATCGTGCAGCAGGACGGCTGATCAAGGTGAGCTGACTGTATCTGATTGTGACACGTCCGAATCATATCACAGTGATGGTGGACGAGGTCTGAGACTGGGTTCTCCCACACGAAGGAAAAGAGTGCGGCGATCCCAGGTGATATATGTGAACGGTTTACATATGCCGCCTCCTCCTTCGGCCACCACCACCACCAGCAATGTAACACTCCCACGAGTCTGTTGTTATTCCCGTTAGGCCTCTTTCCTTTGTCGGGGAACTCCGCCGCTCAGCTGGCTCGGCGCAAGGACACATTTTGCCTTTAGGCTTTGTAGACCGAGCATGCCGCGGCCAGTCGCAACGATCGGCAGCCACCAACCCCCCACATCTGGGAAGAACTTACCAATTCTGTGGATGAAAACCGCTGCAAGTCGCTGAGGTTAGATCGCTCCAGGCGTACCAACCTGTCTATGCAGGCATGCCTGTGCGGATTATTTACAGCACAGTTCCACCGTTGCGGTGTGTCACCGCCCCTTTTGGGTGAAGCTGCACCGCGGAGGCGCAGCCTGCCCAGTTTGACAGTTTGACCGTTGTTGGGCTGCCTCGGAAGGAGAAAGCGCCCCCTATGCGCAATAGGCACAGCTGACAGCAGCCCAGGACAGCTGGAGCATATGCCGCCACACCGCGGATTCGTCCTGGGCCGAGCAAGACAACCGGGCATCCAAGGTTCAACAGTACGGTTTCATCCAACCAGCCTACTGCAATAGTAAAGGAAAACGTTTTCTTCACATGCGTTAGGTTAGCCTTTGTCCTGCCTTTTCCGTTCAGGGTGTCATCACATCTCGCGACCGGCTCGTTGGCCGGAGAGCGATGATCACGAAAGGAGGCCTTGATGTACGGTACTACACCGCAGGACAGCAGCTGACGAGGCAGAATGCGAGGATTCGCCGTGGGTGACCGTAAGTTACCTTGCTGTCCATCCACCTCGTCACGTTGTCGTAGCATTCGGCGGTCATGAAAGCGACAGTGTGACCGGGGTCATCATCATACGTCCCTTTCACATGCTCTATTCCATTATGCGACGGTCGGGCACAATCATCCTGCTCTTCGAACAGACATCTTGTGAGTGCTCGGGCATCGTTCAAGCCACTGCCGATCTCATCTCTGCTGACATGGCAAGCGACAGCAACGCCCGCATTTGATTTGTCTCCATAGCGAGGTTGAGCGATCATTTCGGGGAAGAAAACAGATCCTCGGAATCTGCTCGTATCGTACCGTACTCTCGGATCCCACACACAACGGTCAATTCGATCGTCCGACAGACGTTTCGATATGAATACAGTACCCATGGAGTATTTCCTCCGTCGGCCGTAAAGTCGAGGAGCAAGGGCGACGGCTTCCCATCCGCGGCGGTGGCACTGCTCGGAACGCTCCCCCAAATTTGCCAAACGCCGCCCACACTAGAGAATGATCCATGACGAAAATCTCTGTACTCCAAGGCTGCGTGGCTGTTCGACCCGAACAAAGTCTCCGTTTTGCTCCGCAAGGCGGGCGGCCAGGCTTGCTTTCATCCCACATAAGACAGACCCTGTGACACATCTTTCAACACCGGGGGCAGCTCCCAGTGTTCCGATCCCGTGACTTCGGCAGACGCAGCTTTTACGGCATGCAGGTCGCTCGGTGATTTACCGACCACTCCTCGCCCTGCTTTTGGATCGACATTCTCGTGCATATCACCGCATTTTGTATGGAACAAGCGCGCCTGTGGAAACAAGACTGTCGAGACATAGATGTCCTGATGACCCTTTCTGATCCACTACCGATGCTGACCATACGTGCCACACTACGGTGTTTGATGGAAAACCTTGTTCCCAGACACGCAGGTGCTGCAGAGTCCCTGCTGAGACCTTGCTACTCTTCTCCACGATTGCCCAGGTGGTCTGCACACAGTGCATCTCTATGTGAAAAGGGAAGGGGATGATGTCTCCTCCACCTTCAGGCTGCCCGTGATACTGTACAATACTCCAATCCGTCGCAGCTCGCGAAATTATTTACTCCTCCCGACCTCTGCTTTTACGTTCATGCCTCCTCAGATGGTGCAATCATACTGGCTTGACCGGCTCCCACCTAGACTGATGTCGGCGCCGATCGGCAGACATTTCAAAACATCTCCTCTCAGTTCTCCACAATCCCCGCATGTTCTCCGATTCTGAGAAGGGCCCATCTCGGACCCTGCGCTGGCGATCCCTCGGCTTTTGCTTGGTCGGTGATGTTGGGACGCTATGCCCTCTTTGTACCGAGCAATCACGCTCATGTTATACATAATAAGAACACCTTGGTCATGTCTTTTTCGAAACGCGTCCCGGTCTCTCGCGATATCTTCTTCCTACTTCCTTGCGAAGACGCGAAGGTCAAAATGGACCCCTTACTTGTTCTGTCTCCGAGCAGAGATAGATCGCCAGCCTCGGAATCCTGATGTTCGTCAGTACTATTCTAAAACCTTGACGGTCTTCATGAGTACCGATACGAAGAATTCGCCATAATACGCGCTTGGGCCGCCCTTAAACGCGGAGTTCCTGAGCCCGCGGCAGGATGCCGAATGCGTGATAAATGCTTCGGCTTGGGCTTGTTCGGGGCCGACCAAATTTCAAAACATTCGTGCATCAATGTTTCCGAGACACGTCTGGCCAGCTGCTCGTTGCATGTATAAGGACGGATTCAGCGCCTCCGCGTTGAGCTGTCTGGTTCGACCTATGCTGGTGTTCGTTCATGCCTGGAGTATCATACCACATATGGCAGATTCTTCAGGCTTCGGCTGAAGGTCCATACTGTGAGCAGCCAAGCATTCTAGTCGTGAAATAATACCAGCATCGCATCCATGCAATATACCCAGCTGGACGCAGTTAGGTGAGCATGTAGGCATCCAAGGTTTGTAGACGAATACAATTCAACAGAGTGAGGGCAACACATTGGATAGATGGATTCAGCGATCACATAATGAATTGTCGCCCGGTGTTGCTGTAATAAAGTGCACGATTCGGAGAGTCTCACAATCCATGGATATCTTGACTGACCGGAGTTGGCACCGCATTGTCAACCAGGAACGGAAAGCACGTACACTGGCAATCAGCAACCACCTGCATGTAATAATAATAATTGTGTCGTTGCGCCTCGACGTTTGCGGCAATGAACAACCCAAACCCTATGCTGAGGTCATCGAAATCACAACCCTTGGGGCGAAACACCTCCGAATGAGGACTGGTCATACACAATTGATCCAAGCAGTACATGCATGCAGCACTGAAGAATCCAACTAGCGACGGGACATGCTGGGGGATTTCACGGATATCCCGTGCGATCCTATGCGTTGGGCGGTTGGACCGCGAGCACTTCTGTAGGACTTTACTTCATATCCAGGGACGAATGAAGTTTCGGGGGCTTCCATGACTCCAGCCATTGCTCTCACAGATGTGGCATACAGCCAGTTATACGTATGCACTTCCTTCGCACGCAGACCCGCGGCGATACTCCCACCCGTGCCAAATGCCCAGGTGGTTGACCAAACTTGAACTGCGAGTCCGAGCAGACATCTACTTGTCCTCATGTGTTCACTGGACACGGAATCTGCTCATAGCGCCATCGGTCAAATACGACCGGGTACTTCGATGATTAATCCGATCCTGGTTCAGTCAGGTCTGGTGACTAATAATACAGCCATTGCGCATTTGTCTGCCTCAGACGGTAGAGTATAGGTATACATCTACTTTTGTTCTTCAGCTCTCGGCCGTCCGATTTGACCCGTACTGACATGTGGAGCAGTGCCAGCAGTGAGATGCGGTACTCGATCGTGCACGCGAGTGCGAGAGAGATAGAGAGGATGGCGTGTCCAACAGGCGGATGCCCTCCAATAGCATGAACACGCGCGCGATGGATACTGTTCGTCATTGATGGCCTCCAATATATTGTGTGCATGAGGCGAATCTCCCCAAAAATGCACTAAGATCGGAGGTAGTGGGGAAAACAGATCTGGGTGAGATCTGTCTCTCACATGGGTCTCTCCAGGAGGGACTCGAACCGAGCCCATGTGAGCTAGAGAACCTTGGAAGAAGGAAAAGACGGAGGCGACAGCGGCGTGGGCGGAAAAGTTTTGCACGAGAGCCTTGCGTTGCAACATCTAGGCAGTCGGGTGCAGAAGCATCAGACTACCCAGGTAGGTACTCACCTACAGTGCTGTATATATGACTTTGGTTGTTGTGCAATCCCTTATCCATGGTGACGGGCGAGAATCGAGCTGTTTGGTGGAATCCATGAGACACAGCTGGACAGGGCAAAAGACAAAGAGCCGCCGTCGCCCACGAGCATTGCGCCATCCCAATGCGAAGTCGTGGGTTGTCCAATGAACGGATGGGAAAGATAATCAGCGCGTCGTCCATGCACGCCTAGAGCTCAATTCAGGACAAAAAGGTGGGAGATTTTTCCTCACAGCGCGAACTGGCCCTGCTGCCGATGCCGATGCCGCAGGGCAATACAGCCGATGCGAAAAATCCGTTGCCTCCAATCTCAAATGTCACCGAGCATGTCTTGGGTTTCGGGTTGACTCTCACTTACCTCACTTGCCACTGTTTCTCAAGTCTCTGACAACCCATTGCGAGGCATCTTTCACTAGATGTCACCCGCGTGATACAAATCATCTACTGTGCCTGTCTGAGCAGCCAACTACACTTCCCGGCATCATTATGGCTGCCATCATCACGGCCGGCGAGGCTGGTGAGTTGCCCCACCAATTTCGGCAATGTCATGAAGAATCACATCCCTTCACGATCGCATTGATCCACGGACGAGCATCGATGCTGACATGAATACCGTCCAGTTGCACGCATTGCATACCTCTCGTCCGATTCCATCATCTCCGTCCAGCCATCCCTCTCGACCGATTCAGAGTTCTCGCCGTTCTTGCGACGATATGCCGAGAACAACGCCACAAGTCTGGTTTGCAAGCAGACGCCCGAGGTGGTTTCGGTGCGACACAACGCCGACCCTCTGCTGGACGTATACGGAAGAGCACGAGAGGGAAAGATCACGACGGTCACGACTAGCAGTGATGTCCTGATCAAGAGCATCCCTCACCTCTACAAACTCGCACAACTCCCTGTGGTCATCCACACCAGTCTACACCCCACTGGTTTCCCCGACTACAGCGACATCACGAGCATCCGCAATTCCGGCTTCACCTTTGTTCAAAGTCACACCCTGCAGGAGGCTCAGGACCTTGCTCTCACTGCCCACGCCCTCGCCATCCGCACTGGACGTGGCGTTGTTCATTTCTTCGATGCCTCTAACAGCAAATCGGATCAGCCCATTCCTAACGAGAGCCGGGAGTTGGTTGCGGAGATCCTAGACCTCAACATCGTGAGGCAGCTGCAGAGCGTGAAGAGCAAGGATGTCAACATCTACGTCGATGAGTCGTCGCGGGCTACCGAGACTGCTGAGCCGACCGCAAAGGCATCCAAGCCCGAAGCAGGTGCTGCCGCTGCTCCTGCTACGGAAAGCTCCACACAATCCTCAACGTCGTCCTCCTCATCCTCCTCATCTGGCAAAGAAGGCAGCAGTTCGGGCGCGTCTCTCGTAGAGTCTGCTACCACCGCCGACTCGCAGCCCAAGCCACTCACGTCTGACGATGTGGATGTCGTTGCTACCAACATCTGGGCCGCACTCAAGAAGTCGACCGGTCGTCAGTACAGCGCTTTCAACTACACTGGTCCTGCCACTGCGGAGAACGCCCTGCTGTTGTTTGGCAGTGATCCTGGTCTTTTCAGCGCCGAATTCGATCGCGCCACACCCGCAGACTTCTTCTCAAAAGTGGGGTTGATCACTCCGGTTCTGTTCAAGCCATGGCTGGGAGATCGCCTGGCCGAGGTTCTACCCAAATCAATCAAGCGTATCGCCGTGTTGGAGCAGATCAAGCGGAAAACCACTAAATGGGGCCCGATCCTGCTTGATCTCTTGATGGCTTTGAAATCCAGTAGTAAGATTGACGAGGTTCCCCTGGTTGTGGGTTACCAGCTCGGCTACATTGAATACACTACCATCACCCAGGCCCTGAGCGGTATCTTCCAGAACCTCACATCGAAGGAGCCAATCCAGAGCCTGAAGATTGGTGCAACCACTGGCCCCAGCCCATCAGATGAGGGTGCGCAGAAGGCCGCCGGTCTTCAGCAACCAGTCATCGAGAACGCCTACATGAAGATCCTCGATCAGCTCTTTGGTGAGCGACTGCACATCGCCAACGCACTCAAGGCCAGCAACGCAGGCATCAATGACACGATCAAATCAAGCCCCGAGTACGGATTTGGTTCAATCTTGGCCCGGAAAGAGCATCGTTCACGATTCATTGCAGAGGCAGAGTCTCTGGTGAAGTCCAAGGCATTCATCACAAACGCACCACAGAAATGGCTGTCCCAATGGGCTCTCGTCGCTGACAAGGGTGCGGAGGCTGACAAGCTTGCGCCCGAGGTCATCGCCCGCCTCAGCACCGATGGATCGCCTGCTGCAAGCAAGTTGCTGAGCTCAAAGGGCCTCTTCTACAACGAGTCGCAGTGGTTGATCGGCAGTGATGCATGGAGCTACGATCTCGGAAACAGTGGTGTCCACCACGTTCTTGCCAGTGGTGAGAACGTGAACATGCTCATCATTGATTCGACGCCATACAGCGAGCGCGCCGCAGCAGATGCTGCACGCCGCAAGAAGGACATTGGACTCTACGCGATGAACTTTGGCAACGCATACGTTGCTAGCGTGGCTGTGTACAGCAGCTACACTCAGGTTCTCCAAGCGATGTTGGAAGCCGAACAATTCAAGGGACCGTCCGTCGTCCTTGCATACCTTCCTTACGACCAGGAGACCGCTAGCCCGCTCACAGTATTGCAGGAGACCAAGAAGGCTGTCGACCTTGGCTACTGGCCGCTGTACCGATGGAACCCTAAGGCAGAGGAGAAAGGAGAGGAAACCTTCCAACTTGACTCTGAACGAGTCAAGAATGAGCTCAAGGAGTTCCTGCGACGTGACAACCACATCTCGCAGCTCATGCGACGCCACCCTCAGTTCCACGCCACCTTGTCAGAGTCTTACGGCTCCGAGGTTCGCAAGGTCCAGAAGCGCAAGGCCAAGGATGCATACGCATTACTCTTGGAGGGTCTGCAGGGCGCCCCATTGACAGTCCTTTTCGCTTCGGATGGTGGAAATGCAGAGAACCTCGCCAAGAGACTCGCAAACCGTGGAAAGGCCCGTGGTCTCAAGACACTTGTCATGGCCATGGACGAATACCCCATCGAGGATTTGGCCACCGAGCAGAACGTTGTCTTCATCTCGGCCACCGCTGGCCAGGGTGAATTCCCACAGAATGGCCGCAACTTCTGGGAGGCCGTCAAGACTTCCGTGGACATTGACCTTGCTTCGGTGAAATTCTCCGTCTTCGCTCTGGGTGACTCGCATTACTGGCCTAGGAAGCAGGACAAGCACTACTACAACAAGCCTGGCAAGGATCTCTTCGCACGCCTCACTACCCTCGGTGGCGAGAAGCTCGTGGAGATTGGACTCGGTGATGACCAAGATCCCGATGGATACCAGACTGGCTACATCGAGTGGGAGCCCAAGTTGTGGGATGCTCTTGGTGTCGGCAATGTCGAGGGTCTGCCCGAGGAGCCCGCGCCAATGACAAACGAGGACATCAAGATCCAATCCAACTTCCTTCGTGGGACAATCGCCGAGGGTCTGGTTGACACCTCGACCGGCGCTCTCAGCGCTGCCGATCAGCAGTTAACCAAGTTCCACGGCACTTACATGCAGGATGACCGCGATCTCCGTGACGAGCGAAAGGCACAGGGTTTGGAGCCTGCGTACAGCTTCATGATTCGATGCCGATTGCCCGGAGGCGTTGCAACCCCTAAGCAGTGGGAGCAGATGGACGATATCTCGACCGAGTTGGGCAATGAGACTATGAAGCTTACCACCCGACAAACGTTCCAGTTCCACGGTGTCGTCAAGGGCAAACTGAAGCCAGCCATGCAGGCTATCAACCGCGCTCTCATGACCACTATCGCCGCCTGCGGTGATGTCAACCGTAACGTCATGTGTAGCTCTCTGCCCGAGCAGAGCAAGCTTCATGCCGATGCTCGCGATGCCGCACAAAAGATATCCGACCACCTTTTGCCCAGCACCACTGCTTACCACGAGATCTGGCTGAAGGAGGACGATGAGAAGGCTGTTCAGGTTGCCGGAGACGCTGTCCAGGACTTTGAGCCTTTGTATGGCCCCGTTTATCTGCCGCGAAAGTTCAAGATCACCATTGCCGTGCCGCCACACAACGACACTGATGTCTACGCTCACGACATTGGTCTCATTGCCATCCGCAATGAGAAGGGTGACCTTGCTGGCTGGAACGTCCTCGCTGGTGGTGGTATGGGTTCCACTCATAACATGAAGAAGACCTACCCACAGATCGGTCGCATGTTCGGTTACTGTGACAACAAGGACGTCCACATCGTCTGCGAGAAGATCATGCTTGTCCAGCGTGACTTTGGTGACCGAGGTAACCGCAAGCACGCTCGTCTGAAGTACACCATCGACGACATGGGTCTCGACGTCTTTATTGGCAAGGTGGAGGAGCTTTGGGGCAAGAAGTTCGAAGCACCTAAGCCTTTCGAGTTCAAGAGCAACGTCGACACTTTCGGCTGGCTCAAGGATGAGAAGGGGTTGAACCACTTCACTCTGTTCATCGAGAACGGTCGCATTGAGGATACTGCCGACTTCCCCATGAAGACCGGCCTACGTGCCATCGCCAAGGCTCACAAAGGTGAATTCCGATTGACAGGTAACCAGCATCTCATTTTGTCAAACGTCTCCGATGCGGAGCTTCCGAAGATGAAGGAGCTGCTCAAGAAATACAAGTTGGACAACACCAACTTTTCCGGCCTACGTCTTTCTTCCAGCGCATGTGTGGCATTCCCAACTTGCGGTCTCGCCATGGCCGAGTCTGAGCGTTACCTCCCGGTGCTCATCACTAAGCTCGAGGGTGTCATCGAGGAGAACGGTCTCCGCCAGGACAGTATCGTCATGCGTATGACCGGTTGTCCCAACGGTTGCGCTCGTCCCTGGTTGGCCGAGGTCGCTTTCGTCGGCAAGGCCTTCGGTGCCTACAACATGTACCTGGGTGGTGGCTACCACGGTCAGCGTCTCAACAAGCTGTACCGCAGCTCGATCAAGGAGGACGAGATTCTATCCATCATGAAGCCGCTGCTCAAGAGATACGCGCTAGAGCGCAATGAGGGCGAACGATTCGGTGACTTTGTCATTCGCATCGGAATGATTGTTGCGACCAAGGAGGGCCGTGATTTCCACGACAACGTAGGTTTTGATTGATAACATCTCTGTCCGGCCTGAACACACACTGACTTTATTTCACAGACTGCTGAGGTTGAGGAGGACGAATAAGTATGACCGTCATGATTCTAGGTGGGAAAATGAACTATACAATGTCATGCGGCGAGAATTGTCACAATTTTGGAATTCTCCTCTGAGTACTTTGCATAGCGTTGGAGTCGTTATAAATCTGTTGTATATATTTTGCATGTTATAAATCATCGATTTTATTCTTTGAACGGATTGTGCGTATGTTCAATGTTTGGAAACTCAAGTCAACAACCAAGTCCATCGTCCATGTCTCACACTCCGGAGTGCCTGATCATCACTTGCAGTCAAATGTGAGAACCATACTCAAATGCATAGCTGTCATTGCTCGTGGAGAGACTATTGATGCGAGCTTTCAAGAGGACGGGTCACAATGTCTCTGACGTTTCCTTGCCCAGCACACGGCCTACCGGATCTGTCAAGAACCACTTTCTGTAAGCCGGTCAAGATTTAATCTGTGAGCTGGTTGCACAGGCTCGAAGCGAAGATGCGCTTGACTTGCCGCCCCGACGACTTGCCTCTGACCCAGCTAGGAAGCGAGATTGCATCTATCCAACAACGCAAGCCAGAAGGATACGTCTTATCAGCAACACCATCGTTGCCATACTGCGGATGTGCGCACGTCTGCCCAGCGGAGATGGTGTCGCATCGTGGAATGAGATCCAGATTCCTGGGAAGTCTGGACGGTGCGAGAATGGCTGAGATTTTCGCTCGGCAGCTCTTTCAGGTGGCCGTTTTGTGATTGTGAAATGTCTCGTCACTGGCCGCGATGCTTGCTACTTGTTCAGCGCCTGCATTGTGAATGTCTGGGCCTATCCCATTCGTCAAGATATGAATTAATGGCGCGCAACGTGGTCTCATGCAAGGTGGGTAGGAGGCCATCGATTCCGTGCTCTTCGCATGTCGACCTCACCAGCCGTGCTATTTAGTGATAGCAGAGACGAGGTCAAGCTTCACAAAGGAGTATCGTTCTACTCTTCTAGCAGGATGCTGCTAGTGCCGATGCTCTTGCCCACACTTCTGACGACGTCCTTCAGGGCCTTGCAAGCAGGTGAATCGCCAAAATTGTCGAAAAAGCTTTCTCCAAAATCACAGCTCATTCCGATTCGCGGGTCGAGTGGCACGGCACCCAAGAAAGGAATACTCACTTCCTTGGCCAATGCACGAGCTCCACCGGTGGATGCACGGAAAATGTCGGACTGATGTGTACACTTCGGGCAGACGAAACCGCTCATATTCTCCACAATACCAATGATATTAATCCCGGCTTTGCGGCAGAAATCGATCTCTTTTCGTACGTCCAGAAGACTGACCTCTTGCGGTGTAGTGACGAGTACTGCACCATCCACCCCCGATTCTTTCAGGAAGCTGTTCACACTCAAGTGTTCATCTGATGTTCCCGGAGGCGTGTCAATCACGAGAAAGTCTAGTTCGCCCCAAGTCACGTCCTTGAGAAATTGCTTGATCAAACCATTTTTCTTGGGCCCGCGCCAAATGACAGCATCATCTCGGTTCGGCAGCATGAACTGTACGCTCATCACACCAAGGTTGTCGCTAACCCACACAGGCTCCCAGCCAGAGTTCGTGACGTGAATGGTCTCTTCCTCAACACCCATCATCTTGGGAATGCTCGGCCCGCAGATGTCGGTATCCATGATGCCGACCATATTATCAGGGTTACTCGCAAATGCATGGGCAAGCATCGTGGTGAAAGTGCTCTTGCCGACACCACCTTTGCCACTTAGGACGAGGATCTTGTGTTTGACTCCAGCGAGGCGTTGTGTGATGATTGGAATGTCCGGGTCGGGACCTTTGGGTGCACTCGCACATATTTGCTGATTGGGACATCCGGCACAAGCATCACCCTTTCCTGCATTTTGTGATTCGGGACCGGGACAATGTTCTGGCTCTGGTGCCACGAGCTCGGGCGCCTTTCGTACTTGTGAATCCAGCGCTTCAGTTACATCTTGTAGCGGTTCTGTGGCCAGATATGGTGCCATCGTGATCGTGGATATATGCCCCTCGCTCCAGAAAATTTCAAAGTAGAGTCAGGTTTATTTCAAGTGTTGCAAATGTACATGAGTCGACGACGAGGTATATGAGAGGTCAGCTAAAAGACGACATGAATATCATAGAGACTTGAGTCAGGGATCTAAGTTCTCATGCGTCTTGATTGATTGGTAATACAGTACGTTCCATTCGGATGGTCCAGTGGCAAGCGATAAGCGTTGTTTCCAGCCCCACGTCATTTGGTGGCAGCGAAGTCGAAACTCGCGTTGTACTTCCGTCCACACAAACGAAACCTCCGCGATCGCAACGACACTCTATTGCATCAACATCGTGATTCTTCAATGGCGCACAATGTTCGCACGACGCATCTTGAGCGGAGTGCGACGGCCAGCAACCACGAACCCGATTAGTCAGCGGTTTCAGCGTCGGGAAGTCCGCCTGGGACCACCATTTCTTTTGGACGTTTATACCCCCAGATACCAGCTACTGTCGTCTGTCGACGAGGCCAAAAAGAGATCTCAAGCATACGCGCACCTCAACAATTGCAATCTATGCCCTCATCAGTGCGGTGTGAATCGGTTTGAGAAGCGTGGAAGGTGCCTCATCGGTTCGGACGTGGTCGTGAGCACCATCGCGCCCCATTTCGGAGAAGAGCCATGTATACAAGGGCACAACGGGTCTGGAAGCGTCTTCTTCTCCGGCTGTAATCTACGCTGTGTATTCTGTCAGAACCACGATATCGCGCATCAGAGAAATGGCTTCAGTTTGACACCAGAAGAGCTGGGCGAGTGGTATATCAAGTTGCAGGATGTTGGAAATGTACACAATATCAATCTAGTCACACCGGAGCATGTAGTCCCCCAAGTTGCTCTCTCGATATTGCATGCCAGGAACCTAGGTCTGCGCGTCCCAATCATCTACAACACATCTTCCTTCGATTCTCTTGAGTCTATCGCACTGATGGACGGGCTTGTGGATATCTATCTCGCAGATTTCAAGGTTTGGGAAACAACCACGTCCAAGCGGCTACTCAAGGCGAATGACTATGCACAAGTTGCCAAGGAGTCTATCAAAGCCATGCAAGACCAAGTAGGTGATCTTTGCTTCACCGCCGACGGCATAGCCAAGCGAGGATTATTACTGAGGCACTTGGTAATGCCTGGGTATGAGGAGGAGGGTCGTTGCATTGTGGAATGGTTGGCTCAAAATGTGAGTCGAGATCTCTACATACACATTATGGAACAGTATTTTCCCAGAGCACATGTTGGCAAGAGTCGACGCATCGGACGTACCGAGACGCAAAAGATTTTAAACTCCGATAAATCTACCAGCGAAGAGGATGTGGCAGAACATATTCGATACGCTGATATCAACCGCGCCGTCAAACCTCAAGAGGTTGAAAGTGTGACTGCCTTTGCGCGATCGGCAGGACTCTGGAGACTTGTTGAAGCTGCTGAGCATGGCGGTTTCAACATTTGAGAACACTTCGGCGAACACTCTACATATATCGCTCATGTCCTTCCTAGCAGGGCCGGAGCACAGCTTCTTGATCTGGAGAAATGATTTGCGATGTGGACGACGTCTTCATGTTACGATGTCTCACATATCGGAACGATCGCTTTCCGGAATGGAAATTCTATATTTCGGCGGAGCGTGAGGACACAAAGCGGAGACGTGCGGTATGCAACTTTGAAAAGATAGTCAGGTCACTGTGCATTCTTTCATGGATTTGCAGCACTGTCCTTATTCGGAAAGCAACCTGGACGTAATCTCCCCTGGTCCGAATATGGACGATGCCGGCTGATAGACAAGCATCGCGACTGTTACCCCTGCAAATGACGGCCAGCACAAAGCTATGCGGAACTCTGATCGACCTCTGCAAACAAATATCCTTTGATGACTTCAGGATTTTACTTTCATTGTTTGCACGCAGGCTAGCCCAACGACTATGTCGGTAGGTCTCTGTGAGAGGTGCGACTGATGTCTCCGGGTGGCTCAAGAGGAACATATATGGGCGTCATGTTCGCGGTCGTGCTGAACGCCGTCGCTTGGAACGATAACGTTCGTACGATACGACCGCGAAAATTTGTCAAACTTCGCCCCGTCTCATGCTTTCAACATGGGACCGACCCGATTGGCGACCCAGACTGGACATCCGGACTTCAGCATGTCCCTCAAGATGTTGTCAGATGTGGGACCAACATTGAACAGTACCTCTGACCTGTCGCAGCACACCGAAAATAGCGATGACCACACCAGCTCCAGTGGGCTGTCGCAGCTCAAAGCAACGAGTAAATTCAAGTCCTTGACCTCCGAGATCAGCTTCGTGACTGCCATCTGCTTGACGCAATTCCTGGCCGAATTTCTCATCACCGGTTTCGCTATTGCCTTACCTCGCATGTTGGCTAGAACCACGGATGCGGATGCCGAATCGACAGGCCTATTTTGGCCGGCAACGCTCCTCACCCTCATCCTCAGCGCTTCCTTACTCATCGCAGCGAGGATCTCTGACAAATATGGAGGCTTTTACCCTTTCATGACGGGAGTACTCTGGCTTGCTGTTTGGTCATTGGTCGCAGGTCTCGCTCCAGGCGTCATCTGGCTAGACGTCAGCCGAGCAAATCAGGGCCTGGCCATAGCCTTTTTCACACCATCGACGTTCGCCCTCGTAGCAAACGGATATGATGAAGGTCGCCGCAAGAACATCGTACTGGGTTTGTACGCCGGTTGTGCTCCTCTTGGCTTCTTTTCAGGCTTCATGGTAGCTAGTGTTCTCCCTGAGGATGGCCTCTCGTGGTACTTCTGGATCTCAGCCATCCTTGCCGCTACCGCCGCCACACTCGCCAAGTTCAGCGCGCCTAGTCGGAAGATACTCAATCCGGGGATAAAGCTGGAGATGGACTGGATTGGTTCATGTCTGATCACTTCAGGCCTCTTGTCGTTAACGTATGGGCTCGCCGTGATTCCCTACACGAGCACCGAGACTGGATTTGGGGCTTACACTTCGCCTCGTGTACTTGGACCACTGTTGTTAGGTTTCGTATGCCTCATCGTCGCCGTGTGGTTTGAAGGCTGGGTCGCCCAATCACCCCTGCTACCTATGGCCTTCTTTCAGGCCAGAGAGGTACGAATCCTGGCACTAGCGTGTCTGTTCTTCTACGCATCATACGGAGTCTGGTTGTATGACTCAGCTTTATTTCTGCAGAATCCTATTGCAACAGGACTGCCTGACGGGATTCGTGGAGCTCAACTCGCCATATGGTATACTCCCACAGCACTTGGAGGCATGATAATCTGTGTCTGCGGAGGCGCCTTGTTGCATTTGGTCTCACCGAAAATCCTATTCTGCATATCGGGTACTGCGTGGGTCGCAGCACCTCTGCTATTGGCGCTTTGTCCGACACCACTTCGGTATTGGTCATTCATTGTGCCGTCGATGCTCTGTGCCACAATCGGTATTGATCTTACCTTCACCATCTCGCTTGTGTGCATCACTCGTGTACAACCAAGTTATTACCAGGCACTTGCTGGGGCGGTATGCTCTATTCTTTGCGACTTGGCAATCACATTCTCATTGCCAATCTCGGAAATTCTCAGCAAGCAAGTGGAGCTGGAGTTTGTTGAGCATGTTGCCATGACCTCAGCGACTTCTGACGGTAGCGCCGCTCTTGCCGGCTTGCAGGCGGCCTTCCTCTATGCAGCAGCTTCTGCTGGTGTTGGGATGGGTTTGAGTGTTGTGTATGCTTGCATGCATGACTCAGGAATAGCAAGACGGAGTGACGACACTGAGCGTGGGGAAAGCAGGGATATGGCCAGCTCGTCGACACAATGATCTGCATATGCAGTCACAAAATTCGTTGAATAGAACTGGTCGCGAGCAGGGCCCGCATTGCCAAGAACCGCGACGATTGTTGGAGTCCATGGCTTGATACCCTTCGTATTTCGAGAGGATTGTATTTAACGTCAATCCCCGAGTCATGTTCGAGGAGTGCGCAATTTGAGATCCAGATATCAGTCTTCCGTCTGAGTCATTACCTTCAACGCAGTAGTGATTGCGTAGGTAGTCACTCGGTGAATAGCAACAAAACCGAGATTTGACAGGTCGTGCATTTGTAATGTTGTTGATGAAATGCTTGCTGTGCATTGTCGCCCATGTCAACCCTAGGAGGAGAAGCATGCTGTCATTGCGCATTACTCGTGCCGCCGGCTAGAATGGTATGTACGCCATTCATCCACACACGTGTTGGAGCGAAGACGGCGCGGAAACGCGTCAATTTATTCATCGTTCGCGCAAAAGCTCCACGATTCGGACTGCACAACCCTCAATTTCCTGCCCGTACACTTGATTGAAGGATTCTCGTGCGTTCTGTCTCCATCGCCTTAAAAATTACTTTCGTTGGGCGAGTATATTTGAACATCGACAGCGGCACATCGCTGCCAGGACGTGGATCCTATCTGGACGCCTCTTGCGTGATGAATTACCCAGGAGCAATTCTCATGCTGCATGCATGTGCATGTGCATCCATACACCAGTATGTACAGTATGCACGCATTTTACACATTGCATAGGAGAACCCGCGGGATGAAAAGTAGGTAGCTGTCATCTTCAGGGACACAACGAGCGAATTCGGAAGTCCAGCTCCTCTTCTTGATCTTCACGAGATACTAGAGAAAATTTTGATGCCGAGACGTGCGTAAATGCTTGGGTATCGGGTGCCCACTCGGTGTCGTGATTGCTCTTCCCTTCTAATGGACCCAAACCTTGAACGACAACAACGTCCTAACTTGGAAGACCTACAGCTTAAACCTACCTAGGTACCCACCTAGGTAGGCATTGAAAGATTTTGCTCACGTGCCCCACTGCCAGTTTTGTCCGCAGCCTGTCTGGAAAAACGGCCTAGGGCATGTGCAATGATGATAGACCTATGAACGCATACGTGCGGCATATAACACTCCTCGAATAAACCTCACCCTCCATCTCCCTTACCCACTTCGCGAGAAAATCTTTTTATTACAGTAGCTGTATCGAGATCCATTCATCGTTGACTCAACTCAACTTTGATGGTCGTCACGCGATTCAACATGAGCAGCACCTTGGACAATTCGTCCGACATGGAAGCTGCAAAGCTTCGGCTACGTACTTCGTTGAATTCACCTACGACGACATCTACTGGCGGATCCGGCACGCAATCCGCTCAAGACACCGTTCGCACGCTGAATGCCTCAGAAGCTCAAGCTGACAAGGCAGAGAAGGACAGGAAGACATATGGCAGAACTCCTGATGGCACTGGTAAGCAGTTTCGACGCATCACCAACGGACGCTTAAGCAAGCAAAATGTTCATCCCGACGTCAACCAGAACGTCTGCGACAGTTATTGTTACTGATTGAGTGGTTGCGCAGTCTTCGTCGTACCTCACACCGAGGACATGGTGTCTCAGCTTTTCGACCCGACCAAGCCCAAGGTTGCTTTGGATTTGATCGTCGTGGTCGCGCTCGGATCTTTGATTCTGCTGTTCTACATTTTGCCCAAGAGCTTCCGAGTGCCTGTCTTCGCCGTCACATTTCTCTTCTGGCGGATGTGCTACAATTTCGGCATCGGGTGGCTCCTCCACAATCAGTCCCACCACAAGCGCCTCGTGAACTGGGCCAAGAAATTGAAAATCTTTGAGCACCCGGATCGAGGCGGGAATGCTTATCCAGCCCTATTCAAGTTCCTGAAACGGGACATGGAGACCATGATCAAGAAAGACTACGTCTTCGAGGACGCACCCGTCGAGTACAACACGTGGTTGATCTTCCGCCGCGTCGTAGACCTGATTCTGATGTCCGATTTTACCTCGTATTGCCTCTTTGCCATCGCTAACACTCATATCCCTGCAAAAGAACACATTCTCATGACTTTTGCGCGCTTCATCGGCGGTATTGCCTTGGTTCTCTTCAATCTCTGGGTCAAATTGGATGCGCACCGAGTCGTCAAAGACTACGCGTGGTTCTGGGGCGATTTCTTTTTTCTTGTTGACCAAGAGCTGACATTCGATGGTGTGTTCATGATGTGCCCTCACCCAATGTACTCGATCGGATATGTGGGCTTTTATGGCATCGCGCTCATGGCGGCCAGCTATAATGTCCTCTTTGTCTCGATCATCGCACACGCAGCCCAATTGACCTTCCTGACTATCGTCGAGAATCCGCATATCGATCGCACCTACAATGCACCGCCGCCCAAGAAGCGCCTCGAACGAGCTCCTGACTCGCCTCCAGCCAGCTTGAAAGACCACCATCGGCGGACCAGTGTTGCAGGACACGTCAACGACTATCCTCCCTTGGCAACCAGCACGCAACCTTCGCCCGTACACAACATCATCGGCATTCGTAATCTGGACCTGCTTCGCGTGACGGACATCGCTGTGGTCATTATGCAGGTGTATATGTATAGTGTTGCGTTGCTGACTCCAACGACATGGTTGTGGCAAACGCTTTTTGTTTTCAACGCTGTGGTTTGGCGACTATGGTATACAGTTGGACTGGGATTCATTCTCGATCGGCAAGCTCATTCGAAGTGGTGGACTCGCCATTTTGTCAAGTACGGCGAAAGCACTGAAGAAGCCTGGCGGCAATGGAAAGGCATGTACCATATCAGTATGGTCATGTGTTACACAAGCTTTATTTGCGCGGCGTGGAAGATGTACGGCTTACCGCCTGACTGGGAGTATGGCACCGCTCTGTTGAGACACGTCATCGGATTTGGATTGATTGCCCTTCAGATGTGGACGAGCAACAGTGTCTACGAGTCTCTTGGCGAGTTCGGGTGGTTCTTTGGCGACTTCTTCTTCGATCATGCCCCCAAACTCACCTACAGCGGCATCTACAGATATCTCAACAACCCGGAGAGGACGCTCGGACTGGCTGGCGTTTGGGGCTTTGCCATCATCACTTGGAGCAAGTCCATCTTTTTCCTTGCCCTGCTGAGCCATTCGCTTATGCTTTTATTCATCCAATTCGTGGAGAAGCCTCATATGCAGAAGCTGTATCATGCAGGCCTGCGACAGCAATCTGGTGTCTCCGAGAGTCTCCAGCGCTCTCTGCCCACGAACATAACGAAATGGACTGGAAGCGTCGATAAGGTTTTCGACGACACGCTTGACTCGTTGGAAGAGTTTATTGAAGCCTCAGGCCCGAAGCTTGCTGCAGGCTTCAACACGTTCATCAAGGACTCGACTACGCTTTTCAAGCAATTCCCAGCTCGTGTCAGCATCACAAGGTTGTCGCCAGAACTTGCCGGTTATGATTCGAAGGATTACTCGATTGCCATTGATCCTATACAATCCGCTGCGAATCAAAGCGAGGTGCAATATGGCAATCGTGAGCGCGATCCTACACATTCCGCTGCTAAAGGTGGCGACAGCCTGGGTCGTCTTGTGGTGCCATTCGGTACGCCGATCCGCGCAAAATGGACCGCGCCGTTAAATCACAGCAAAAAGGACTGGATTGGTCTGTACATGGTCGGCGACAACATATCACGTGAAGTTACCTCAGTACGCTCTGCCGGGCGCTGGATAGGCACCAACCCGGATCCATGGGAGAACAGCAAGGCTCGCGAAGGTGTCCTCGTCGTCGACCAGCGCGTATCAGGCAGTACTCGTAAGGATGGCGAAGTCACCGATTTCCTCGCGGGTGAAGTCGAATTCTCCGGAGACAAGCTTTGGTGGGCCGAGGGAACGTACGAATTGCGTTACCATCACGACGGTCGGTACAACGTCACAGCCATCTCGATTCCCTTCGAGGTCAAAGTCGCGCGCTTCGACGAGAGCATTCCGTCGAACCTCGACGAATACAAGGAAGGCCTCTCGCGGCCGGCAGTGGAGGAAGCCATCTTGCCGATGCTGCAGGACTGCTTCGAGCGCGATCCGGACGTTGCGCCGCACACCGTGGATGAGCATTTTGGGTCGATTATCGCACGCGATAACAAGTACGCCCGACGCGTCGTATATGCCGTGCGGTCCATGTTCGGCATCGAATTCGCACCGGATGTGGTGCAGGCGGATGGGAATGTGAGGAATCTGGCGTGGCGGATCTGCAATGCTAAAAAGGTCCTGGCGCCTTATAGTATGACGGAAACGAACATTCCCACAACGCCATGATGCGGATGCCGCGCCGTAACGAAGCTGTATTGGAGAGATGAAGGATTGGTGATGCAGAAAGATCGTGCAGGTAGTGGAATTACTGCTATTTTCCGGCCTATCACCATTTGAGAAGTTTCAATTTGAACGTCTTCCGCGCTTGTGGTGCAAGCGGCGATTGATGAGGGAGAGAGGACTCTGCAATTGCCATTTTGGGCATTCAATGTCTGCTGTGTACAGAACACGATAATGTACCTACGCCGTGATTGAAGAAATGAAACGAGCAAAATCGCAGACGTCTCGTAAATGAAACACCAAAGATGAAACCTGCCTCGGCACGGAAATTGTGTTTTGAGTGTGAGGCGCTCGGGTGGCATTGCCAGGACGACGTGATCTAAGCCCTTTCTCCTCGTCAACGTAGAATACACAGGTGCTCCGAATGGAAATGCCTTCGAGCTTCGACGTTGACAGCAACATTAGCAAGAGTGGCGGAGAGAGAAACACAGATCACAAATGGGTACGATTCCACGCATGGCCGCACTGTGGGCCCATGACGGTGATAACCTTGCTCGCCACTCGGGATGATAATTCGCAACGAGGCACGCGCGTCGAGCCGTTTCTCATTTCTCACATCTGGACAGCGTACAATAGTTGCTCATAAGCCGAAGAGACGTGCTTTACATACGATGGCAAGTTCCGGCACTGGCTTGGTCGACAAACTGATTGTTGTATCGCCTCGTCATTGTCCAAGAAATGCGTAATCTGGGCGTAGACTCTGGCCAGACAACCCAGAAATGGTATATCATATTACGAGTCGCGATAAGAATAGCTCATCATGGACTCGAGGGAGGAGATAGATAGGGAAAAGCAGGGTGACATTTAGGCTTTGCCAGGTCTCATATTCATCTCATTTTAATGTCCCGCTGCACCCATGAAATGCTGGGGCGCTTGATGACAACGTGCGCCGTGCGGAGCAGAGAAAGTTTAATTCTGGTCATCTCATTTCCTTTTCGGCCCGCGCATTCGGGAGTGGTGGCTTGTAAAGAGGTTGTCTGTCTGACCGCAGGACTAGATAGAACGGTCGCGATGTTCCGCAATGCAGAGGCTGGGTCAAATTCGCGGTCGCCCGGCGACTGCCGAGCAAAGATACACCGTTGAATGGAGGATTCTCTAGCATCGAAGGTGACCAGACAACCCCTGAGCATGTTCACCACACCCTATCAAGACACCACATCATACACCAACGACAGCCGCCTCATCACAATCTCTGCACTCCTCTTTGACGTGATTTCACTACTGCAAACACTTTGCCGTAATCGACACTACCCAGCCTTGTACCTGCACTTGTACCTGCACGTATCTTCTCGCTGGCGCACTTGCACGCCCCATTGGCGTCGCATGGACTCTGTTGTCAGGCACAGACTCCTCGACCGTCCAGTCCAGATCCAGCCCGGTCCTATCATCACTCACGATGACCCCGAAGTATGATACGCAGTAGTCGCAGTCGCCAATGGCCAGTCCAGTCGGTGTCGGGTCTAGTGTCCTTCCCTGCACGTACGCATCGGTAGGTGAACGGACACTCCAAGAGAAGAGGAGGGACTCGGCCACTCGCCACATTTCGTCGGACGAGGACCTCACTTCCGTATCTTCTCTCCATTCTCTGCTTCATTGCATACCTCATTGCTTGCTACGCTTCATGGACATCACTCGTTAAGTGTCCTGTCGCGCTCGTTCTGGATCTTCTCACACTCATTTTGGATCGTGAGCCCGTTGCCGACATTACTGCCTGTAATTGAAACTTCAGCCTTTGGCGCAAGTTACGGACAGTCATATTCGCCATGCCGTCTTCTTCCTCTTCTTTTGGACGTTTGGTCCAGTTCGCCTCATTGTGTCTCTTCTCTCTCGCGACAGCACAATCGTGCTATTACCCGGACGGGACTCTATCCACCACCGACGTTCCCTGCGGCACTGGCGCTGCCGTCTCATGTTGTGGTGCTTCTTCCTTCTGCATGGACAACGGGCTTTGTTTCTACGGAGGAATCGTGACTCGGGCAAGCTGTACCGACAAGACTTGGGCCAGCGGCGCCTGTGCAGCATTCTGCAAAAAGACATCTCCGAGCTCGAGCGTGCCAATCTCGCCGTGCTCCCTTTCCAGCAACACATTCGCATGCGGACTGAATGGCTCCTCGTGCAGTGATACCAGCAATACGTTCACCATGTCCGGTGGCGACTCGCTTTACCTCCGACCATCGCAAGTTGCTCAATTGCTCGGCAATGCCGTCACTCAGGCGTCGTCCACCGCAACCGCTGCCAGCTCTGGAATGTATACTCTCGGCGCCTTGATTGGAGTAGGAGCAGGACTGGGAATCCCACTGGTCATCGCGATCGGCGTTGCTATCTTCCTCTTCCGCCAGAACAAGACTCGCCAACCTAAGATCATGTACCCCATCCCGACCGACAACAAATCCGAGTTCTCCTTCCGTCCTCCACCGCCGCTCAGCCCGCCGTTCGAGTCTCGTATGTCCATGCACTCAAATCACAGCGAGCCTGTGAGCATGATGTCTGTCACCACTGTCGGCCCGCAGACGCCTGTACACTTGTCGACCTTCGCGGAACGATACTCACCTGGAAACAAGAGTGGATTCCGCACGGAGACTACTGATGTGAACGTGTCGCCTATTCGTCAGAGTTCGGTTGAGCAGGTCACGGCTCTACCAGCAGGGCGAGGCCAGGTGCGGCAAATCATCATGTCGCGATGATTGCGGCTCATTTTCTCATGAAACTTTATGTACAATTTTGTGGAGCATTAGCCAAAATTTGAATTTAGCGTGGCGTTGGTGTGGATTGGAAGATGTCATATCAGATGTATGATCTCCGAATTCAAGATGTAGGTATATTCCATTTGCATTCTGCTGAAATTGCTTCTGCTTGACCCAGCGCAATATGTGCTTTCAGGAATTCTTGTGACGAAATAATGTGCTCGGCCGGACTTCAGCCCTGGTGAGGCAGCTGCTGTGGATGTTCAGCACCTCCAAGGTTGTCACCTCTGAATGGGCAGTCGCGATGGAGACCAAACTTGTCTCTCAACCAAAGATCTTAATTTCGGACGATAGCACCACACCAAGCATAGATCGAAATAGCAAATATCGTTGCGACATTCACATCCATCGGCGTTCCGAGTCAGCAGCCTTAACATCTAGACACTATACGCAACATTTACAACATGTTTCCCGCCATACAGCTTCTAATGGCTACGATCCCTCTTCTCGCTTCCAGTCTGCCTCTTAATTCACCTCTACTGCAAAGCTACGACTACATCGTTGTCGGAGGAGGACCAGGTGGCCTAGTCGTCGCCAATCGCCTCTCGGAGGATCCTTCCATCAATGTTCTTCTGCTGGAAGCAGGTCCAGCAGACCGACGAGAAGACGCTGTTCAGGTGCCCGGACTGGTCGGCACTACGGTTGGTAGTTTGTACGACTGGAACCTCTCAACTGTTGCACAAGAGCATTTGGATGGGCTACCTCGCAAGATACCGCAAGGTCATGCTTTGGGAGGTATCGTCGTAGCTGCACTGCTTCTCTGGATTTGTGCTGATCAAAAACTTCAGGGGGCACCATAATCAACGGAATGCTTTGGTATCGCGGCAACGTCGCAGACTATACGGATTGGGTACAGCTAGGCAATCCGGGATGGGGCTGGGACGATTTGCTGCCATATTTCAAGAAGGTGGATCAACGGCAATATCATTTTCCATGACGACTTATTTGCTAATGAAAATAGAGTGAAACATATACCCCAGAGCCGTCGCCAGATATTGCACAACAATATTCGATCTTTGAAAAAAGCGAAGTTCACGGCTTCCAGGGACCAGTCAACGTCAGCAGTCCGAGGTATGCATACCACGACCTTTTGATCTCGGCTTCTACTGATATATGAACGTTGCAAGACATTTTTGGAACACCTCGTCTTTTTTGTTCTCCGCATTATCTTCTCTCGGGATCCCAATAGCCCAAGATCCGAATATGGGCGGCTTTGCAGGCGCTAGTTTCTTGCCATTGAACCTCGACCCTGGAAGTCAAACAAGATCAACCGCCGCCAGAGCTTACTACGATAGCGTTGCTAATCGCCCAAATCTCTAGGTGAGTACTGGCCAGCATGTTACAGCTGTCCTCTTTGATGGCCGCGCCATCCAGAATGTTTCCTCGCCGCCAGGGACTTTACATGGGCAAGGTCATTCTCCTATGGCTGGTGCTAGTATGTTCGGCAGCGGCACGACTTTGAATGTACCTGGCGGCCACGGAGACGATGGCTCTCTGGGACTGATACGCAGAAGTTTGCGACTTACGTCCCACTCTAAGAAGCAAGATACGACAGCCACAGACCCTCGCCTGGTTGCGCGTGGCGTCGAATTCGCCCCAAGCATACATAGTCCTCGATTCCAAGTACAGGCAACTCGCGAAGTGATTCTCTCTGCAGGCGCCATACATACACCGCAACTCCTCATGCTGTCTGGCATCGGGCCCGCTGCAGCACTCGATCGCATGGGAGTCTCTGTTAACATCGATCTGCCTGGCGTTGGTTCTAATCTCCAGGATCATGCTCAAGTCTGGAATTTCTATCCATACGGAAATGACTCTGTCCAGTATTCAGACAGTCTCCGAAATGCGACCATAGCTCGTTTGGCTTGGGACCAATATCGTTCCAATGCTTCTGGTCCGCTTACAAGTACCGCAGTCGGTGGCGTTGCCTTTCCTGCTTTGCCCATCGTCGTGAACGGATCGACGGACATTGCACTGAAAGCAATATCGCAGCCGCCGGATCAGTACCTTGCACCAGGAACACATGCCGATGTGATTGCTGGCTTCCAACGACAACAAGGTCTCATGGCTACAGCACTCCTGGATGGCAGCCGAGCCGCTTATGAGATCATCAATGGCAACGACGGTGTCCTCACCGTCTCAACGATGAAATCATTCTCGCGGGGCAGCGTTTCCCTCAATTCAACGCAACCTTTTGATCCGCCTTCGATTGATCCCCGCTATGGCAGCGATCCAACCGATGTGGCCATCCTCAAAACTGCTCTTCAATTCAATCTCCGACTGCTATCTACTCCAGCGCTGTCACAGCTACAACCGCGCCCATTGTTCCCCTCGCCAAACGCCACCGATGACGAACTCGAAACATATATCCGAAGGCACATCCAGACAGAGTACCACCCAAGCGGCACAGCTGCCATGATGCCACTCGAGCTTGGCGGTGTTGTCGACCCTGCTCTTCGAGTATGGGGAACGGCGAATCTTCGGGTCGTGGATGCCAGTGTCTTTCCACTTCTACCTGCTGCGCATCTACAAGCCGTGGTCTACGGCGTCGCTGAGAAGGCAGCCGACTTAATCAAAGCCGCGCAGATCGATAGATCCTCCATGGCTCCACAAGTCCCTACCGCAGGATCGCAGTATGCTAACTCCATCGTGGCGGTTACCAACACTCTGGGCAATACATCAGACGTTGTCGATACGAGTGCTGCGGCAATCACGCCACTGCCTGGTAAAACGTCAGATATGCCGTCAACAATATGGCAGACCCGGACGACATTTGTGACGGTGTACGTCACAGCGAGTGCATAGCAGGGGAAGCAGGACAAATATGTAGATATGAGGATGTTAATGATACAGTTTTCGACGAGATTTCTTGTGGAGTGGTATCACTTCGACACGTGTTACAGCCGGGTTCACCGGATTCGCTCAGTCTTACTAATGTAATGTACAGCGGCAACTCCCAGATGACCCATGTTCCTTCACGCATCTTGTGCGATACGATTCGCTGCGTCTGGAGGAGGGCTTATGCAAGTTTCTCGCGTCTTCAGGTTCGTCAAGTGCTGAAATCCTGTGTGCAACAACACCGTCGCACAGATTTGGAACGGCCCTCGCAATGGAACACAAAATCTTCGTTCACGGGCCAAATGCTGTACGCCCATGCGGTGCAACCAGCGCACATCACGTTTCATCCGAGAGCGGCCTGCTGTCCGGACACAAAGGAGAATATTGGGAAGCCGAGGGAGGAGTAACAAGGAGAGTTTCCGACTCTCTTTCCTCGACGTGGTAAATAATATCTTCGAATAGCATTGATATCAGTCTATCGCCCTCGATCCTACTTGTGAAGCGGAAAGAATTATTCAAGAGCAGCGCGTGATCGAGAAAACCACTTACCGAGATCATGGCGAACACACTCTTCCCAGCCGCCCTCGTGCGCATGCGAAACCTCCCGACCAGCACCATCGAGATTGCGGAGGAGCCCGCACTGCCTGAGGTCATGCTCAGCGAGATGTTGCGAAAAGTCTTCGGGTGGGAAGAAGACATCCGGAGTCTGTTGAGGACAGAGTGGCACTCGCATCGGCCGGGATCGATGGAGAGGACGATCTTACAATGTTGGCTTGGAGAGAATTTGGTTGATCATTCAGGCCAGAACGAGTCGGCAGGGAGGAGTCTTGATGTAGACTGCATGATGTTGGCGTTGAGAACTTCAGGAAGGGAAGATTTGGTGGCGAAAATGAGCCTCGCCCAGAGACTGAAGGACGAGGGCGATGTGCATCTTGCAGCGGCGTTACACGTCAGTATGGGACAGACCGATGCTGCAACTGGGATGTACATTTCGAGCGGACTGTGGATGGAGGCGATCCTGCTCGCTGCATTACACTGGCCACAGGAATGGCAGAGGATTGCCGGTTTCCTACGTGGATGGACAGCATCGATGCTTGCAGAATGTGATGAGCTCCGCGGTCGTGCGGCGCGCTGTATCTCCTCTTCGGAGATTAAGCCGAAACAGCATTGGGCTCCTCTCCTCTAAATACGCTGCATTCTTGCCGAAGCAGGAACGCCGGTCCGAGGATGAGGATGTTGCAATGCGGCCCCTGAGCTCACACGGGAAGTTGCCTTCTCGCGATGGCGTGAGAACAGCATCGACATCCTCAAGGACATCTTTATCGCCTTCAATGGTGTATTCCAATATCATGAGCAAGCCGCGACTAAAAATCGTGACCGATTTAGACAGAGATGGGTCTTTCGCACACCAGGATGACGTATTCACCGATACTGCCAAATATCAACCAACCTCACAATACTTGACGAGAGAAGAAGATATCTCGCGATCTCACAAAAGAGGTCAAAGCACTTCGTCGATCAGGAGTGATACTCCTGCTCAATTGCATGTGCGTTCAGCGGAGACCCTCCATCATAGAAATGACTCCCATCATCGCCCGCCGCCGAAGTTCCAAGTTGAACGCTTGCGAGCTCAGAAAGATCGGATCGCGACGCCTATACCTGCTGCCCGTGATGACCCATATCGCATCAGAACTCGATCCGATTCAAAGCCGTTCAAAGGCTACATTGACAAAGACGCCGCCACACCGTCTCGCAGCAACAGCAAATCTGAACGATACCAGTTAGTGGCCAATGGCGGCCCAGAGACAGACGGGATGATACCCAAAGCGTTGCATGTGCGATCGCCACCCTCTTTGCCTGTTGGCGGCACAGCCTCAGATCAGGTTGCTGTCATGCCGGACGTCACCGAGAGCACAGTCACGATCGAAACCATCGACATGTCTTCGCCAGAGCTAGAAGAGGCAGTCCCTGGAACGAACGTCTATAATGTGAGTGACCTGACAGCAAATACCTTCTACAGCCAGGCTCCGAATCTGAGCCTAAATGATATTATGAGAACGGGCACACCAGGAGGCTTGAAGAGCTCGTTGATACTGGGAAAGAGCTCATATACGCCGCCTATCCGTCGAGCAGAAAGCTGCCGCCCGGATGTCGATCGTCATCGCCAGCAGATTGGTCATCAACATAATTCGAGCTCGCGAGGAGATGGATTTGTGATGCAGCGTAAGGTGAGCTTCCAGGAATTGCATTAAGACATTCGCTGTGTCCATGCGATGTGTGTGATGGTGGCCTCGACGGCTATGCTGTGGCGAGAGTAGACAGAGCTGAGAGGCCCAGTTGTGAATTACGAATGAAAAATGGAAAGATATAGAACGCGCAGATGACAAAAATATCGCTGAGGTGGATGTGAACTTCATTCGCATTTGTTGGAATGCTACTCATGCGCTCATGCCTCACTAGATTATAGAATGAGGAGACCACTGAAACTTACCTAGGTATTGCAACTGATCGAAGGAAGGGTGACGTGATGTTCTTCAACACATATTCTCGAAGTGACTGTGGCGCAGGTGGCGCGAATTTCTGCACAGCCTCAGGGTTTTCGCATGAACTACTCGCACTGACACTCGACGTCGTATTAGATGCAGGGCGTGGCCGTCATCGAAACGCACGATCTTCGCAATATTTGAAATGCGATTGATTTGCGCATCATTCCACATGCAGGGCAGGTTGATGTTTCGCTTACACTGCTCGCTTTGCATACCATGTTGTGGTCATCGCATGGAGACGAAACATATCAACGGACGAGGTTGCGCGGAAATTGCGGTGGGAGAATCTGGCGTGGGAATAAGATTAGGACTGATCCGTCCATTGTCTGTGCCGCCCGTTAGGTCAGGACAGAGGAGAGCCGATAGTCGCGCAGTAGCTATGTCTCTTTGCCAGCCATCGACCGAGCGATTGCGTTGGCAGAGCACAGCATGAAACGTCCTTCTTTCTCTCCGCGCCCAGTATTGTGCAAAGAAAAGTCGCAGATGGAAGTGATGACATACATACTGTAGTACTATGCGGTGTTTGACAAGCCGGCAAACAAGCCATAGCCAAGACGAATCCCCTGCTTCTGTCCTGCCCAGGAGAGCTTGAGTCCTGAGCTTGTTCGGGCAGCCAAGTCGCGATGCACGACTGCGTCTATTTGGTCCATGAAATAGACTGGTATGTGCACTACATCCCACACATCTTCCATATCAAGCGGTGCAGCCTGAGTCTCGGACTCCGTGTATTCCCAGCAGGCATGAGGATTGAGATGTTTGTTTTTTTGAAAAGCCACACGACACATGACACGCGAACGCCCACGTTCTTGCTGAAGCCCGCGCGCCGGCGGCCTGCGACGTCATTGTGAGATGACAAGCTGGAAGCACATTGGTGTGAAAATGTTGGTCAGAGAAGAAAATACGTACGAGGGTGCATGGCGCCAGCGCATACGGAGGTAAGCCGCAGTGACGGCACTGTGCAGGAATGGAGTCGTGGGAGCGAAGTCTTCTGGACTTCCATCCCCGAGCGACAAGAAACCATGCATCATCTCGATGGCCGACAAGCAGAATGTGCGTCGAGGATCGTGAATGCGTTCCAGCATTAAACGAAGTCACATGTGCCCCCCGGATTCGGTTGCGATTCGTTGCATTGCGGAAGCGATGTCTGCCGTTCCCCCCACCAGATAATCTGCCAGTCTGCCCATTCAAATAATGGACGGGAGAAGAAGCCTTGCCAAGGACCGAGGGCTTTTGCTAATAGGGGGGGTTTGCGCGTAATGGACAGATCATTTCGATGTAGAGAAGAGGAGGTGTCGCTGTTGATGTATCGTAACGAGATCATTTGCTGGAACCTGGCACTGCCTTCATTCGTCGCAGGTGTAGTACTGGATCATAATAAATGTGATGACGGAGATACTTCAATAGACTGATCATGGCCCAAGATTGCCGCGGGCGGTTCTGGGCTTCAAAAAGAGGTGGAGATGCCAGGGACTTTTGCCCGGCCAACAGCCTACCCGTGTGTGTAGAACTGTTAGCATGCATTCATTACAGTACCACATTCCACAAAGTTGCATTGTCGATCCTGTATACTTGATTTCGCTCGTCTCTCGCCGCCATCATCGTCACCGAAGTTTTCGCACTCCCTTTGTTCCCCTTGCCCTTTTAATTGACATAGCCTCTTCGAATTGCGTGTCCTGGTGATCGCTTTCCACATCGGCTTTCATTCATCTAAACGCGTTGCATTCGGGGCACAGCCACAACAACGCTCTCAGCACCTTCCTCGGGCTAGCACATTGCGCTACGTTAGCACTTCAGAACGTGGGAACAATAATATATCCCATCGAGAGCCTGCAAACAGCACCTGCAGTTCAAATATCCTGAACGACGCCACTCGCGACTTACTTTGCATAAACCGCTCACCGGTCTTGGACGCCTAACAAATTCTCGTGGTTGACGAGGGACAGGACAGCTATGCGTAAGTGCTGCACGCGAGCCACGCATACCATCGCGCTATTCTATGGCTTAATTCGCCATGTGAACCGTGATTTCGCGACACAATTACTGACTTGAGTTCCATTCAGACGCCATCAAAAAGGCAGCGAGGCGCTCGGCCTGGTACGATGACGGTAGAAGTGTAAAGACGTACAATCCATTCAGTCGATCAGGTCCCCGGCCCCGGGCCAACGATGAGGAGAGACAACTGAATCACGTCAGTACCGAGAATGATGTGGCTTCACCGCTGGAGGCAAGACGACATGATTTCGCCGAGACAGAGAATCGCGACTTCCGCGGACCGGCCAAAGGCAGGACGTGGCCCGCTCCGGAAGGCCAGAACCGCACCGAGCCCGAGGATACCGAATCGCCGGCCGACTCAAGCAAGTCGGTAGACACCAGCAAAACCCTCAACGACAGCAACATTGCGCCCACAACATCAGAAAATGTTCCCGCAGGCGAAATCGATAGATCGGTCGGACCAACTGACGCAGATGGGAAGCCTCGCAAGCGTCGCGGTCGAGCATTCTTCTCGAAATTGGGACTCAAGAAATCATCGGATGAGAAGGAAAGCACGCAGGATGAAAAGGACAATTCGAAATCGAAGCACATGAAGAATCCGAACATCACCCTCATGAGCCAATTACGTGCCGTCTTTGGATCCTGGATCAACATTCTCCTGGTTGCCGTTCCTGCTGGAATCGCGCTGAGCCACACCGGTGTCAATTCGATCGTCGTCTTTTGCGTCAACTTCATTGCGATTATTCCGCTGGCTGCACTTCTGAGCTACGCGACCGAAGAATTGGCCCTATACGTTGGTGAGGTTCTCGGCGGTCTGCTCAATGCCAGCTTCGGAAACGCCGTCGAATTGATCGTCAGTATCATTGCTTTGACCCAGGGCAAAACGATCATCGTCCAAACTTCCTTGGTCGGCAGTATGCTTTCCAACCTTCTTCTGGTGCTTGGAATGTGCTTCTTCTTCGGCGGTATCAACAGAAAGGAGCAAAACTTCAATATTGTCGTATCTGGAACGGCGGCTAGTCTGCTTGCTCTTGCCATTGGGTCGCTCATCATCCCCACGGTCTTCGTTTTATCAGGTCTTGACGACAATGGCGTCACACCACTCTCCCGCGGAACAGCAGTGATCCTTCTATTGGTTTACGCAGCCTATCTCCTCTTCCAGCTTCGTACTCACTCCGACGTCTACAACGAGAAGAGTGAGAAGACACCCACCAAGAAGGAATTGAGCAACAGCGCCGACAGGAAAGGGTCCGTACAGAAAGGAATCGCCGCGATTGGCGCAGGTACGGCCGCCGCATCTGGCGGATCCATCAACCAGGAGAATCTAGTGTCGGAAAAGAAGACATCGACTTCCGAGACGGACGAAGACGATGAAGAGGAGGAGACCCCGCAACTGACGAGACTCGGCGCGCTTATCACATTAGCCGGAGCGACTGTATTGATCGCTTTGTGCGCCGAGTCTATGGTTTCTGCCATTGACGACTTGGCCAAAGACATTTCGGAGGAATTCATCGGTTTGATCCTGTTGCCCATTGTTGGTAACGCCGCCGAGCACGCCACCGCCGTCACCGTCGCCATCAAAGACAAAATGGATCTTTCAATCGGTGTCGCAGTCGGCTCCAGTCTGCAGATCGCGCTTCTCATCTTTCCGGTTATGATTCTTCTTAACTGGTTCGGCGTCGGTTCCCCTGCCGATCTCACCCTTTACATGGATGGCTTCCAGGTCGCGTCTCTCTTCATTTCCATCATTCTTGTCAACTATGTGATCCAGGACGGCAAGTCGCACTGGCTGGAAGGCGTCATGCTCATGGCGATCTATGTCATCATAGGCGTATCAGCGTTCTTTTTCAAGCTCGGGGGCGAGATCTGAAGGTCAGAGGCCCGCTTTCTACACAAAACTTGTCCAAAACCGTCCACAAGACTTGACGATTTTCTATTTTCTCTTCCGATTTCTTTGGTTCGACCTGTTTGCAGGACAAATTGCTCGGACGCCGGGACCTTCCCCTATTCTCGTCGGCCTCTTCTCGTTGATGTGGAAATCGAAGAAGCCATAATAATTTTGAATCGACGGTTGCATGGATGGCCCTTTTCATGCGAAGAGATGAATCTGTACCCTCACTCCTTTCAGCATCGGCATTTCTTTGGAGCAATGGAGGACACACAGGTATCGGCCAGACCGGACGGATCACTCCGACGACTCATCAGAGACTGCTCCTCGCTGATGCCTAACCTGCTATCCGCTCGTTTCCTGACCCCAAAACATCGTTTGTATCAAGCTGTCGGCTTGCCCTGTCCGATTTGACTGAGGCCTGAATTCTTGGACGGCACACTAGGCAGCTCGCCATTTTTTCTTGCTTTTCTTTCACTCAGGCATCATTCGGAGCTTTATTGGAAATGTGTGTTCTCTCAAAGAGGAAAATTGTACCATGATACCCGTTTCTATGAGCACAATCAAAGACTTTCTCAACCTAATCTCTCACTCTCGTTCGAAAAAAACATATCCACACGTGATAGATCTCGTTGGCGTGGGCTTGGAACTTCAACGACCATTACAGATTCGACCGTCCGACACTAAATGCCCCATCACACTGTATCACGGTCTGTAACGTCCCAAACGCTCGCCAAATGTATCTCCATTCCACGTATCCCGACCGTCTACCACATTGAAATTTGGGAGGCCGAATTGCTCCAGAGCAAAACTGGCGGCGACGGTGCCGAAGATGGCGGCCTCATGAAGGTCTCCAGTTTTCGCGAACATGTTACCGAAGGCACCAAGGAAGGTATTTCCCGCGCCCGTGGGATCCACGACTCGGGTGGAATGCTCACCGTAGTACGCCAGGAGCCACCGACAGCCTTGTGAAGCTGATTGTATGAGGCAGCCATGCTCGCCGGCACGAACGATGACGCCAAAGCCGGCGTTGGCAGATCCCGGAGCTTTCGCATCTAGACAACGTTTGGCATAATTCTCGATCAAGAGACGATCAAACGGCCGAGACAGGTCTCCAGCACCCTCGAACAGTGACATCAACTCGAGATGATTCGGCGAGAATACGTCCACTTGCTGCAGAGCTTGGAGGTGCGCATCTAGATGGACCGGCTTGCAATCGGATGGTAGGGGCTCCCATATGACCATCGGTCGGCCATCGTTATGTGACTGAACGCGGTGCAAGGACAACTCGCTGATGTGCACCAAGAGGTCATCTGGCCGGGCCAGAATATGAAAGGTCTGTGAGTGAAGCAAAGAAGAATCCTTGATATGTCTCACACGTGGGCTCAATGGCGTGGTCAGATAGCGGAAGCTTTTTCCTTGACACACCAGCACTCAGCATCCGTGATGGCGTTGTATACATTTTCGGATTACCTACGACCGAATGTATCGTCCTCATATTTTAACAACCCACGTGTTGACTTTTGTCCGGGATACGTCTGTCTCTCCAGGCGGACATGCCAGGATCGCAAGGTATCTAGGACGCTCTCGGGGAAATCATCGCCTGAGAGAACGATGCACGCCACCGTGTTCGCTTCGTCCACGGATACGGTCAAACGGGCACCCAGAGTTGCTATTGAACCATTGATTAGATGACGTCGATCGAGAGGGGCCATCGATCATGCGCCGTTTCATGTACCGTAAGCTCCCGAGCCACCGCACACGTCGAACAGCGTGGGCAGATGGGGAAATTGCAATTCATCGAGAACAACCATGCCCAGTGAGACAAAGGCTGGCGGTGGAATATCTTGGCCGACATGGCGATCGTGGTTGGGTTTCGGGGGTGGATTTGTCATGATTGGTGGTCGAGTTTGCAGCGATCATCCGACGTGAACCCATGATCGAGGGCCACGCCCGCTTTCCTCCAGAAAAACAATGGTCGGTGTATAGTGTAGTCATGGTCCCCATGTCTCGATTCGCAGGTACAAGTGCACAATGCAGACAGATGATAACTTGGCATAATTCAACCTTGGAACAACAGGGCTTGACCGCTGTTGAACACTTGCTTGGCCGCAGTCCATTCGATGCATAAATCACTCTACACACCGGTCTCATTCACGATTGTTTCACGAGGATGGGGACAATACTGCAGGAAATAAGCCACATCGCGGTGAGATCACATTGCATTGAATAATAAGTGATCGACTAAGCCCTATGCTTACTGGATACGAGTGCCAGGGATATATGTACTGTACCTACTGTGTTTCTGCGAATAAGGTCGTCAGCAAGCCGCATGTGCGAGCCGTAGCTGACGGACCCCGAGCATTATTACTCCGGACTCCGAAGCGAACGAAGATTCTACAGTACTCCAGGGCTGCGATCACACAGCATTGTCCAGCGCTTACCTAGTAGAATGCCCAGCTCACTACCTGGGCAAGCTTCAATTATTGCGTCGCCCTTCCTCTGGGGATCGTCGATGCTACCTTCACCACCCAGTATTTCCGGGATCCGTAAGCACCGCGTAATTGGCCATCACAGGCTCATAATACCGTCCAGGGTGGAGAGGATTCGCCCAGAGACATCTATGAAGCCGGATTAGAGGTTTCCTTCTCGGTCGGGCTGTTGATAGCCACGGGCATGGCCATTTTCCAAGTTGGAGGTCGGTCGCTGTGACGATCCTCCGGAAAGTGCCACCCACGTGGTGACGTTGTCTGTCTTCGGATCTCGTGGGCCCGGAGACATTGTAGTTGTAGTAGCAGTCTCACAGTCCTTTCGAATGGCCGGGGTGGAGAGAACCGAATCGTCGTTGTTCAATGTTTACTACCATTGCTGCTGGACTTGGGTGGGAGCGTTAATAGAGTGTGAGACAAAACAAGGCGCGGTGATGTCAGTCGGTCGTTCAGCGGTCTCGTGGTTCTAAATATACGTCAAAAGCCGGACACCGTCTACGCGTCGGCGCTGATGGGATGGTGCTGAATGATCTCCATGTGCATCCATCCACCACGCACGCACACCACATGTTTGGTTGATAAAGTGCGCGATCATCCAGCTGCGTGCGGCTGTCCTGTTTCAGGATACCTACTGTATAGTTGTTATGTGAGATAGTAGTGAAATACTGGGCCATCCCGTGTTTACAGGACTCTCATGCAAACTCCGACTCTTCTCAATCATAGTCCGAAGCGCCTATATACAACACACGTCGGAGCCATTGCTTCGCATCACAACAGCATCGCAATTAACCAGAGCTTCTCTTCTCTTCACCACCGCTCATACTGAAAAAGATGTCTTGCTCCAGCAAACGGAAAGCGTCCGAGGCGCTGCCAGAATACGTCACAGAATCAGAGCTGTACATCAAGCGATACTGCCATGACTTGTCCGCCGGGTACCCAAGCGAATCGCGTTGGAGTTCCTCGCAAAGTTCACAAGAAAGTACAACCGACGTCAGCTATGGCGATCGATTCGCACATTCGTTCAGCACATCCAAAGCTTCCACGGAATTAACAACGCCGTCCGAGTCGTCCCACCGACGATCGTCATGCACATGGGGCCGTGAAGAAGAACTACGGTCCGCGTTGGAGGCAGCTCTCATCGCCGACTTTGGCCCAAGTCCTCAGGGCCTCCCACCGACAGAGCAGCAAGAAGAAGACGAATTCTGGGAGGGTCGCGGCGTGACCACTGTCTGGTGGCAAGCAGACTCAGGCTTCTGGTACAAGAAGCCGGAGGTGACCCTCGAGTTCAACACTGTTGACTGGAGCGGCGCACGCCGTCCAGATGGTGGGAGCGGCGGAGTCTGGCGTTCGGAGCGTCTCGAGATTGCTCCGTGTGAGCGCCGAACCCGCATCAAGCTCCATCGGCGAAAGTGCAGCTGAACGACTGGGCAGGAAACATCGCGCGCGCGCGTGTGTTCCAAAGACCCAGTGTCACAAGATGACCATTGGCCATTCGCTGCCACCCCGACGTCTCAGCGCTTCCGCTGTGCTCGTACGGTTTCACCACCAAATAAAGTTGCCGGGCGAGCTGATCAGCTCATTATTCCAACACCGCCCGCCCACGATGCGAGAACGCGGCGGCTGAGCTTTCGTGTCGCACGGACTAGCTGCTCTTTCGGAAGATCCCGTCCAAGCTTTCGATCGTCGATGCCTCAGGCTCAAGGCCATGCGGAAATTCAGCTCACAGCGCGCTTGGATCCTCCCCAGCTCCAAGCCCCGGAGCCAGAGGAGTTGACACGATCCTCCTCCAGTTCTCCAGGGCTCTCGAGAAAGCATGATGACGAACTATGATGATGACGATTACGGAGACGACGGTAATATGGACATGGTCATGGTGAGCGGAGAGTCACTCACTGTTACTCTTCCACGGTATCACCGATCGAGTTCGTACGAAAGGACATATTGCGACGAATATGAGGATATATCTTGATTTGTTATATACCATTAGTTTTAACTGAGAGATTGGTCCTGGCATGAATCAAAAGGGTCTACCTACTACCGAGACATGGAAGCGCCATCTGAGACACGGAGGTGATGGCGCAGAAATGTCATGATATCACTACAAATCTAAAGAACTTCGGAGCACTCACCATACATGTTGTACACTTGCTGCATTCAATTCTCTCTTGGAACCGTAGCAAATCGGACATAAACAATTGTTAACTCTACAACTTACCATACAGCATTGTCGTCATCATCATCGCCATCATCACCGTCACCCGTCGCCGTCATTTTACACTGAGAGGCCAAAGGATCACACCCATTGCGCCAACGCCTTCCACCTGTCGCCTTCTCAACAACCCCAACCAACCAGACCACGACACCCCATCGCGTAGGACAATGTCCTCCTCAACAGTCCAGAGACTCATCCTAGGCGCGTTGGCTGCCAACATCGGCCTGACCGGTAAGCATCCGTCAATTCACACTCACTCCGCCGTCATCCATTACAGCAGTCCCGTCATCCTCCGGCAATTGTTGTTCGGCGTTGATCTTCCTGCGCCGCAATCGAAATGTCTCCGGTGTGAAGATTGCTTAAAATAGACCCCGTCGGATGGGGATTCCCATCGACTCTTTCTTTTCCCCCGAGCTGACGAGGTATGACGTCACCCAGGCTATCACCTCTTCGACAATCGCGAAAAGCACAATTTCACCTACGAGGAGATGGAGGCCCGCATGGATGAGGTCGAGGGCACCCTCCGCGGACACATTGGTCTCATCGAGGACAGCCTGCAGCGCATCGAAGATCGCCAGTTGGGGAAGAAGGACATCAAGGGTGGATGGGGACAGGGGATGAGCGAGAAGGCGGAGGAGAATTATGCGAAACGGGGCAAGGATGACAGGAGCAAATGAGAGGGGAAGGTTGGATTGATTCGCATGTCGATATCTTATTCTTGATCAGCACTGAAGTTTGTATCGTCGCGATTAAAGGAGACCCTTGATGTAATATCCTTCGTGGTGATGTTCGGGCAAGATGCAGAACTCTGTCCGGCCGGTGGGGCTCTCGACGCCGGCTCGCATGATGTCAAAATCCATATCATCAAAGGACTTCTCGAGGGTCTCGGGCTTCACAGCAGGCCACGACACGTGCATTATTATTGCAGCACATATCCCGGGCACAGTCGTTGGATGGTTCGCGCCGCGTAATAGCTCTTTGTGTCAATCATGGCAGAAAATGGCAGGTGCGCTACGCACAAACATGTGTCGGATGTCTCGGCAGCGCGGATTCGTCGGTGATCGGGCGACCCTGGAATACAGCTGGATTTCTCAACGTGGAAAATGGGAACGATGATCAAAACGCTTGTCATCACGGACAGACAATGGCAGGATCGGCGGGGACAAGCTATGGATTTGCATGAGAGCAAGAAGGCGCCCTGCCAAGTGGGAGCCATTTTGCTTTCCACTCGTAAATTCTGGTAGTACAATCTCGTTGTGAGCTATTCTACATCGCCGGCGCAGGTCCACCACTAGGGTGCCTTTGCTTTGTGGTGAAGTCCTGATTTCTCTTCGCGTGGCGCTCGTGAGCGTCAGTCCAATATCGCGATTGCATGAATGTGATGGAATGTGAATCGGGCCGGATGAATGCCAGAGGCGGGCGCGTAAGCCCAACCGCAAAGCACGCGGCTTTGAGTTCCAAGGTTGCAGGTGGTTTTGGCTGCTGAGTGTGGCGTGCTCTGCGCACTCTTGGATAGAGTGCTCACCGTTAGAGATTCTGCAAATGAGAATTTCTGGAGCAAGGGGTAAAGTCGGGTTTCCAAATCATGCAATGTCGAGCAGGTGGCAGGATTGTCTTCTCAAATGAGTAATGGCGGGTGTCTGAAAAATGCCAGAGTATGAATCATCCAGCCAATTCTGGTGATCATGGATCGTTCGGTCGTTTTGTTGATGCTCCTGACGATTTCGGTGGAGTTGGAAGCAGCATGACAGTCAAATGCTAGATCGGAATGCTACAGGCAACCAACGATTCAGGTCTTCTTCTTCATGGAAAAGCCGCGCAGGCGATTCTTTGAAGGTTGCGCAAATGGCTGAGAGGTTTGCGATGAAGAGCTGGATCGCTCAGTCGGACTCGGCAGGCTGGTTTGCGATCCCGAACGATTGCGCGTATCCTGGAGACTATCCTCCAGGCTGACGTTGTTTTGCGAGTAAGGGAGGTCTGAGAGATCAAGGATCTCGACAAATTTGGAGGCAGGCATGGTGTGTGAATGGTCTAGGGTTGATTTGGATGTTGATGTTGAGTTGACCAAAGTCCTTTGTCGGGTTGAGGAGGTGAAGTTGATATCATTGATGAACTAGAAGAAGAGGAAGATCTTTCGAAGGAAAAGGAAAAGGGATGCGCGAGGAGGTTGAAATATAACAAAGCGACGGCCAGGGAGGAGGAAAGAGTATGCATCTGCTCCCATTGATGGTGGTGGTAAGTTGTGCGAGGGCGAGTTTGGGTATGCGCGCGCCGCGCAAGCACATCGGCACACCAACATGTACACAACCACCCTCTCGTACACTCTTACTGTTCACTACACCTTAACATAGTTACTGTAATAAAACACCCACACCGCAGTTTGTTCTGGACGCACCACCAGCAGGAGGTCGATCGAAATTAGTGGGAAAATTTCCTGGGGGAGAGGGGCTGCTTGGGGACGGTTCCCGCCAAACGATTGACTAACAGCCTCCCCTCTCCAGCCCGTCTCTGGCGGAGTTGACAGTACTGTACTTCTCACATTGCCCACCGGCTCCCTTTCCTCTTGTGGGACTTCTTTACATGGTATTCGTTCATATTGGTACAAATGCAGATCAAGCCTTGTTCTGCCGTACCACCAACCATGGGACAGACAGACAGGATGTCAATCAAGTTCACAGTCTGTATAGCACAGTATACCTTCTCCCCGAAAAGGGTCCAGAGGTCCCCGAACCGAACGCGAATCCACCGCCGCCGCCGCCGCACCAGCCCTGTCTTACCCCATTCATCATTATGAATATTGCAATACATGAAGACCTCTACTACTGCGTACCTAGTTATTATGATTATTGCATGCACCTAGCGATACACCAGCCAGCCAACCCCACCACCGGGGACTTCTTTCTCTTTCTTCTAACCTGTCCTGTTCTGTCGTCTCGTACATTGAGATTCCTTTTCTCAAGTACAGTGCTATTCTTGTCGTTGCGATACCGTAGACTCCTGTCACGGCACTAGCCTTTGCTGCACGCTTGTCTTTGTTGTTCTCATAACACACAGAATGTGCGTCTCCGCCGCGAATGTTGATGATACTGCATAATAATAAAGTATTGTAATCAACCTTGCCTGGGAGATATCATGGCGCAAGCCCGCCGCCGCTGGCCCGGGGGACCAAAACCACGCCGTCGAAAATTTACCGTCAGGAGGCGCCATCATCCCGGAAATCGGATTTCCAGGGTAATGTCCACGGGATCTCGCTTCTAATATCGAGCTGTAGAAAAAACGATGGGAATTTGTTGTTGTTACAGATGGTAAGGGTGTGGTTCCTACCAATCGTACACGATCACTTCCCACTCGACACAGATGCTGCGTCCATCGAGGATGACTGAAACGGATCACATGCGAGTCCTGGAACAACAGAGCTCTCACAAACTAGCGTGGCGAGTACCGTCCATCGTCCCAAGCTTGTTGGTACATCCTCACCAATAGAGCACCTGTCGCATACATGTTAGTATGAAATAACAATAAATGTTAACCTGTCGCGCCAAGTGACACCAGGACAGCTAGGGTAGGCCACCATCCAACGACTGCCCTGGAGTGGCCAGCCATATTTAGTCGCAGTAGGTAGTTTATGACTGCGGACGTCAGCACTGCCTCTGTGATGTGTGTGAGATTCGATGCCAACCAGGCAAACCACTCCCATATTTTATTTAGGTGCCTAGTGATGTTGCTGCGGACCTCATAATGAGAAGATGAAAACATGGGAGCGGATGAGCAGCCAAGCAGCCACGCGATCCAGTCACGCGGCATTCTTCTAGACGTCTTCCTCGTCAGGAAGAATTTTCCGTCTCCGATCCTTCCACGGCGTCCAGTGGCTTGAATGGTGGCAGGATCACTTCGCATCTTCCCACGTCAGACGCACCGCGCGGCGTGAGACATGACGACGCGGCTACAGTTGTGGAATCCAGAAGATATGCAGGCCAAGCCCGAGGTTCAGTACGCCACGAGGTTTTGCTGCATGGGTGGCTCTTGTTGGCTCTTGACAAAGATCCATGTTGAAGAAATCTAGTCTCGATGAGGGCCGTTTAGCAAACGAGACGCCATCGACGCGCGAGGCGCTCCAGGGAATGCCATGCGATGCGGCGTCTGGTGTGCTGCCACCTGTAGACCGTGGGCCGAAGCGCCACTCTTCCCCAAGTGAGCTTGTCATGCACTCCAGCTGCACATAGAATGTATTTCTTGTCCATTGCTGTAGTTTCGTGGTCTACGCGCGTCCTCGGCTTGCGCGTCCGCCTCGGAACAGAGATTTGTCGTCATGAAGCGCTGATAGTGCAGCTCAGTCTCACGCTGGCATGACCTTTCCGCAACTTGGTTGTAGCTTCATCCGCTCTCTACAAAGGATTACACGAGATCCATCATCACCGAGCCCATGCTAATGTCATGCCATACATCGGCAGCTAATAATAAACACTAATATTATCATCTGGTACCGATGGATAATGACAAAGAGGAGGCAATGATAAAGCGTCGACGGGCTGGACAGGTCGGCCATGGAGGGCTGGCTTGTTCCAGATCCGATCGGCATTCACCCACCAGCGCCAACACGAGATGTCCGGACCGAAGGGGAATTTTTCCGCGGTCAGCAACGGGTCAACGCGCTCTGTGAATACGATCCCTCAATAGATCAAGGAACTACACAACGCTCGAGTTTGAAACTCTTAATTTAGATGTATCAGATTATTAGAACTTCTGGGGATTACGCGCGAAAGGTGTGTCGCAAGAATGTCGAATGTTGCGCACAAGTCTCCTGTCTTCCAAGATACTGGACCCGCAAAGTGCGTCCGGATGACTTACGACGTCCCGATTTGGTTGAGGTGGCGGCGGCGGCTGTCATGACCATCAATCCTTAATGTCATATGTTTTACCTTGATTCTGACCCGTACGAGATATGGGCAGCTGGACCGGACATTAAAGCTCCATGTTGTCTTTCAAGGCAAGGTTGGCGGCGATGATCATCAACATTCTGGCGCCTCACCTGACGGCCTTCCCATGGTCAACATGGTCAACATCTCAAGTTTGCTTATAATCGTAGTACGTGCCTGTGTATCATGATCTTCGCCTGCACTCCACATGGCCTTCGTCGATGTGAGCATGTACATGAATGTACCTAGGTATGTACATGGTGTCATCTTACTAATGATGCCGTTTGGGGGTGCTGCTGCAACGGCGATGTCAACACATGTTCCTTGCAGTCTGTCTACATCAAGATCGGGAGCCCCGCCTACGACGATCTCGAATCTGATCGTACTGATCTCGTTCGATTGGCGAAGATGCTCTCTCCGCACTTGTCCATCCGCGCACGCGAGATTGCTTAGTTCGAGGCCAAATTCGGGAGACTGAGACACGCATGTTTGTAGTGTAAGAGCTAATTTGGTAGCGATCGAGGTCTAGGCGGTGTTTGAATGTGCCGAGAGAACGATGAGCGATCGACAGTGTAATGGGACAATTACGATGCGTCTCAGAGCGATCTGGACAGAGGTTGACACTGAGTTGTAAGTATCAAGGAGCGACGATGCTTTGCTCTCTGTCCAAAGGCGTTCTAGAACTCGGTTTGCCTGTAAAACACATACATGTACAATTCAAAACAGTAAATCGTCAGGGCTGTCCATCAACCATGACAAATCTCTAACACCTGGCTATGAGCATTTCCGCACTTCAGAAGGAAGCTTTTGGAGAAACGGAGTGTATCATAGGAGGTGTCAATTCATTATTTACGTGTGTATATTCCATTGTGCGCAGGTGTGTGGCATAAATACATGATGAACGGACAAACGGAGTTTTGTCTACTTCTGCGACTCAGAGAATGGCGGCCTTGCCGAGGCTATGCCCAGCTGGGATAATTGACCACAGTCGTACACTCCAGTAGTAGATGACCGGCTCACGTCACCTTTCATCCAAGCAGCAAAATCACGGCATATGCACCTTAGCAACTTGTAGAAGAAAGACGGTGAATTGGCCTCCACATCGTCGCACTTGCTATTGAGAATCATCTAAATTGATTGAAAGCCGTGCATTGAAGATCTGCAAGATGAAGTCTACTGCAAAGGCTCGTGTTCAGGCCCTGAGCGAACAGCTCAATGAACCTCCGCGGAGTCCTGGCGCATTTGAAGATATTCCTCAGATCCCAACCGTAGCAGGTAACTCAGCAGGACCGTCAGTCAAACCCTCCCCCAAGAAATTTGCATTCAGATCCTCGGACGTTTGTCGCCTGAGCAGTCCTCGCTGACCTTGACCCGACATCAGACGGACACAAGGCAAGGTTGTCATAATTACTGGCTGCAACTCCCCGTTGGGAATCGGTCGTGCCTCAGCTCATCAATTCGCCAACAATGGCGCCAAGGCAATTTTCATTTGCGACTGGAACACCGACCATCTTGAAACCCACAAGCGCGAGATCAACTCACTCTATCCCAATGTCGATATCCACACGCGGAAAGTCGACGCCGGCGATGAGAAGCACGTCGAGGCCCTTGTCGACGATGCTCTGAAGCTTTACGGTCGTCTCGATATCTTCTTCGCCAATGCCGGAATCAACATCTCATACCAGAGCGTCCTCCAGGGCTCTTCGGAGGACTTCATGGAGACGATGCGTGTCAATGCATTAGGGTACGCTTCTCAGATCATCCCATTGAGCACATGAAGACCACTTGGCTGACATAGACTGCGCAGCGTATTCTTGGCTGTCAAGCACGGCGCTCGCGGCATGCTCGAGACATCAGCTGAGAAGAAGTACCCCGGAGGTTCCATTGTTGGCGTCGCCTCGGTCGCAGGCCTCCGTTCAAATGCCGGACCGACAGACTACTCGGCTTCCAAAGCGGCCGTCATCAGCATAATGCAGACTAGCAGCTATCAGCTGAAGGGCACAGGAATTCGCTGCAACGCGATCTGCCCTGGCATCATTGAGACGGGTATGACCAGTCCCATGTACGAGTCGGCACGTGCGAGGGGCTCAGAGCAAAAGATCGGGCAACTCAACCCACTTATGCGCGGCGGGGTATCGGACGAAATTGCGCGTGTCGCCTTGTTCCTGGGCAGTGACGAAGCGAGTTATGTCAACGGTCAAGCGTGGGCAGTATGCGGAGGTCTATCAGCAGGACATCCTTTTGTACCAGGTAGAATGGCATGATCGCCTATCGACGTTTGTATCTATGTCACCAGACACCTTACTAAATTCATTATACTTGATGTAAAGGGATCAAAAGCTGCTACTATGCAAATGCTAATTACTATCAAACGACCACGCCACGACTGACCCATCCGCCGGGGCCACGCCACGCCCAAAGGAACATTCCACAGGCAACCCAGACGGTGACGGTCATCGCCCAGAATGTTGGAGCATAACACATCATGCCATGGCAGAGGGTGTCTCCATCGGGGCTCTCGCCCAGACGCTGGCCTCGTTCAGTGGCCCATTGGTAGACGGCCGAATAGATCAGACCCCAAATCGTGGCGCCCAATGCCGGCACAGTAGCAACGATGCCCCAGTTCGTTCCAAAGTTCTCTATGCCCCAAATGACGCTGACGATGATTGGCGTCAGGCTGAAGGCAGCGCCGTATCCGGCACCAACGAAAGCCGACACGACCCAGAATCGTTCTGCGTGACCCTGGATGGCGCCGGATGCAAGGATGATACAACCGATGGACAACAGCAAAGCAAAAAATATCATGATCGCAACTCGAGAGATCTCTAGTCTCCGCTTTGGCTCCGTGCGAGCAACGTCTCTCAACGAAGCAAGACTATTGGCGAGAGAATTCGGCCCTCGTCGGTGTTGATGAGGCGAGCTTGTTGGTGCCAGCAGGTCGGTGAGTACACCGGAAAGGATTCTAGATAACGTACTGGTGATGGCGAGGATGGATATGTGAGTCGTGGCAGTCGTGATGCCTTGCGGACTCGCAGCTGACGAGCTTGGAGGGTAAAGGGTGCCGATAATTGTGCCGAGATTGTTGATGTAGCATTCTCCAGGCCCAGTCATGAAGAAGAAGCCGGCTGTTAGCCACCACATTGTATGATCACCCAGGAACAGCCGGGTCTCCTCGTTGAGTAGCCATGTCTTCCGCTCCTCTAGTCGTCGCGCATCTTGCTCGCCAGATTTGTGTTGATTTCCATCCTCATCCTCATCACCAATATCGGGCTCGTGTTGCGCGACCGTACCATAGCCTCGTTGCTGTGAAGCCTCAATCGCTAGTGAGCTCGAGAAATGTGCACTTTCTGTCAACAGCCCGCTCTGCTCCAATTCCTCGATGGCCGCTTCAATTAATTCCTCCTCTCCGATGACCCGTAGAGCAAAATAGCCAATTATTCCACTCGCGAACAAGAGGCAGCCAAGGAAGAGGAAGAAGCGATAGACGTCGACGTCACCTTTGCTCCCATCTGGTCGTCTAATGAAGAGCAAGTTGCTACCAACTTGAGATAACCACATCCCACTCAGACCGAATGCCGCGCTCGGCAAGGCAAGCGCAAGTCCCTTGTATTTCCCTCTGCCAAAATTCTTCGCGCAAGTCGTCACTGCCGCGAGGTACAGGCATGCTGTCCCGAACCCGACGAACATGAATGCAATGACCATGACCCAGTATGGCCAACCCGTGCCACCCGCGCTCACAGAAGGTCCACTCATATATGTGAATGCTGCAAGAATGTATCCGACTCCAAAGAATGATCCGGCAATGACTGAAGGAATTCCCGGTCCGTATCGATCACACAGGTAACCCCAGATCGGAACTGGCAGATACGTCGCCAGCTCTGCTGTGATGGATATCCCATTGACTTGCAATTGGCTGTATTTCAAGTCTGTGAAGAACAAATGACCATAAAGAGAGAAGGCCGTGATGCTACCAGCACCGAGACATTGTATGATCGCCCAGAAGAAGCCCGTATAGCGAAGCACCTCTTTCTTCATTCTTTCACTGTCGTTTGCAATGACGCCTTCAACGATCTCTTCGAAGAAACTGCCCGCATAGCTGATATCTTGGCTATGTCTGCCGCTGCTTTCACCATTTCCTTCGTGGCTCGCAACTAGCGGTCGTCCACCGGGGTGATAGTCGAGCTTGTCGATAACGGTCTGTTGCCCACTTCGGTGACTGGCTGGTCGGGTTGGGGAGGACATGATGGGCGGTCACTATGACCCTCGCAACGCGCAGGCTGTGATGTGTCGACAGACAGTTCACCGCATGCTGGGTCGGATCGTTATAACCGCATGATGTTTACAAGGTGGAGCGGTGGGTAATTGGGGCGAGAGTCCGATAGTGGGCCGCCTGTCCAGCTAAGGCCGAGCGGACGCGAACACGCGACTTCAGGCGGACATGACGCACATGTGGTCGAATCATGGGAGCCTTCAGCGCCGCTAGAAGCTTATTGAGAGTACCGAAACTGACCGACCTCGGGCTCGTGCGAGACACCTGCGCCTGAATTAGGGTTCACCTCACAATTATGTAATTCGTAGGGTTGCCGTCTGGTCATTCACCATCTCGTCCTCTTCACGCCCAAAATCATGTCGTTGACCAATCCTGCAGATGATCGCATCGTCAGATTGCTCGCAGAGGCAGACGATTATCGTAAGGCAGGCAATGTCGAGTCTGCATACAAGGCTCTCAAAGCTGCGGCGGACCTGGATCCAACGAACAAGCTTGTGGCAGCAGCGTCAACGGATCTTCGAGCACAAGACAAAGGCGACAACGCTTTCGTCACACTACTTATCCAGTATCAAAACGATGCAGATGAAGGCACCGGGAAGAGCGCATTGCAAGCTCTTCGTACGAGCTCAGTCAGAGCGGCGGATGCGTTGCGTGCTCTCGATCTCTTGTTGAATGAAAGCCCCCCGAAATTATCGTCGGACGTGCTGCTTGGCACACTACTCAACGTGAGCCTGGATGCTCGTAAAGAAGTAGTGTCGCGGCTGAAGCCCGAAGTGACCATGTTGTTCGAAAAATTCTACACCATGGGGAGACAAAGCTTCCGAGTCTTCACAGGGCTTCCCATTGACGAATCTGTGTGGAGCTCGAGGGACGATCAGGCTAAGTCGCAGCGAGACACCTTTCAAATGTGCACCGCAAAGCTGTTGGGCATAAATGTCCAAGATTCTGAGCGTGCCTTGGAAGCCATGACTCGGCTGCTGACCTTGGCTTCAAAAAATGTCAGTAGCCTAATCGACGCCGATGTTTTTGAAGTCGTCCTTGCCCGTCTCGACATACGAAATGAAGCATCGTTGAGGAGTCAGGCCATGCTGGCGATTGCGAAGATGTTTGAATTGACTGTGGAGAAAGGAGAGGTGCTCTTTGCCAACTTCATCACGTCTGCAGTGGCAAAACAGACGAGCGAGGACCTCGTGATAGCGTTTTCGGCCGCTTCGGCCATCTTCCCGATCGTCGCCCCCATTGCGACCAAACTCTTTTTAACAGAAGGATTTGTGCAACAACTTGTGACTATTCTCGAGCGAAATTCGCAAGCTACAAAGCAAGGTCATCGGTAGGTCAGCAGATTACTCTATATTTTGTTGGGAGGAGCACATTATCGTCTGCCTTCACCATTTCGCTAATGCTGTACAGCGAGAGTGTGACTCTCGAGCGGGCCGCCTTGGAACTATTGTCGGCCGCCTGTGTGGAAAAGTCATGTCGAGAGGCGATTCACACGCATTGCCTGACATGGTTGCAGAGTCTGGTGAACGAGCGCGATTCAACCCACAAGGCCTTAGTCACATTGATACTCGCCAAGATTGACAGTACGTCTCAGGAAGAGATCGCCTCGAAGCTTTCAGGCTTAGTGCTCAACAGCAATCAGGACAGAGACCAAGCGGTCGAAGGTCTCGCGTACACAACACTACAGCCCAAGGTCAAGGAACACGTCGGCTCTGATGAGACTCTGCTCAAATCCCTGGTCAGTGGACTCTCGGAACGGCCAGGATCCGCCTTCGGCTACCTCACTGTGTTCCATAATATTACAACTTATAGACCTTCTCGATCAGAAGAGCAAAAACGAATAGCACAACTAAAAGCATATGCCAATTCAGCAAAGCCAACTCCGGATGATCCATTAGATGATGATGCTCATGTCACAGCTCGGGTAAAGCGACTCATGAATGCTGGTCTTGTGCCGGTGTTGGTGTCCTTGAGTAAACAGACAAACTCCACGACCAATATCGCTCTCATCGTTGGAATTTTGTTGTCGTCATCGAAGGAGCAAAAGCACCGATCAATACTAGTCCAGCAGGGAGCTGTACGAGCCCTCTTCCTAGTGCGAGATCGACTCGCGCACATCGAGAAATCGGAAGCTGAAAAGTTGGTGTCGCGCCAAATGGCTCACGCGCTCGCAAGGCTTTTGATATCCGTGAATCCTGAGCATGTTTTCTCGAGCGGCCTCTCCTCCACATCTGCCGTCAGTGCCATCATCCCATTACTTTCCGAGAATCAAGAAGGTGAGGAACGCGACCTCCTGCCGACATTCGAAGCGCTCCTTGCTTTAACAAACCTTGCGTCTATGGACGATAGCTCCGCCCGAGAGCTTCAGATTCGAACGGCCTTCGACAAGGTCGAGGACTTACTCTTTTCGCCGAATGTGCTTATACAGCGCGCGACTGTTGAACTAGTCTGCAATTTGATGATCTCGCCAAGCGGCGTTGCCAAGTTCGCTGACGGCTCAAAAGACGCAAAACGTCGCATGCAGATCTTGCTGGCACTCGCAGATGTCGACGATGTTGCTACGAGACGTGCCGCTGGAGGAGCCCTTGCCATGTTGACAGAGTGGGATGCTGCTACATCAGCAGTCCTGGACAAAGAGAGGGGTCTTCAGGTAATATTGACCATGTGTGGAGATGAAAGCGATGAACTCAAGCACCGAGGACTGGTTTGTCTTTCCAACATACTCGCGATGAACGGGGACTTGGGGTCTAAAGCCATATCAATGGTCAAAGCCAAGCAAGGGAACGAGGTCATCAAGGAAGCACTGAGAAAAACGCGAAATGCAGATGTTCTGTCCATAGGCGTGGAAGTGCTCAAGAAGCTATCATGAAGCCGACAACTCCACACAATTCCGTCGTAGTCAAGCAGCTAGATCACGGATCAAAGTTGAAATGCACAACTTATCTCATTCATCAATCTATATATCCAGGACAATTCACAGATATCGATAGAAAGGCTGACCAGAGAAAATGCTCGAAAATTCGATACGCGACAATGCTGTGATAATTATGGTGTCCTCTCTGCAAGGTAATGTGTGAAACGAAGTTGAGCTCTGTTTTTATTGCATCAAATGCAGAGAGGTCCCATGAAAGACTTGATGACCGTATGCATCGATCGTGAGTCTCTTGTAAATAGAGGTTGAATGATCCTGAACAGGAATGGCGTGCAAGTCGCGTGGGTGAAGCGATCAATTTGTGTCCTTGGGCTTGCTGCCACGCCAGACGTCACGCCAACGACGCTTGCCAGTGGGGCTCACCGGCTCCATCGCTTGGCTGTTCGATCTACGAGGAGGCGAAGCTGTAACAGCCTTGATTCCAACCTTCCCAGCGATCTGCTCTAACTTAGCCTTGGTTGGGCTGGTATTCTTGACACCGCTCCCGTTCTGGCCATTACGAATCTTGTCGTAAGCAGTTGTACGACCTGGCGAAATGGAAGGCGAGCCCATCGGACTACCAGGTGAGGTTGGAGACAAAGGCGGGTTAGACATGCCATCGAGAGAGCCTTCGTGGAAGCGGCTGGTGACCGAGGGAATCGCGGTGTCGGACATGATGCGCTTGGTCGAGGGCTGAGAAGATCCGTCGTAATGCATTGTGGCAAGTTGCATATTCGGCATGCGGCCAGCGGCAGAGCCGACGACTTGTGTCACAGCGCTGGCTGAATTCTATTCGTGCTGAGGGCTGATGATTCGGTGGCCGGTGAGTTGACGTGAAAGTCTGGAATCCAGGCTGGCCAAGCTGGTAATGCGATGAGTTTCAACAGGTGATGACGCGTCGTGCTTGTCTAGCATGTCGGTTCTAACAGCCTTCTGGTCGACATCCACTGAGTTGGCCTCGTTCGCGACATTGCCACTTACATTCACGAGAGACTTTTGCTGAGGGGAGTGCTGATTATCGTGCTGGTTTGATGGTTTGACTTCTTGACGGAGCTTCGATGAAGTCCGTTCTGGGAAAGGAAATCCAGCGAAGCCAGTGCCCAAGTTGGCCTTGCCTTTCGCCCAAGCGCCAAGATTTGAAGGCTGGTCATTAACGTGAGGCCCGTCTACAGCGGGCGACAGAACGGCGTTCTCATTCTGAGGCGCAAATACTGCTTCCTTGAGCGTGTCCATACTGGAGACCATAGTTTCAAGCAGTTGAGGACGGTTTGCGGCTGCCTTTTCGTTGACTTCACGCTCTTGCGATTGGGCATCCAAGGACGACTCGTGATGATCGTCTGGGGATTCAATCTCAACAGAGGGACGTTGCTGTACGTCGTTTGATGATACATCGGCGGATGAGCTGGACTTCAGCAGACCAGAACAATATCCATCGAGGAAATTTCCCACGCGATCCATGCCCACAAGCCGACGTTGTAGCCCAGCTTGGTAGCCCTCCATCCACTCCCGCGGCTTTTGTGAGAAGTCTAACATTGGGGCAGACGCGGAGTCATCATGTACGTTCCCGGGCAGAGCCTTAGGCATTTCCGGTGAAGACGAGAGAGCTGAGAAATGGTCCGGATGTTCTTGAACAAACAAGAACTCTCGTCTGGCTTTCGGGCTGACATTGTGGGTTCCACGGGCTAGCATGGCTTCGGACGCCGCGACAGGCATTCCTGAGTCCCAAAGAGATTTTTTACTAACGGAGGGCACAAATTCCAAGGCCGCGCTGGATGGCTGAAGTGGTGGCTCGTGAGACGAAGTAGGTTCTTCGGACCGATCATCTTGTGGCGCGCGGCTCTTGAATACCTTGTCCGGAATGACTGGATTCCAATTCGAGTCATGAAAGTCCTGGCCGGGAGGTGTCATTGGCGACTCGTCACGAGTTCCGCCGCACTCGTCCGGATATATATTCTCTTTGTCGTCTGAATGCTCTAGTCGCATTGGATATGCAAGTTGTCGAGTTGAGTACTCGCGTGTGTCGCGAGGGAAGAAGTCTGCAGTCTCAAAGCTTGAGATGCTGGAGGAGTGTAAGTGAGTTGCCTTCTTCGTTGGGCTGATTGTACCATCAGACTCCGTGGTGGCTCGATTGTTACCTGAAGGTATTGTGTGCAGCTGAGGCAAAGTTGGGTCCACCTCTGCCGATGTCTTATCGTGAGGCATTGAACCCTGGCTGTCCGCTGTATGCGCTCGTTGGAATTGGGAGGGCTTGTACACTGGGCTCATTGGATCCAGGCTTGACTTGCAATAACCAGTCTGATGAGTGCTCGGCAGTTTGATCGGAACAGCACGAGAGCCTTTCATGGCCGAATGCTGGATACCATGGTGCATACACGCCTGTTCATGATTTTGATCCTGGCATTGTGCACTTTGCTGCGCTGCGGCCGGCACATGATCTTGAGCTGCAACTCGCACCATCGGCTGAACGTACGGAATATAAGTCGGAGCCATAGCACCATCAAAAGTCGCAGGGAGCATGAATTTGCCAAGGGGTGCGCCACGCCACGGGTGACTTCCGTACATAGGGTCTGGATGAATCGCTGACTGCGGGTCGAAGGGACCAGCGAATTGGTGCAATTGACCAGGATGGAGTGGCCCGGCTTGGGAATTTGAAACGGGACGGCGGTCATGCTGAATCGGGAACGCTGAAGGCAAAGCTCGATTATGTGGAGACGAGGCTGAATGAGAGTGCATCATTGCTCGGGGTGAGGTTGGAGCATGGAGTGGCGGCTGTGTCCGCAAATGCTTGATTGAAACGCGAATCTTGTCTTTCGCAACGACAAGCTCGCGACGCTTGACAACGAGAGCCTCTAAGGCAGGCTTAGACATTGACTTTCCGCACAATGCCTCTGTCTTGTCAAGATCTTTCGACTCGCCATCTAGCTTGGAGTACTCAAGTTCGAGAGCCGATATCTGCGAAGCGATGGGAGGTTCAGCGGCCACGAGCATACCAGGCTTTCGAGGGTTGCGAGCATCGTCGGAATGGGAATAAATCTTGTCGGCCGACCAGGAGATTCCACGATGTGCCATTTGGTCGACTACGTTCGGTGCGGTCCGCTCAAGTTGATAATTGCCGTCCACAATGCGGATTGGCTTGACGATGCCATCGATGATCTGGCAAAAGTTGCCGTGCTCGTCTTGAGCTATGAAGTTTTCCTGGGTGGCATAATCGCGGTATTCATGACCACCATGAAGATTTGGAGCAAATTTAATAACTCCTCCATTCGCCTTCACGGCACTGTAGCCGTAGCGCGGATATGTGAGAGGCGACTGCTCGCTCGGGACGATTCGGCCGCCGGCGGTGACACGGACATGTTGTGGCGAGCCATGGTGTTTGACCAGAGCCTCTGCCTTTTTCTTCTTGAGCGAAGGAGTTGGAGAGGGGCGTAGCCAGTGAGAAATTGGACGTGAGAGCTGCCCGTTGGGAGCAATCTCGCCGAGCGGGGCAACTGATGGTGGCGCAGCCTGAGACACAAGATATGGTGATTCGACTGACGAGGCAAGAACGTTCTCGTCGTTATATTTGCCGGACGGAACACTCAAACTGTTGTGGGTAGAGTTCCGAGATCGGAAAGAACGTGCCGCGAACGATTTAGAGCCGCGAAGAACATGCTCTGTATCGCAAGTCAGCACTTTAACACCTCGGAGGCTAAGATCGAATAGCGGACGACTTTAATGTTCATGCCTTGATCATGTATTCAACGCCAGAGCCCGATGATGTACGTCCTTTGTGTAGGTGTGCTTATATTCTGGATCGAACGTACCTTTTACAATTTCAGCGTCCTCGCCATCGTGCTGTTCGATTGCCTCGTGGAGTCGTGGCTGGGACGATGAATCTCGAAGGCGATGAAGCTCCTGGGCCGAGTAGACCCGGCGGGCAGTGGCTGGCATTTTACTGAAGCAGCAGGCTCGGAACCGGAAATGTGCGCGAGTAGGCTGCACGACGTGTGCCTTACGAAGGGAGTGGACGGCGAATGACAGCGGCGTTGACGAGATGGAGTGAGGGGGAATTGTTCTCGACCACTGCGCCGCTTGTTGAAAATGCGTCAATTTGGCGTGGTGCCGGGGGGCACAAGCAAGCAAGCACCGATGGGAACGAGCGATTCTGACGAGAGCGAAAAGGACAGTATGAAGATTTGAGAATGGTGGGCTGTGATGGAAGCTGAGCAAAATGACGAGACTGATTGCTGTGCAATCAGGGAATATGTTTTGACGACTTGGTAATGTATCAGCGAGAATACTGAGCGAGTTTACACTAGAGCGCTGTACACGGCGCAAGTCCACTCCTTCACAGCCACGCAAGGGCGTTGGATATCCCGAATGAACTTTCGGGAAAGCATGCAGGCAACTGCTCAGCCACTTGCTTAAGGGCAGTAGCAACCTTGTCCGGCAGTCGACTTCCATCGGAATTTTGCCGAGAGAGCAGGAGGTTGGCCAAGTTCGTCGATATGCATATCGACGAATCTGCCTATGACAGATTCCGCTTCTTCTTGCAAATCGGAGCCAGCCGATTCGAAAAATGTTTGGGACGATACAGTTGCGCCTGATCATCAATAGAATCTTGAACATTCCTGCCCAGTTCCTCGCGTACCTCTCCCTCTCGTCGTCATTCTTTCGGCAACATCTTTGCTGTTCACTGATAGGGCATCGCCCGGATGGATTGTGCAATATGCATAGGTCGTTGTATGGACACGAAAGCAAGAGCAGATAAAATGCTCCTGGGGCGATTTATTTGTTCTTGCTCTGCTTGAATGTGAAGCGTTTGCGCGTACTTTGTCCGAGCCTAATCAGCGTTGGGGCTCCTGAAAGACGTCTAGACTAGACTCACGGCGAGAATTCTCCCAATTTATGTCCAACCATGTCTTCAGTTATGCGCACATCTGTGTACGCCTTGCCATTGTGCACTTGGAAGACAAGTCCCACAAAGTTGGGCAAGATCGTCGCACTCCGTGCCTGCGTTCGAACGGGAGGGATACGGTCGCCTGGTGCTCCACGAATGATCGGGAGTCTACGCGCATCAGGTCAGTCGTGATGCATTTCGTGCCCTCGTGACGATGTTGCTTTGGTGCCTGCCAAACGTCGATTGTTCCTGCCACTTACGGGACGATGTGAGGTCCTGTGTTTTCTGTCAGCTTTGCGAATGCATTGATAGGCGCAGGATGCCCACCAACCTTTCCATACCGAGCGCTTGCAGAGCGCCAATGTTGCCCTCATTTTGCAACAAGGTATCTGTGCTTTCGTGATAAAGTTCTCAATGACAGCCTCGTGAGCGACAGTGACCTTCAAATGTACAGTATAGACATATGCGGGAATGCCCTCGGACATGTGCCGTTTCCAGCCTAGCAGCCAGGATGCCGCAAAGATAGTCACGTGCGGTCGTGGCTGACTCGCGCCTCGACCTTGTGAGCTCCGATGCGACGACGTAGTTTTAGTCTGTAACAGGCGCCAGTGCCGCGTCGACCAATCGCAAGAAGGAACTACGATAGCATATCGAACCATGACAGAAGTCTACAACCTCACCACACTCTGTTTATAGTGTTTGAACCCGGAACTGCGGACTCAGATCGTTGTATCTCAATTTAAACAACCAGATCGTTCCCCGCCAGACTTCTGGAACACAAGATTGACATTGCGACCAGCGAGAAAGTATCGCAGTACCGCCAATCTGAGGCTTGAGCCATACTCTGTCATCTTCCAGCGAGCAACAGCGATGCGCGATTCCTTCGGTAACAATACTGCTTCAGCAATGTATTCAAAGACCAGAATAACTGATAACTTGATGGCCAGCGGACACGATTCGCATTTTGGTCGCCACTGACAACCATGTCGGTTACAACGAACGAGATGCCATTCGTGGTGATGACAGCTGGCGATCGTTTGACGAAGCCATGTGCATTGCCCGCGAGCGTGATGTCGATATGATATTGCTGGCGGGCGATCTATTCCACGAAAACAAGCCGTCGAGAAAATCGATGTATCAAGTCATGCGCAGCTTGCGTACCAATTGTCTTGGAGACAAACCATGCGAGCTGGAGATGCTAGGGGACGGCAGTGAACATTTTATGGGGTATATCCCGTCACTCAAGCACGGCGAACTTTACAGCCCGCTGACTGCTGACGATTTGCAGTGCTTTTAATCATGTCAACTACGAAGATCCGAACATCAATGTGGCAATTCCAGTGTTCTCAATCCACGGCAATCACGATGATCCATCAGGGGTATGTTGCATCGCGAGGACGTTTGCTTGGCTGATGCTGACCTTGCAAAGGAAGGCTTCTACGCAGCACTCGATATCCTGCAAGCATCGGGTCTCTTGAACTACTACGGACGCACTCCCGAGTCCGACAGAATCAACGTAAAACCGGTTTGCTTGCAGAAGGGCAAGACGAAATTGGCCTTGTACGGCTTGAGTAATGTCCGTGACGAGCGTCTCCACAGAACATTTCGAGACGGCAATGTGAAGTTTTTCCGACCGCAGCTACAGACTGGGGACTGGTTCAATTTGATGAGCGTTCATCAAAACCATCATGCATACACAGAGACTGGCTATCTCCCGGAGTCATTCTTACCCCATTTTCTCGATCTCGTGATTTGGGGTCATGAGCACGAGTGCAAAATAGACCCCGTCACCAATGCAGATACTGGATTCAAGGTCATGCAGCCGGGATCCTCAGTCGCTACGTCTCTGGTAGCCAGCGAAGCAGTGGCAAAACATATCGCGATTGTGTCGATCACAGGGACTGACTTTGAAGTTGAGAACATCCGTCTCAAGACCGTCCGTCCTTTCGTGTGGCGGGATATCGTGCTCAAGGACTTTCCGGAAATGCAGGAGTTGGCCCACAAGAACGAAAACCGAGTCCAGATCAGTCAATTCTTAGAGGGCATTGTCAATGAACTCATTGAAGAAGCGAAAGAGAATTGGCGGGAGACACAGCAAGAGTCTGGTGCCGATGCTGAAGACGATGAAGAGCCGCCGCTTCCTTTAGTGCGTCTGAGAGTGGAAAACACGCCGCCCGAAGGGGGCAAGTTTGAGATTGACAATCCGCAGCGCTTTTCGAGCCGCTTCGTGGACAAAGTTGCCAACACGACTGATGTGATACAATATCATCGCAAACGTACTGTAGTGCGCATGGTCAAAGGCAAGCCAGAGATGCCCGAGCCAAGTGTCATGGAGCAGATGTCGCTCGATAGCATCAAAGTGGACAAGCTTGTGAAGGAGTTCCTCACGGCACAATCGCTCACCATCCTTCCACAGAACAGCTTCAGCGATGCAGTTGGACAATTCGTGGATAAAGACGATCGACATGCAATGGAAGAATTCCTCACATATTCTCTCGAGCAGCAAGTGGATAGCCTGCTGAAAGGCGGCGAAGATGACGACAGCGACAGCGACCACTATGATAACCTCAAGATGACAGAACGGATCGAAAATATCCGCCTTCGATTGGAAGATGCCCATGCAAAAGGAGAACGCAACAGAAATAAAACTGGCTCGAAGCGCAAACCTAGACCTGCCACTTGGGACAGTGATTTCGAAGGCCACTGGGAGGACAGCTTGATGTCTGCCCCCACGTACGAAGATGATCGGCCGGAAGCTGACAATGACGAAGACAATGCGAGTGTTGCTTCGGCAACACCAGCTGCGCCCGCAAGAGGCAGAGGGAGTCGAGGAGGCCGTGCAGGCAAATCAACAGCAGGAACTGCTCGTCAAAGCGCAGTCGCTACCAAGAAGGCACCAGCAAAGTCTGCAGCTTCCAAGGGCAAAAAGCGGCAGCCATTCGAGGATGAAGAGGATGATGACGACGAAGATGAAAACCATGATGATCACGACGTGATAATGATTGACGACGACGACGATGACGACGACGAGAGCCAGGGCCTTTTTGTTAGGGAGACAGCTAAGAAGAAAGCAGCGCCTTCGACGCGACGAGCACCTGCCAAATCAACGTCAACAACAGCTGCAAAGCCGGTACCAAGAAAGGCTGCGGCAAAAGCAGCTCCGACCACGACGACACGTGCTCGCCAGACACAGATCAGCTTCGGAACACAGCCGAGTGTTGGTCGCTCAAGCGGTCGAACGGCGGCGACGTCGTCGTCGAGACGTGTACATGAGCCGAGCGAGGACGAAATCGATGATGACGACGATGCATTCGAACCACCACCGCCAAACCAGCGAGCCAAGCGGCGGTGAACGAATGCTTCAAGAGCTCGAATAGACTCCGGCAGAGGAGAACGAGGATTCAATGTAAGATAGAATGTGATCAAGCTTTTCGCACCTCTGCTCAACAATTTTCAACATGTGATACCAATCAAATCGAATAGCTCGAGGTTTGTTTCTTTCTGACGAGCCGGTCTGCGCAACTCATCTTCACCATCAACCCGAAACAAGGTCGCAGGGTACCATTCATTTTTCATGCTGAACTCGTTATTTGAATTATCCGCCCAGACGCCTATTGCTCTCATTTCGAGAGCGCGATCCTCCCAAATGCCACTCTAACGCCTACCCGGCCAGCGAAAATCGATGCCAGCACAGATCAAGACAATACGTAGGAACAATAATACCCAGATACCAGCCCAAGAACTATTATCGGTAGAACTCGCCACGCTTAACGTTGACACCGTACTCGCCAACTGCCATTCCCAGGTCTTCCATCGTCAAGACTGTCCGGCCTTGCGCAGCGCCCGCACCTCCACCTCCATAGCCAGCCCGTGGTCCGCCCAATGGTGCCGATTTGCCCGAGTCCTTCTTTCCACCTCTTGCGGCGCCTTCAGCATCACCTGCCGCTGGCGCTGCCGCCGCCGTACCGAAACCTGCCGCCCCGCCTAGGCCTGTGAGAGGGTTATTCGACGTCGTATTTGTGCTCCTGATGCGGCTGTATTGGTATGCGTCGGCCGCAATGTCCGCGATGAACTTTTGTGTCGCCAGGGCAAGTAGACGAGCTAATCGTCGATCACTTTCGGGTGGTGGAGGTAGACCCGCGACTGTCATGTAGTAATCCGTCACGGCATCCGGGATCAAGGGCGCATAGTCGTCCATTTTCCCTAGAAATTCGCGGAGCGATGTGTCTTTCTTTTGTGGTATCCTAGGTTCGAGCACCGCTGGCAAATTGTTGAGAGCGCCTTCTACATCGAGTGCTGTGGTAGTTGCGGCATTTCCGGCTGCATCACCGCTGGCAGCTCCTGCAGCATCGTTTGCTCCGTCGAGGTTCATATTGTCGTCTGCCGCTGCACTGCCGCTTGCGACGGGGTTGATTTCGGCGTCAATCTCCCGATCAGGGAGGCTCTCGAGGGGGGCATCTTCCGCGATCGATTGTGATGGCTGTTCAGTGACGGAGGAAGCAGGCTGAGTGGTGGATTGTGATGGCGCATCGGAGCTGGCAGCCGGCAGCGCGCTGGTGGAGGCAGGCTGATCGCCGGCGCCGTCTGCCATGGTGAACGGCGAGCTTGGTCCGATGAGCTGGAATTTGAGCTCGATCTGCTAGAATTCAAATCTGCGAGTTCAATGTCGCCAGATGCGTGTGTAAGCGCACGTGCAGATCCACCGTTGTGAGTTGTTAAAGCGTCGGAATGTCTGTCACAGAAGTTGTCCCGATTGATGTACGCATGCGCGAGCTTGTGAGCCGCGGGCTGGGCAGGTGAAGCGAGCAGCCAACACCAGCATGCGGCGGAATCTATTCCGAAGCTGTCACGGCCGCTTCTAACGGTGATTCTCCGAGACGCTTCGACTTCATCCGGCCTTGAAAGAATGAGATGGGTAGTATATCGCATCGCATATATGATCGTTGATATCCGGTCAATATTCGTGGATCGGGCTCCGCATAACTCTGCTGATCGAGCAGTCACTCGGAACGACGAAGACCATCTCGAACATACGTAGCGCTACAGCAGGCACTACTCATGATATACTGGAGTTCGAAATGATTTGGAAGGCGTGAGCTACACCCAGACCATGATAGCTGCCAATTGCGACCGAGGATCTCAAAAGAGATGCTGCCCTCCTCGTCTCGGCGTAATGTGGCGGTACAAGATGCACCAGGTAGAGAGACTTGGGACAGCAGCGTGTTTGACAAAGCCAACCCGTATACGGTGCGCTCGGTCTGTACAACAGCATCGGTTACGATCGACCGAGAACATGAGGTGAGAACTGCTATGATTAAGTCTTCAAGAGCAGTCCTCTTGACGTATTCAGTCCTGTGCTTCCGAACCAACCCTCTTGGCTGGTAACACTGGAGAACTTGCGTCCATGCGACGTCTCAGGGACCAACTCGTATGAGTGAATGACAGCAGATGTTTTGCAGCAGTCCACGATCTGTTGCACATTGCCGTCCACCTTCTACATTCAGCTAGAAGGCTGTGTTATCGCTGTGCCATTGGGAACGTGGCCGAATTCAATATTACACCTCCATCGTCCAGGCGAGGGATGATGTGTCACTATGTAGCACCAGAACCATCACAGTCCTTGAAAGACGAAGTTTCTGAGCAAACAAGAGCACTTCTGTGTGTGATTTACTGACAGCATTCCACGAAAGTGACCATGAGAGAATTCTGACCATGCTTTTCAGTGCCGACACAACGAGCGACTCAACTAGAACCTTTGGCAGCAAGGGAGGACGACGTGCGTTGAACACGAAGCTCTCTTCGAACTTGCCTCGACATGCATTCTTGTGTTTGTGTCAATTCTCGCGTGAGGCTTAAGCGGAAAGTGCAATATGCCAATGTGGACGACGACGGCGACGACAACAACAACAACAACAACAACAGCAACAACGGAAATAAGCGCCGAAGTGATATCGAGGGCACTATAGCCCAGCCCTCCGTCACTTGAAGTCCGAGACTTCGTGGTCGTCGGTTCGATATGTCAAGCAGAGCGACACCGAGGCCATAGTGAGGTGGTCTTCTTGGGTCCGAGTGATGAAGACGTTAGATCTCATTCTCAGATCTTACCTAGTACATTGATTTTGGACGTGCATTTATTACGAGTTCGATGTTGAATAAGAACACCGGGATTTGACAGCTCGACGCAGAAGATGACATAATAAGCGCGGGCACCAGCAGGTACTTGTACTACATGTACTGTGCTGCACTAACCAACAAGTGAAACAGCGAAGTCACAACAATTGTATACTGTAGTAAGATATCGCATGCCAATACCCAACACCTTCTAGCCTTCCTCTGACAAAGCGCGTCTCGACAACCAACTTCACGATTTTCCACTATCGCCTCGTGAGATTCCAACGATATCGCTGAGCTGTCGACATCATCGCAGTCGGCGGTCCAGACAAGGCTTTGTCGTGACCTTGCGATGCCATCGCTCTTTAATTTTGGCTTACTTCGATCGGACGTGCCACATAAGAACCACACTGGCGGTAAATCTATTCCTCCTTCAGGATTTACAAGCATCAACGCTCCCCCTAAAACTAGTCACGGCATTGGCGGAATTGGTCTTGGACACGGCAAATCAGCCACCAAAAGACATCGGTAGGTTATGAGAATGCACCATCATGCTGCCGAGGCTGGTTCAATTGACAAAATCGGTCCGAAAGCAAAATCCTCAAAGACACAATCCAAGGCATCACGCGCGGCGACATTCGACGGTTGGCGCGTCGCGGTGGCGTCAAGCGCATCTCTGCTGCGATCTACCCTAGCGTTCGCATGGCCGTAAAGCAACGACTTGAAGATGTATGGAGTGCCGAGTATAAGGTCATGGTCGCGCGACTTACTGATGAAGTACCGCAGATTCTGAACAAGGTCATTCCTATCGTAGGTGCGTTTGTCAACACGGCCTTGTCCCCCACATCGCCTCGAGCTGTGCTGACCAATTGCCAGAGAACACCGGGCGAAAGACTGTACAGACAATGGATGTCGTCTATGCTCTGAACATGTTGGGCAATCCGATCTACGTACGTTGATATCGTGAATAGCTAACTCGCGTATATTGAGAATCCTCTGGCTGACTGTATCTCTAGGGTTTCGGAGAGGCAAACAAGCTCTCGCAGCTGAAGTGAGCTCTCAAGATATGGACCAATGATTGAACTATAACGAAGATATGATTGAAACGAGTGTGACGGCCAATGTGATCAAACGTGGGACGGCAATGTCAAATAATTGAGATAGCCTGGGATGGACCACTGGTGGTTTGGACTGCACCAGCGGCAATTTTACCGAATCGAATGTAATTAAATGCTGTATAAAAGTCGGTGTGTGGCATGGAAACAAAAAACCGTTGGATCATTAGATTTTAGAGTCAATGCCGCCTTGTAAATCTTCGTCGCCTAATACTTCTCAGCCACGCTTTCAATCAAATCATCATTGTGTTGCGTCCGGCCCATTCTGCCAGCGCTCGTCTTCAACACTCCTTTACCCGCATCGACAACCGGGCTCGTCCACATCTCCGAACCCGAAGCGGCATCGTAAATCTTGTGCGTCGTGGAAAGGATGCCGCTTTGATGACTGTTGTAGTAGATGTTTTCCCAATGGCCTTTGGGGGCATGGTAGACCTCATGCCAGATGGCAAGGTGGTCGTGCTCTTTGACGGTCTTTGCCCACCACTCGACGCCCGCGCGGTGCACCGGACCATGTGTGAAAGCGTACAGGCTTTCGACTGACTTGAAATACGCGACGTTCATGAGCTCGCTTTGCGTGGCACGATCGGAGGAGTTCAGCCACGAGGTCATGCCGAGGAAACCGTACTCTTCTGGTTTCTCCTCCAAAGACTTGACCATGCTACTGAAGTATTCGCCCAATTCTTTGAAGCCGGGGGAGAGGAGGCCAAGCGGGCTGTTGGACCGCGTTCCAATCAGGAGCACGACGACATCTTGGTTTGCTGGCTCGGGCCCGAAGCGACCTTCTTCGTCGGGGAACTGCGCCGAGACATGTTGGAGGACGGTGTCCTTGGTCCAAGGATTGGCTTTCCATCCAGTAACAACGGCATATGCGTCGAGGGCGCGAAAAAGCACGAGTGCGAGTGCCGGGATGAGAGCGAGTCTCCCAGCAACCAGAAATAATCCACCTTGAAGTACGGCGCCGATGCTCAGCCATGTCGTGATAGAGAATTGGTCGCGAATTAACTGTAAGCACAAGGAGAATCAGTGAACCGTCTGGAGTGAAGCATGGGCCAGCAGAGACGCAATCCTCGTACCGAATAGGGAGCTGCAGGGCCATTGTAATGAGACAGCGGTCGAGTCGAGGTCGGCGCGAAGAGCGGGACGAATGGTTTCTTGTTGCCGGACGGCATTGCTGACGACGTAAGGGTAATAAGAAAGCCTTTATATTGGAAGCGTTAAGACTCGATCTCTTCGTGTTCGAATGGTTGCTACTTTCTTGACGATAGGGATGATGTGGAGAAAAGAAAACTGCTTCCTTGACTGGCAGTATATATACATTCACGTCGAGGCCAGCTCGATGTTCAAGTGTCCGTGTCCGTGTATAGGAGATCTTCATGCGCAACAAGCTAGACGCATGTCGAATTTACCCATTCGACCGCGAAGGGATCGCAGAATGTCCCATTAGAGGTCAGGCAGCCAGTTTTCCCGGCAGACGGCATGATTTTGTTCGACGCATTCTATTCTTGACACTCTCAGTCCATCGTCTCCGGGCCGCGCGCAAGCCACCGTCGCGCAATCGGATGAATATTTACGCCGCACGACCAGCAAAGCCACGGAAACGCAGATCGCCGCTAAACTCAAACAGGAGCAAACTGCGGTCTACGCTAAATTTGTTAAACGCCCAGTTGAAGATGATGCAAACACTAACTGCGTGGCATCAACTTCAACGACATTTCGCGCAGGTGGTTGGTCCCGAAGAAGGGGTTGACATCAAACAGGTGAACCGGTCTACGGGGTAGTCATACATACAAAAATAGGTCCGCTCGGATAGATGTTGAGGTAGAAGTGAAGAGGACGCTGTCTCGAACTAGGGGTTTCACGAACGATATGCACAGGTCTTTTTTCGATCCAGGAGCCGCAAATTCTGAGGTCTCCAAATGAGCCTTCGTTCCGTCTCGCAAAGGCGCAAAAATGTACCGGTGAGGGCATCCTCCATCAACATGATACTGGCATGTGGTAGCGAAATCCGCTCACTTGTTCCTCGTTGGCCCTATCGATCTGCATAGCGTGCAGTGGTGACCCGTCGCGAGTGACGCAATGTAGCCGAAGCAAGTCAATGCAGTGAAGCGTTGCAACGTTTGGCAGCCGCAAGCAAAGACCAACGAACCGCAATTTTTGGTCATGGAGGAGATGTGGAATTGTGCGTTGCCTGTTCGTCATTCGATCATGAGCGCGGTGGGCAACTTGATGTATGGCGTCGAAATCTCGCCATCTTCCCAAATATTAGCAAGCGCAATGCTTCGCACAAGTCCAGGTCGTCTAGGTCAAATGCAAGAAGCGCTTGCTATTCTCATAGACGACATAAGTCTGCATGTCATGGTCAGTAAGTTGATCGATCTTGCGGTTTGTCGCGAATGAGGTCATCACTTACGATTGATACCGCCGGCACGACCTTGAGCAGGTTCGGAATCAATCCCTTGAACAGGCCTCGTACGCCCTCCCCGTGCAGCGTCTGGCGGGTCACGTCCACGATACCTGTGTAGGTCCTGGGGTGCCCACTCGTGCCCTGACTCTGCAACCTAGTACGCAGCAGATTAATGGGATACACGGCGCTCGCCCCGATCGCTCCACTAAAGCCGCCCATAATTGCAAGGGTGAAATTTCCTGGCAACGCGTCTTCATCATGTTTCAGCTCGGGATGCAGTCGACGGTTCCGCTTGATGGACCAGTTCTTGAAGGACTCAAACACTCCCAGGTCGATAGCAGCGTATGGGAACATGCCGACGAGCCCCATAGGCAGACCCCGGTAAAAGCCCACTATACCGTTCTTCGCCCACATCTTCTTGGCAGTCTGGATGAGGAGAGTGTTGCCGCGTTCGCCACCGGCGACTGTCTCACACTGCATGCGGAATTTGAGAGTATCGAGGGGATACACGACTGCTTGTGCGGCCATTCCCGAAAGACCACCAGCTGCGAATATCGACCAAGAAGAGATTTTCTTCGTGTTGTTGTGTCCTTCCCATTTCGCAATGAGCTTTTTGGAAGCCTGTAATCCCAGCTGCGTCAGCCGTCGTTCACGTTTTAGGAAGCTCAGTATGCTCTCACCTCGTACGCCGCGAATTTGACACCCGATTCCGGCATAACTTTAAGAATGTTGATACCATTCCCTTCGGAAACGTGTCAGTAAGTTGCCTTTATCACGCGCGGCTATTGTACATACCGGCGAAGAGACTTCGAACACCGCCAGCAGCCCAGAGTTCCTTTGAGGCTCTCCACAGGGTTCTACCACTGCTTTGTAATGCTTGTGCTGGATTCGCTTGTTTGACCGCAAGAATCGCATCAGAAGCGCTCTCCGTCTGCGCGATCAGGTGCACCTTGAGCCTGTCGAGAGGCGCGGTAGCGGTCCTGGACACAATTCCCGCGGAACCACCTGCTAAGAAATACCCTAATTCCGGCACGAAGTCGGTCAGTGTCAGCTGCAATTTGTCATCGTGCTGCAGCGCATCATTATGATCAAATTGCTCTTTCCGCCGCGCGGGCTTCAATGGAATGTGCGGGTCGTCTTCTGAGACGTCTTCGTCGTCGTTCTCGTCCTGGAAGACTTGAGCAGGAGCACTCCCGTCTCGGGGCGGCACGGCGATAACGTGAGCATCAGACGCGCCTTTCCGATGAGTGCTTGGCGCAATAATTCGAGAAAAAGAGCCAAACAAAGAGCGCTGGAGAAAACCGAGCAGCATACCTATGCCATGCACCGACTCCTCGGCCATATGCACATCTCCTTCGGCAGTAAGCTTAGCGGTGGTTTGGTAGTAATTAAAGACGGCCTTGAGGCCAGGAGAATTAGCGGGAAGGAAAAGAAGGAAATCTGAGAGGCGTATGTGTTGTCAGCTGGATTACCCAATAAGCAGATGTCGCCCAGCTCCACTCACCTCGCCATTCGCTGAAGTCGATGGTGCCATCGCGGTTCTTGTCAATGTAGTTGAAGAACCGTTCGATGCGTGCATTGGAGACAGTCAGCCCTGCGCGTTCGAAAGCAGCAGACAACTCGGCTTTGTCCAGCTCCCCACTATGGTCGCGGTCGATTGCTTTGAATAGCTGCCACAATTGCTTTTCTGTCTGCGTGCAGAATCGGCGGAATTCATCGTAGGAGATTCTACCGTCGCGGTCAATGTCGGCTGCCGCAAGGACTTCCCTTATCAGTGAATCGGCATCCCGAAGGGCTATGTTCCAGTGTGATGTTTGGTTAGCCAGCGTCACTCATTGAAATCATTCGCTCTGGTCCGCTTACGATGTTGCATCTGTGCGAGTCCTGCTTTCAAGCTCGCAAGATCGAGGGATCCGGTCTGCTTTGGATCCAGCTGTCGCCATAACGCGTGCAGCCGTTCCTCGCGATGCGCCTCCGTCTCTCCGTCCATTTCGACTTTCCGCCGTGCGCGTCTGTCTTCTTCTTCTCTTACTGTATCGCGGTCATGATTTTGGGACTCCGGCGCGGAAGCGATTTGATCGTAACTCTTGAAGGATACTATTCTGCCGCAAGTGTCTGCCGAGTCTGTGGTTCGAGGCTGCGAAGTGGGCCCAGTGTGCAGCAGACTACCGACGAGTCCGATCAGGGTGTGGGCAGCAAGATGATAAGATCTGAGTGACTGTAGGATGCGTCGTGTAGCGAATGATTGATCGAAGATCCGGATGAACTATCCCGCAGTAGAAAGATAGAGTTGGTTTGGTGAGATCTCCGAGCAATCCGGGTGCAGCACGTCCGGCGTGAAAGATATGATCTCTGTGATAGGTGTCGTGAAAGGGGTCCTCAGACGCAGGTATATGCAATGATTGACGACCTGCGAGAAGTACTGTAGGTGAACAATGTGTATGGAGAAGGAGTGGTTATCTTCCCTGTCCAGAGATGGTAGATTCGATGTGCATGCATTACACACAGCCCTGGAGCATTCTTGAGAGATTCGAGCTTTCCCGCCGATGAATTTGAGTCAGCCAGTGACGTTGCGCGGATTCGGCAAGCGAATTCCTCCACCTGCAGCTCCCGAATTTCTGGTCATAAACTGATGCTCGGATTTTGTGGGAGAGCTCGCATGAGCCACTTCACTACCCAACACGAGCTACTTAATACCCTTGAAATCTTTATACATAGTGATACAAGCCCGAGTTTGTCAGATGAACTCTGTTATTACAGCTTAGATGCCGTCGATGCATCATGTTGGATTCTGCTTAACCAGCAATCGGACAAGAATGATCGATCAATGATTACCTAGCTACTGAAGCATATGCTGGCTTCGCAACAACGGGCTGACCGGTCACACCTGCACCGAACCGTTTATTCGGTCATAATCCAGGGGCATGTGTCCATGGGCCAACTATGCTTGCAAGATCTGCACGTGTCGCAAACGGCTTACGATTCCAGCTCCGGCAGTCGTAGTAGTAAGCAGCCTATAAGGCAAGCATCCGACGTGCGCATACGTAATCTGCAACGAGCTGGAATATGCCGTCTGTCGCGCTCATACGATTGGAATCGCTGGTTGCTCGAAAGCGACCCCGAGTTTGTTGCAACTCGCTGCAGTGCGAAAAAAGTGCGCGACACGCGCTCACAACATCTGTGCCAGAATTGCTCGATCATTTTCTCAAAAGATTTTCATCAACGTGACACTGACCGACCTCAACCATCTCATCGATTGTTTTATTGTGAGAGCGATTTCATGTAAGGCAGTGCGAGTTGAGCACGCCTGGAATGCCTTCCCAGCGTAGAAATCTAAACATGACTCGCTCGTTTGGCACCTTGATCTTGCACCCGGATACCATAGCTCTCATAGGGGAAGTTCTCCAGTGTAGGGACCAAGCGCGCGTATCTATCGCCAATCTGACCAGTGGCACCCGCACTTGGTGTGTTCGGGGTACCGGAAGATGTGCCCTCTGAAGTGGAAGGCTGTGTCAAGTCTTTGTACTCGCCAGTCAGGCCAGCCAAGACTTCTTCCTCCCGTCCGCGATACTCTTGCAGCAAACCGGGATGGGGACACCATACTACTTGCATGCCGGCTCGCCTCCCGGATTCGACTCCGGGTACGCTGTCCTCGAAGACAAGACACTCCTCGGGCTTAATCTCCGGTTGTTGCTCCTTCCGGAGCCGCTCATTGATGGTGTCTAATGCAAGCAGGTAGATGTCTGGCGCCGGTTTTCCACGTCCCTTAGGGATCCGAGGATCGTCGCCGAGAATGCGATGCTCCTGGCTGAAGACGGAAAATAGATCAGTGAGATGATCCGTCTTCAATTTGAAATTCGATGAATGGCTGCTGGTAGCAAGAGCAATCTCAATCGCCGGCGCCGTTCGTGAAGATAGAGTCTGAAGTAGTGATTCCACACCCGGCAAAGGTTGACAGCTTGGGAAATGTCTCTTCTGACTAGCCGACACCTTCTTAACGTAATCCTCTCGCGATATCTTGTCTGACAATTGCGCCCATTCGAACAGGATATCACCGGACTTTAATCCAGGTTAGTACAATGTGGAACTTTTGTCGAAGCCGTTTGATACGTACAAAGGGTGCAGGTCGACCTTGCATCTGAGCCTTGATATGCCATGGCAGATCCGGTTTGCCAAACTCGCGCAAAACCTCGTTGGTAGCGATGGTGTATTTATCTTCTGAGTCGAGCAATAAGCCGTCCATGTCAAAGAGGCATGCGCGAATTGCGGGTAAACTAATTGCATTCTGTTAGATGGGATCCATGGGATAGCTCTGCGTGCACACGTACTTGGAAGCGGACGCCATATCCTGCGATGATTATATTATGCTGTGAAATTCACTTTAATGGGCTGTATGGGCACTTGTTTTAGTCGGGCACATGGGTGCAGATGGTCTCGGTATCAAGAGCCTCAAATCCTTGTCCAGAACAAGAGTCGCAAGAGTCTGCTAAGTGTCCCCCGCATGATTCATGAACGAGAGCGGATCTACCGCTGTGGGGTACGTAGTGTAGCCCTCCAGGGCTGGCTTGCATGCCTCGCGGCTTCTGCCCGTCAAAACCATGAAAGAAACTTGTCAACAGATCGTCATTCGAGAAAGCTGATGAGTGTATCAAGCATTTCTCGAGTGTCATTGTTGTCCGCTATGTCTTTGTCGAGATTGTCGCGCTGGGTTTCTAGGGATGCACGGATGGATGCGACACCATCATTGAGCAGCTCCTTCACCTTGATTTTAACATCGGCACTCTCTGCTATGAGCCATGCAAGGATGGTGTCGACGATTTGCAGATGGTAGAGACCTCCGTCCAATTTATAAAGGTACCATTCGACTTCTCTCTCCTCGATCTCGTCTTCGTCGAGCAACGACTGATCGGCTCGTAGATCTTTCTCTGTCTTTTCGACCCTCTGGACGTACTCTTTGCGTAGCTGTAGTAACTTCGCGACCTTTGCGTAATCCTTCTCGGCGAACTTTGCCAGAGTCCGAATTCTTTCGGCCGAGTCCCCTGGGAGAACGCGCAAGAATGCTGAGAAGATGCCGAGAAGATGCTCGATGAGTTCGTGGTCATTTGATTTCATGAAAGCCGCGAACAGCGGCTTCAGCCCAGCAGCTTCGATGATCTTCTGACACACTGCCACTGCTTCAACGCTCTGCCCACCTGCGGCATGATCGAGAATCTGGGTCGCCCGACATGCGATTCTCTTGCTCGCATCTTTGAGCATCAGCAGACAGAGCTCCACACCCTCACACTGTACGAATTTCGTCTTTCCCTCCGAGATCTCGACAACACAGGCTAAAGCGTCGAATATGTTTTCGGTGAATTCCTCCTCGTTGCTGTCCTTTGGCGGGTCGCGCTTTCGATATCTGGCCACCAGTCGCAGGAAAAGATCAACACCGTCGATTTTGTCGGTCGTGAGTCGCTTGCGTACGACATGTGACGATTGAAGTAGGACTTGTAGTACCTCTGCTGCATACTGCTGATTCTGGCTCATAAGAGACTCCGCTCTCGCGATTCTCTTGCACAACCAATCGAGGACATTGTCTTGTCCCACTTTCTCGGCGACGGCTTCCTGACTTGCGAGGTGCTCCAACACTGATAGACTGTGATATACACCGCTCCGGTCGCTTTCATTGTCCTCGTCGAGTCTCGAAAGATTACTCATCAAAAGTTCCAGAAGGTCTGAGTCCAATAACGCAGTAGTGAGGGCATCCCATTGAGGCGGCTCGATCTGAACATCGTCATCTAGGAGCTCGGAAATGATTTCGATTGCGCCTATGGCGATGTCTGTGTTCTCGTGCGCGAGTAGCCCAACCAAGCTAGCCGCCGTCCCTGATGCAGCAAATTCTCCATACAACTCCGTATGCTCGCTAAGGAGACTCCAAGTCTTGATCTCTGCATCGAGCTCTGCTTCTGATGCCATGAACTTCTCCGGATCGCTCTCGTACCGTGCTCGTAGCTCTGCATTTTTCGTGATTTTCTTTTCAAAGCTTGTTGCCAGCCTCCGCAACCACGCAGAATCAATCTTCTCCTCTTGCAGCTCCGCATCCTCTTGCTCGTCAATGTAGTCCAATGCATCCACCGCCTCTCGAGTCATCCCAGTCCCAAAGAACCGTCCGTCATCGTCGTCGCCGTTGTCGTCTTCAGCTGGAGGAAGTTCTGGACCTGCTTCTAGGTCTTCCTCGTCATCGTCCACAGACGCAGCATGCGCCTGGCGACCGTTTGGCGATGCATCTTTCGACACTTTTGTTGATTTGTACACTTCGTGAGCGTCAGGAACTTCCAGTTTGCGTTTTGCTGATCCGATGGGCAATCCGGGTTTCTTGAACAAGTCATCGATGTTGGTCATGGTCGCGAAAGGCAATGGCTCCAAAGTTCAAAATCCGCTTGCTCGCGCTGGCTGTGGAATTTATTTGTTCCAGATGCTATGCGCGAGCTTGCAGTGACGCGACCTGTGGACCCGTGGACCCGACATATGTAAGCTTAGGGTTTGACCCAGATAGCCATTGCGAGAGGACCCAATAAAATGCAAGCGCAAGGCATTTGAATGTGAATCTTCATATGGATATATTCCATGGAACACTCTCGATAAAAACTAAAGCTATTGGTCTTGCTGGGTGACTCACGCGTGTTGTTCAGGTTCGGGCTTATCTAGGTACCTAGGTATCGTCAAAACCCAGGCTCTTCTGTGGGCACGAGCCGCTATCACTCGCTTGACGTCAAAAGCGGACGCAGACCCAAATGCATATTTTATTTTGTCTCTTCATAAGTGATCGTGAAATGCACGAATAAACACGCGACGCCTTCGCGAACCACGGATCTAACCAACCAGAAACTTAGGCTGCAATGACCCGTCTGCCAGTGCTCTACTCCGACTTCTTCGTCGACTCCTTCGCCGCCTCTTTCTCATCCAAGTCTTTAATGGCAGCGCCTACTATGGCAAGGATTATTTCGGAGCCGGTGACAGCTTGCCACGCCTGTTGAGGGTAAATGATCGACCGCTGCCAGAGGCCGATCTTTGTTTGAGAATTCCAGGGAGTCAGAGTTTGGAACTGGTAGTAGCTGTATGCCGTCCAGAGGCCGAGTGCGACGCTCAGCAGGCGATAGAAGATGTCGCGGTCCGAGTTACCGATCTGGCCGGGCACCAAGCCTGCGAGAATGGAGTTCAGGCTTGATGCGATCGCTACCAAGCTCCAGCCGTTCCAATGCCAACCAGCGAGGCCAGTCTTTTGCTCACGAGGGCCTCCGTGAATGGTGACCAACAGAGTCAAGCCGCTCACAAAAAGCAGCGTTAGGAACACTCGGAGTTTCCTCGCGGTGCTCGCCGAAGAGGCGACACCCTTGCGGGTGACGTAGAGCAAGCCCAATTGTCCTGCAGCGAATAGTGCGGCGTTCAGGAGGATGCCAAAGTTCAGAAACTTGGCGCGGCCTGAGACCACCGTATGATGCTTGAGAGGGTGGACTTGCTTGTAAGTCACCGAGAGGTCGCTAATCGACTCAATCGCCCAATCATAGTAGTCTGTCGCTTGGTATGCCTTGATGGCGGTGAATTCGAAGAAGAACCAAGAAGCCGTCGCTCCGATGAGCAACAGACCGGGCAGAATTGCCGCTGTGTTGACTGGAGGTCTACGTGCGTATGCCATGGTTGCGCGCCTGTGGTACGGGTCGAGATGCAACAGCGAGCGGCGATGTCGTGTGTGCGAGCAGATGGAGTATTCGTCCTCTGGAGAAGGATGAAAGAAAAGGCAATGTGTGGGAATCTTAAAAAGCAATCTTAGGTCCAATAATTATGCATGTCCAAGAGATTTCGAGAGCTTGCGGACACGGTGGCTCTTACAGTCGATTTCTGCAATGTCGTAATCAGAGCTATGGTGAGCTCACTGGCGACGAAGCGATCTACTGTACAACATTTTAGAGTTCGCGGTCGGCGCAGGGTCATCAACTTGGCGATGACTGGCGGAGGCGGTATTGGGTTGGAAGACGGCGTGCCTGACAACCGAGCTTTCCTCTAATAATCATGGCCACACCAAAACCCGCACGCGCATGAATTGATCTGTACATGAACCAGATACTGTAGTACGGCAATCGATCGCGATCATTGTACGAACGAATGTCCATTGACTGCGTCTTTTGAAGATGTCCGTGTTCGCTGCAGCGAATTTCGTCATACAGTACAATAAATCCATGGATCCTTTGCACTTTGAATCTGGGCCGCTACCGGTTGTGCCCACGTGCTGTGGGTGTCAAACCAATTACGCGGATAATTGACCGCCCGGCGGTCGGTGCACACATGTGAAGCGTGGGAGCAGACTCGACCTCCCGCGCACCCTAATACAGTATGTACAGTACCATGTACAGATGCCCTGTGCATAAGATCCACGTCCCAGACATCGTATGTATTGCTGGATCGCAGACACGTTTGCAATCGCTCAGGACTGGTCGAAAGCGCTACACTACGCACATCCGACTTGGTAGTCACAAATGGGACGCGTTTGGACATCAGCACGGAGGTCATGTCTTCGAACAGAGTCTGGCCAGCTTGGTAGAGGCTTTTCGTGCTCGACAGAAGCTATCTCCGGCCGCGAAGAACGGTCATCGGGCTCTTGGACAGGGCTGCTGCGAGGATTCATGCCGCAGGAAATCAACCCGAGGGCATTCAGCTGGCGGGCTTTGATTTGATTGAAATGTGGAGTAGGCACTTCCAATGTGGTGAGAATCCTGCAAACGACAAGATGGGCGTGAAATTCCCGGGCAGCCATGATCAGTGAGCACGGGAAGTGAGTGGTTTTCAATCACATGACGCACGCCCTCAATACGCCGTGCTCACAGATAAATCTGGCGGGGTTGTAGACGACTCTTCGCGACAAATAATCACAAGCGAACGCAAAGGGAATTGCTTCAAGGACAAAGAGCCGACGGGACCGACCTGGGCTCCCCGCTCAACAAATGTTCCCCTGGCAGCGCCAATCCGCTGTAAAGCTCGCGATTTTTCCATCTGCGTTACATCCCGAGATGGCAGCTGGCAAGATATCCGGACTGGAAGCGCACACCGCCGTACCGCCCTGACCCTCGCTGGTGACGAAATATGTACTGTGATTCCCATGGTCAGTAAACGTCCACAAGCTATGCTGAACAACCCGCAATGGGACTCACCTGTCGCATTGTGCGGTGAATGTCAGGGTGTTGGTGCCGCAGACGTGCTGGGTGTCCTGCAACACATAGGTCGCCGGCATGTATTTGAACGTGCCCGGTTCCGGAGAGCCGAGAGCCTGTGGGTAATTGCTGAGGTCGGTGTTGTCGAAGTTGACTGCCGCCAAGGCGTCGCAGTTCCAATTCGAACCAGCCACGATGCCAGCTTGCATTTCTGTGTCGCCACAGAACCCACCGGAACAGCTGCGATAGGTCTCGTGGAATAGATAGAACACGTCTGATGCGGGTGGGCTGCGTGGCTGACAGGCAGTGGGGCTACTGGTCGCCATCGGCATTTGTTGAGGTTGCAGATAGCCAAGGGCGACGATGGTCCCGAAATCGCCGCCGTCTCCTAGCCTTGGAATGCGACCACCGGGCCAGGCTGTCTCCGTTTCGGGTAGCTCCACAGGACATGCAGTGGTTGTTTCATCGGTGGTGGTTGTACCTGTGGCCCGGCAACCGACTCTTTGCGAGCACGTCGTACTATAGCAGGAAGTGGTGGCATCGCCGTTAGAATCTGGACCGACATTGCAATCGACTGAACAGTCCGTCACGGTGGAGCTCGGGGAGCAAGAACTCGGCTCGTTCTGTGGGTCGGGGTTGCCACCAGGCGGTCCACCTCCACCTCCACCACCGCCACGACCCCCGTTCACGGTCCCACCGCAGACGCCGACGCAACCTCCACCTCCAGAACAACCAGCTCCCACACAGCCATTCGGCTTGTTCTCTTGTGTGGTGGACCCTTGGGGCACTGGTGTTGGGTCGCAATTGACTTGGCATCTTGTGCCGCAGCCAACAACGCATTGAGGTGGCGGGGGACCAGGCCGAATCGTGACGACTGGCACACAGGCAGGACATCCTGTTGGAAATAGTATAGCTGCGACTGTGGTTGTGGTTTGTCCGGGCTGCAGAGTCGGTACAGAAGGATATGGTCCGAACTCGTAAGTGTAGTAAATGCCTCGAAGTGTTGTGGTGGTGCCGCTGGTCGTGATGACCGTGGATTCTTGCGAAAGCGTCACTGGAATGATGTCAGTATTGATAAACTTTCGTCTTCCCCATGCTGTTGCTCTTACCTGGAGGGATCGGAATGCTGCTTCTCAGAGGAATGATCGAATCCGCTGTCTGCGTCCACGGGATGTTATAGAGAGGTATCTGAGTTGTTGTGATCGGTGGGATAGAAATGACGGTTTCTAGACGGCACAATTAGATCAGGCACTATCGTAGCACTGTCTCTGTTGGCATACCTTTTACGTTCGAGACGTATACAGTCGTTGTCACCATGCCACTCAAAGTTGACACAAAAGGCCAGACATTAGTGATCGTTGTCGTGACGGGCGTGGGCTGGATCGTCGTCGTGTATGGTAACGTCCACGGCGGCATGACGAGCGTACAGGGTGCCAAGCAGCTGATAATCGGGCTGGGGTTTTGATATACTGCCGGATCGACTGAGACCACACCACTGCCGGTTCCAGTGTTCCCATTCCCTCCGGAAGTACCGCCGTTGTTTCCTCCAGTGCTTCCGCCGGCACTATCCGCATTGGGGTCGGTGATGTTGAGATCAATGGCCTATTGGTAAAAAGCATCAGCAGGGCCAAAGCGGTGGTACAAATAACGACCTACCCAGTCCGATGTTCCTCCAAGCCCGAGTGCTTTCGCAAAATTGCTCCGCCCATCATACGTTGGACCTGACATCCATGACACCCATTGCGTATCGTCGTAGACAAGGATATCACCAGCGATTGGAGACGTATATTGCTGTACTTTGTGCTGACCGTTGTTGATGATTTCATAAATCTCCGTATTGGAAAGGTAGCCGGGGGTACCTTGTTAACGTTAGACTCTTCAGCTTTCGGTGATCTGGGACCAAGGTCAGTCTTACCAGTACATTTGCCAGCGGTTGCTCCACTCGCACGACCAGTGTATGTACACTGCTCAGTGTAGCAGCCCGCCTGGCTCATCTGGAAGCTCCTTCCGTACAGAGGCTGACCAAGCATGATCTTGTAACCTGGCACCTGAATGCGGGTTAGTACCGGCAGAATTCTGCGGCATCAACAGTGAACCTACCCCTGCTTTAGTAATCATCGAAAGCGCAGAGACCGTCTCTGTAAAGTTCACTTGAGAGCGAAGACAATTTCCGGTAGGACATCCAGGATTCGTGAACTGATTGCCGTAGTCCCATTGCCTAGTCGCGCATTAATGAGTTGTCATCCGTTGGAGGATGAGTTTCACATACCCATGCAGATCATAGGTCATGTAAATAAAATAATCGATCAGTGACGCTATCTCGCGGGCGGGAAAAGCTTTCAGATAATAGTATGAGGCCGGAAGCGCGATAGATATAGAGTACTTGCTCGGGAGCGCTGCTCGGAGAAGCTTAAGAAACTCGAGATAGTTCAAGGCACTGTAAGGAGAGTCAAGCGGAAGATTTTCTCCCTCGTCATCCGGAGCGCCAGGGTACTAAAGAGTCTTTAGTAATTGCTACGGGAAAAGGAATAAGAAGTTCTTACCTCCCAATCGATATCAACTCCGTCGAGCCCTTCATTTTGCACAAAGCTAGCGAGGTTGTTGGCAAAATTCTGCCTGTTCGCAGGCATGACTCCCTCACGGAGAATATTGTAGCTACTCGGCTGTTTTGATTCGTCAGAGGTGCAGGCTTAGCGACAATGGACAGGGGTCATACATACCGCTGTAGAAAACGTCCAACCGCCGAAAGATACAATGCGCTTGAATCGAGTCTGTTGCTTAAATGAGGCCCAGGCGGCTTCGTACGGAGAGACGGAGGGTCGGAAGGTGCTGGAAATACTTGCGAAGGCCCAGTGAACAATGGTATATCGATCCGGGATCGCGTTCACCGAGACATGGCCGCATGGTCGGTCGAAGTTGAAAGCCTCGTAGTAACCGATTCGCTCAAAGGTAGCTGGACTCGCGGAAGTAACGATGTTAGTTCCACAGTTCGATATACATCCGTTAGTGCCGGGCTGCCGGGTTCCTGGATTTCCGGTGTCACTAAAGCCAAGCTCAGTCAGTTCTTGAAGCTTGATAATCACAAAGGTCGTTGATCTCCTTACGCTGGAGTTGCGACGCAGAACTCGGAGGTTATCCCGCATTGCCCAAACACATCACAACAGGCATTGAGCGGACACATGTTGAGGTTAGCCCATGTATTCACATTCGAGTTAGGCTGAGTTCCGTTTGCCTGGGGTCCACAAATGGCATTTGGAACGTTGGCTGGGAACGGCGGGATTCCTGCACTTAAGCATATCTTCATGCCAATATATAGTGTTGCACAGCCTTCCCAACCCCAGGTCTGATGGTTACGGTCAATGATATCTTGAACCGTCATCTGGTGAGCCTGCGCGATAGCTGAGCAATAGTCGTTTGCAGCGACCGTGTATGAGAAACAGCTACCGTCTGTATTCTGTTGTGGGGTGAAGTCGGGAAGGTTTCCAGCAGAGCAACAAACATACTGAATGGCGCGTCAGCAATTTCAATCAGGGTACTTCTGACTTGATAGATATCTACCTGTCCAACTTTGAGCGTTGAGCAAAAAGAACCTCCCCCATTGTATTTTTGGAGGTCACTTTGCGATATACCGCATCGTTGCGCCACTGCATAGCAACCGTCGCCGGATTGTACTAATGAGAAGGTCAGCGAGGTCAAACTTGTAGACGGAGCTCAAGGCTCACTCACCTTGGGTATAGGAGCATGTAGCTCTGGCCACCAAGCGAGATCTTGGCGATACAGCACTTTCCGAGCTGTCTTTTGGAGCAATCGAAACCTTCGTGCCAGAAATTTGCTTGACTCTGACCCCGGTCCAGGGCTTGAATTCATCCCCTCCGAGACACTGCGCTCGATCCCATCCCTGAACAGCTCCCTGAACAGCGGCGAAGTCATTCACCATACCGTAGGTGATGCCAAAGTATTGGGATGCGGCCGTGGAGTTAGATCGCTCACAGGTTTGGACGGCCAGTCGTGATTGCGTAGGGGTCTGGGAGAGTTGATCGTAGTATTTGTTGATCACATCGGTAGCGCTGAGTGCGTCAACTTGGGCGCCCACATACACCCCGGCGATGATATTCTTGACTCTGGCGAACATGGCGACATCAGTGGCTTTAGAGGACTTGACGTAGATGCCGATAGCTTTCACTGCCAACTGGACGGCTGAAACATCGGCTTCAACTCCAGCTTTCCTCTCTGTAAGGTACAGTACCGCGGCCAACGGCGCTGTGTCATTGAGAGAAAGCGCCTGTCTTTGGGCCAGCCTTGGATGCGAGTCTGGTTCCTGGCGAGGGTTGGCATCGGGGGCCACCGCGCTATATTGTGATGACCGAGCCTCTACATCGGGCTCGTTTTCGCCTCCTGTCATGGTGCAGGCTCGAAAGTAGAGCTGGTTTTGTGCATCGCGGGCATCGTTGTAGATATTAACTTCCATAAGCACAGTTCCGTTGCAAATTTCGAGCTCATCCAGAGAATGATGATAGGACCAGGCGGCAGGACTGAGGCCAGACCAGCTGCACGAAATCGGACATGGAGAGTTATTGGCAAGGGATTGGGTATACACAAGTTGTCCTTGCAGCAGCGTGATGGCCAATGCTGGCAGAAACCACACGCGGTGAGACATCACTTCGAAATTCGAGCGTTAGCAATTTGATTCCCGTCAAGGAGAAATAACGTTGATGGCAGGAAGCATGAGTTCAGGCCGATCGTTCATGATGGGCTCTGCTTATCATGGACAGATATACGACTGTTCGATTTTCTCTCGCTTTCCCCAACTGCAACCAGGACACTCGCGAATCCGCGACGCACGTCTTCACGGAGACTAGTGGAGGCGTAGAAAACAGCCATCGTCGTCGACATCACAGGAGCGTGCCTCCAGAAAGCCGAGGTCAGATTCGTTGTCTTGTCGAAGCGGATACTCTTTTTGGCGTCGACGAATCGCAGGTCTCGATGGGATTTGCGATCGACGTCTTGGGTAGGGGTGTAAGCACTACCGCGGTGCGCGCGTTTGATCACAGCAGACTACTGTATGTTGGCCGCATCGCGCGCAGCCCGTAGGCAAGCGTGGCGTCGTGGGCGTGTAGAGATGATGGAGAGCTGGTGCTAATAGCGCGGATATTTGACAGCGGTGGACCCTGCGCGTCCATTGAAGTGTCGTGGTTGTCCATTGATCGCGGCCAATTGAAAGCTGCTGTGTACTACCAGGTATGAACCAATGGAGCGAGTACCAACACGCCCGTGGACCCTGGCCTGCCTGGAAGCACCTGCCATCTGGCACTGCCGAGCCGTTACAACGCCCGCTCCACGGCTGCCTCGCAAAGGCACGCCATGAATTCCATTTTAACCTACGTAGGCACCTACATTTTCTTCGACCCCCGAGTCCTCTACATAATACATTGACAAGACACACGAGCATTGCACGCCCATTAAACGAGTACGGTGCCGAGACGCTCATTTGCGAATTCAGATCTCTCTCATTCCGCAAGCTCTGTGTCATCAAGCTTTGGTCTTCGCTCGCTCCGTCCCGTCCAGCGACACTCTCAGAACACCATCGAACATCATAGTCGGCAGCTCGATGGGCAGCTCGATCGGGCCGCCGGAGATCTTTTGGTGGATCTGCAGGTGCTCTACCCCTCATCTCAACACCCAACGAGGATCGGCAGTCCCAATACAAGCCAAGCTGTGATGGCCGCGCAAGTTCTTCTCGGCAGAACTAATGCAAGACCATTGAATGAACAGCATCCAGTTTGCGGCGGCCTGCAGCGTGTCCTACGGAATTTTCCTCGTCTGCAAGCGCTAGGCGCCGCAGGACCACCTTAGCGGCCTGTAAGGATATGCCCCCAAAGACCGACTTCGAGGACAGCGTCTAAGGACAGTGACAGCCTCAACGAACTATGTCAGCCGGGCTGCACGCGGTATTTTTTGAGCACCAATCGTGCATATCACGGCAAGAAAATCGGGGGATTCGGTGAACGACGAAACGAGCATGCTTTTGGTATTCGCGCTACGACTGCTGGCCATGCGGATGGAGTTACATCGCCTCGCATCGATCTTCTTGCGGAGAACGCCCCATTCTTCGTGCGAGACATGGCATGCTCACGAGCCGAGGCCGTTCTCACTTGTTCAGAACACATGCAATTGCGTTGCTTTCGCTTGCGCCGAGAGGTCAGACGGACCGTGGTAACGGGAAACCAGGTTTTGCGAAGACGTAAATACCTTCCGATGGCCTGACGAGGATATCATCTTCTTCACATCGTTGCATTATCTAAGCTTCGAGCACCATCACCATGGCCCGGCACAGATACTTTCTTGCTCTGGTTCTCCTCCTCTCTGCCGTCGTTGGTGTTCTTTCTAGAACATTGCCATTCACTGACGGTATCACTGGCGCCAATGTATCCACTCTAGCTGGTTTCCAATCCCTTTTTCCTGTCAACAGCATCGCAGAAAGGGATGTAAGTGACGGCAGCACCGACCGGTTGAGTACCACCTATACAGCCCCATCAAGATAATTACTTACATATGCGCCCTCGGCTTACAGAATTTCTTGCGGCCAAAGATGTTATGCTTGCAAAGGGGACAATTGTGATTCAAACGCGCGAAAGAAGCGCAACCTGTACGATCTCGAGTCGGGGCAGTCGTACGACACATATCTCGCCAGCCATCTCGATCGCGAGGTAACGAACTCCACTTTGACGCCAAAACGCCAACTCCAGGACCTTCCTTCGAAGCCGGAGGATTTGGATCTTTTCGTAGATAATTTAGCCCAAAAGAGCGTACTGTCTCTCATCCCGCCTAGAGCAAAAGATCAATACACACGTGCGCTCATGAAATACTTCTCCGATTATAAAACCAAGCGCCTCGCGATGGGCACGGCGAAAAACGAACTTACTGGGTGTACCATGCTTACAGTGGTGTCAACCCGAGCAGTCTACATGGTGAGCGGAGCATGTCTGGCGCACAATGAAACTTCCTCCAATTTAGCTGACGCATCTGGATCGACAGGGGCATTTCTACGAAAATTTAGGATTTGTCAACTACGACTACCCCAGAAACGATCCGGAGCCAGCCGACTTCACGCAAAACGTGGAGAATCTCATCCGAGGACACAAGCCGCTTTTCCGGGCTAAAGGTGATGCACTTGACGTGGCAGCCTTTACTGGGGACGGGGAGCAATGCTTTGCGGCGCTGATGGTACCGCGTTACAACACAGGAACCCAAGCAGCATATTATCCTGATCTGAACCAAAGGCTTGTGAATCTCATACTGGAATTAATCCCTGGTTGCCGCGCTGTTATTTACGAATATTGGGCACGGCCAAAGCCAAGACCTGGACATGCACTTGCGCTCTTCGAGTATGAGTCTAATGCCGACGGAAAAGGAAATGCTGATTGGCGTTTGTGGTATGAGAATGTTTACGAGCAAGCGAGCAAGTTGGGTATGCAAGTGATACCTTGATGGATGTGGTAAGCCGCAATGCAACCTGGAGGACACGATGCTCGTCCCTGCTTGTGGGACAATGTGTTTGAACGTTCTGAGGTTTGTAGATTCATAGCCAGCTTTGGAATGCTACGTGATACATGCTCTCCATCACGAGTTCTCTAATATGCCATGAGACATGCAATCAGACAATATTTACCCATCCATTCAATAGTTGTGGTCATTTGCATGGCATGGATTCAAGTAGCCCTTGGAAGATGCTGGCTGATCATGCAACGCGGCCTGAAAACAACCATATTGTCTTGCCGTAGTACTAAGCGATAATAAATATCAGACTCGCCAACCGCGTTGAGAGCATCATAGCACATAATCGTCCTAAATTCAACTCTGGAATACGACCTCGGGAGCCTAAAGTGCCCGCATTTTCGCTGATGCAAGCAAGCGGTCGTTCCACCTGACCTTCGAAGCAATTTAGGATCTTGGAAGGGTTTACCCATGAATCTATCTAGCCCCAAGATGTGGTCAGGACGTGAGCAGGCCATGCCGCCTTTGGCAAATCGTACGCAGAGTGAAGAAAGCCCGAGGCACAGAAACTTTTACACCGACAGAAGTGGACTGCTAGTCAGACGCACGCTTAGGGACGACGGCGACGCTGTCCTGCATAATGACTATCTTGCGCAGGGATTTCCAAGGGCTTTTAGAAGCCATTCATGCAGGCGGAGAGGTTCGTTGGGCGACTAGGCGCATCTCGGTTGGCCTCCCAGTAGCTACAATCGAGAAGGATCAAGGTCGCAACGCTCCAGGGCTAGCCAAGAATTTCAACAATGATACAGATCATCGCCATCATACACAGCTTGCCCTGTTTCAATGAGCAAACACTTCGAACACTGCAACGTACACTATACCCCACAGGCCACAGCGCTCAACCGTCCTTATACTTCCGCTTCCTTTAGGCCTCTCCCCACGTTCAAGCAAATGGCGGAGCCCAGCCTGGAAAAAGTGCCCAATGAGCTTTTTGATTGGATCTTGCAAAGTATCGCCATTGATGATATCTGTAATCTGCGGCTCGCCAGCCGCACTTTGAACGCCCGGGCAACGCAAGAGACCTTCTTCTCCCATTTCCGGAGCATTCGATTACATGTTAAGAAGCACACTCTTGAATCATTCGCAGCTATGACACAGGGACCGCTGGGACAAATCATCGAGGGCATCACTATTGTCGGATTCGTGTATGATTACGAAGGACTCGAGAACATCCTTGAGTCGGGCGAGCGATGGGAAGAACCGGAAGGAGACGGGACGGGTACACCACGAATTCGGGAATATACTGACGACGAGCTGGATCGTATCGAAGAAGACCTTGCGACTTTACAGCGACAGCAGGCCGAGTGCCAAGACATGTACGATAATGGCTACAGTATTGCGCTCTTGCGACAAGCTTTTACAAATATCGCCCGACATGCGCAGCATAAGTTTCGGGGTCTAACGCTCGAGGTCGCTGTCCATCATGAATCTACAACAGACTACGTTATTCCCCGCGACGCGGATCACACTGCAATCAGATTATTCCTGGAGATGGCATCAAATGTCTTCTCGCTAGTGTCGTCCGCGATTAGTGATACCCAGCTGTCCCTCGATCAGCTCGTTGTCTTTGGCAACGTACCAGCATCGATGATCTGTGGCGTGCCGTGCGAGACATTGAGCAAATATCAATGGACTGCACCAGCATATGCCCAGTTCACTACAAATCTCAAGAGTTTGACGCTCAAATTCTCAGATAGGGTCCTTGACCGTAGGAACATGGACGACGAGGCTATGAAAATTGTTCTCGCCGAGGATGCGAATTCTTCCGGGCTTCGGGATCTGCTTGCTTCGTTGATCAACTTGGAAGAGCTCCATGTATCACGATATGCGCTCTTTGCAGGGGAAAGGCTTAGTTATGATGAGTCAGAAGATCACGATCCTCTACACGGATCCCACCGAGCGGTACAACGGCGCCAAGTCCACGCAATCTTACAAGCAAGGATGGCCCGTCTTCGCACCCTAAAGCTCGGTGGAATGAATCTAGACGTCAGTGACCTCGAAGCGTTTCTCCGGGCTCACCGCGACTCGCTGCGCACCATTTCTTTCGACAACATCGGTCTTCGAGATGGCCCTGTAATTCCCCTGCTAGAACTATTAGCTAGCGAGATTCCCGGCTTGCTGGATATCAGCATGCAAGACATGGATGATGACGACGACAATGAGATGCGTTTCGAGGGAGAACCGGAGCAATCGTGTACAAGGATTAGTGGAGCCAAGCAAGGTCGAAACGCCATCCATCGATGGGGCGAGGACGCCAAAAAGGTGATTACTTTCTACCGCTGGGGGGGACCTATTGGTTCATCATATGATGTAATACAGGCAAGGACACACCGCGCGCATCAATACGGTGGTGGTAGAAGAATACATTGAGCTGCCAGTGTGCTACCGGGGAGGTACAGTCGAGTCACATGTGATCCGAAGGTGGATCAGGCTCTCGCACGATATTCATATGAAGAGAAAGCATGGAAAGTCTTTGGCGTGAAGCAGAATGACATCCGGTGTCTCCGTGCATGCGATCTAATTATGGAGATTTGATACTGCAACATTCACATCTCACAAGAGAGCTCTCCAAGACGAGGAACTCACCGATGACTACATCACATCGCTCCTAAGGTGCGTTGTAGAACGCGTAGACGAACAGGTAGCTCAAGCGGGTCATCGCTTAGCACAACTCCGCGGCCAGAAATTACGGGCGAAGCCCAACACGCTGTTTTTCCGCGACACGGACTGTCGTTATAGTATGCTACGCGCGATGCAGAGGAAGATGAGAGCCACCTCCATGAGCAACGTGCGATCGGGCAAAAAGGCAAAACATACAGCACAAGGGATTCCCACGTGGTCACCCACCGTAGTACTAATCTTGCGGTCAGCTGCTTAAATATGGGAGAGCGGACGGGATCCCTTGTTCTCAGCTGCCTATGGCCGTATGTGACAGCATTGTTCTTCCAAAGTATATATCGATTGATTCATTTCAGACACTTGTACGAGGTCGCTGCGTTTGAGAACGGAGAATGGCATCTCTTGAAGTTTGCGCAAATGACAGACCGAAGACTCCGCACTCGCGAACGACTTAATCGGGCTCGTGGAGTGGAGCCATTCAATGTAGGGTCTTCGTGAGATCCTCGCAGCAACGCATGATGCCTTCCTTACGCCGCCTGACGGTTCACGCGAGTGTAGCTCACCTCAGCGGCTACCTCCCTGCCGGCTGCGTTTGTATATCGGGGCGGACCTTCTGATTTTTCACCCTTTCACCGCTGACCTTAACACAGGCAAGGGTCTCGGTCGCATCCACGTGCGAGGTGATGTGTGCAATTTCGATGCGCTTGTCCGCAGCATGTCTCACGTTATAGTAGCCCGCAGGGCGATCCAGATCTCCTGAGATGCGATGCTTGATTTCGCGGTGTCGTCGGGCTCATGACCGAGAAAGGCCACCTTTAAATCGGTGGAACTGGCTTCGCACATCGGCAAGTCGGAGCGCATTCAGCTCTTCTTGATCGCGTTCATCAGTGCAAGTTTGCTGAACCTGGATCTTTTCATCGCCTGTGGCGATACGTCAGACGCGGAACGCGAGTCCCTGATGACTAATGCCACTTCGAGATCGTCCTACCTTCGAGCCTGTAGCGACCTTGAGACCGTTGATTTTCGAGCCATCGTCGGCAGTTTGTTAGCATGCAGATATTATACAGATGCTGCAGGCGCACTTCTGGCATCCGGTAATGTCGAATGACAGAAATTTACAGCTCTGGACCTCTCACAGGCACATCCTCCGGGGACAGTAAAGTAATGCCCCAATGCAGCAGCAGATCTGAGTCGAAAAAAAGGAGTCGGTCCCTATCGCGGGCATGACAAGCTTGTAGAGAGCATAGAAGCACCGATCGAGCGATCATTTATTTGTTGCAGCATTGTGTTCCTTGGAAGCAGGTAGTGACCATCCATTGGCGTGAACTTTTCTGAGGTCACAACGAAATCGAGCAGTCCGCCATCAGGGTAGGTGCTACACCATCACACTTTGGCCGCCCGTCGCAGCGCGCACACTGGCCCTTGGGCTTTTTGAACCTGCTCCAGCGTGTCGTCGTCTGCGTCCCATTTCTTCGCCAGCGTCATCAGGCCTCGCTTGGCCTGTCCGGCATCGCGATTCCGGTAAACGCTGTCGATTTTGCGGACATCGCGGTCGTTAATTAGCCATCGTCGCTCCTCCTCCAGAAATTTGGGATACGTCACTTCATCACCGTAGCGGCGGCGCACGTGCTCCTGTAAATGCTCCCGCACGGCCTTGTCAAGGTCAATAGCGAGCTTAGTTCGTGTAACATCCTCGGGCAGGCGGTTCTTTCCCGATGGCTTGAAGGTGACCGTTGGTCTCGTCGGGTCAGGGAGGATGGAGTATGCGGCGTAGTATAAGAGGGACGAGCTCTCAAGTACTGCCGACGAGATCTTCAAAAGCTCAGGAGGCGTGATGGCGCAGTGTCCAAGGTTGAAATACTCTAGGTGCTGCGTGATCCTCAACATCTCTGCTATAGCGGGGACGGCCTCATCGTCGATATAGTTGTAGGCCTGTTTCAAGTCCTCTGTCGTGTATGCCTGGCCCAAATCCAATGCCCGGAGGCTGGGGTGTCCCGTCAAAGCCTTGCACAGCGTAACAGCACCTTTTGTACCAACGCCGACCGATTGTAAGCTCAGACGGGTCAGTGACGATGTGCATCCTAGTGCAGCAGCGAGTGCCTCAACGCCGGCGTCGCCGAAAGGGTTTGAGCTGAGATATAACGAGTCCAAGCCGCAATGAGGCGACTTCAGAAACGAACCTATTGCTGTCGCAGCCTCAGAAGAGATGCCGTCACCGTTCAGGTAGATGTTACGCAACGGCAACTTGCTTCCCCTTGCGCCAGGAAAAGCGGCCAACTCGTTGAACAGGTCTGCGACACCGTGGTTACCCAGCTCAGTCTGGTCAAGGTCCAACGTCCGAAGATTTTTGGTTTCGGTAATAAGCCGGAATACGTCGTGCGCTGCCCCAGGTCCCAGTGGGTTTCGCTTCAGCCAGACGTTGGTCACGGCTGACGAGCTGACTATTGCGTCAACAAGTATTTTGAAGCTTGGGCCGTCGATGCAGTTACCAGCAAGGTACCAAGTGTCCATGCGGCCGGGCAACTCTCTAATGAAGTCGGCAATGGCCTGGGCACCAACGGGACCGATGATATTGTTACCCAGTAAGAAATGACGGACAAAATCGTTGCCGCGCAAGCTGTCCATAAGCTTGTAGATGTGGTCCGGCCCAACAACCATTTTGCAAAGGTCCATACGGCCGTCCTGGTATATGACGCCTTTCCGGAACTCGGCTCCTTTGACACCATAATAGGGCTCCCCCATGCCATTGTCAAGCTCCTCGCCATCACCGTGCCCGATGAGTTCGTGTGTTCCGTTAGCTTTCAGATGGCCGAAAAAGGGCGCCAGGTCCACTGCATCAGCGACTTGGACGGGCATCGGGATGGCTTTGACGCCACCGAATGATACAGGCGTCCGTGAAGGATCCCATGGACCTTGAGCAAGCATACGGCTCGACCAAACCGGCGCAGACACACCAGCCGGCGCACCGTCTGTCAGCCCGTTCGCTTTGTGGCCATTCAACTTGGTTCTGTACAGCATATCGTAGCGGCGCTGTAGAGCTGCCCAGCCGCGCAGGCACACGCGGTCAGCCTCATAGCGGATGATGGCAGCAAGAGAGCCTTCTTCGACTGGGTACAGTTGGGAAGCTATCATCGAGGCCAGCGGGCAACGGGAAGACCGCCGCCTCGGGAGCTGGTAAAACTCTTGAGGCACACGATGGGAGTCGAGCGGTAGGCCAAGAATCTCGTCGGCTGTGTAGACCTTGTTGCGGTCGAAATCGGGAAAGTAGACTGCTAAATCGTTGAGCCCTTGGCGGCACAAGGTTGCCAGGCGAATGGCTTCGTCCATATCGCCTTGCTGGTGTGAAGGCGAACGATGCAGGCTAGAACCCAAGTCAACATGAGTTGCTGTAGCCATTGTGGATGGCGCCAATGTTGTGCTGGGATGAGAGGATTGTGTCTCGGAATTAATTGTGGACGAAGTCGATGCGCTTTGCGAGTTTCCATATGATTTAAAGTGATTTAAGCAAGTGGTAGATACCTGGGGCGGAGGGCCAAGCGTAGAGTAGTGATGACTGGAAGATGACTGGAAGATACCTGGGACAGAAGGCCGAGCGTGTAGAGTATAGATGACTACCTAGGTGCCTAGGCAAACGTCTATTCTAGCAAGCCCTGGAGGATAGCCTTTACCTATCCATACGATGAGTCTTAATGCCTTCATCTAATTATAGGTACTAGGTGGATGTTGTATGCTCACTTTCGGCATGCCGAAACTCAAAATCACAGCTTGGGTTGCCTACTCCGAAGCCTCCCCCGAAGCCTCCCCCTAATCCATGGCGAGTGGCACGTTCCCAACACCATTCCATCATCCTGTCTGTTCGACCGTCCCGTTGAATGATCATCATTGGGAAAATACTTACGAGCGGCTAATGATCCGATCGTGGGCCAAAAAGAGGTGCAAAACATACAGCACAAGGGATTCCCACGTGGTCACCCACCGTAGTACTAATCTTGCGGTCAGCTGCTTAAATATGGGAGAGCGGACGGGATCCCTTGTTCTCAGCTGCCTGTGGCCGTATGTGCTCGTTGGGTGAAATTCAATGTATATATTCCTTTGACGCACCATAAGCCACGAACGCGCCAGCTCGATTGTCTCGTAGACGTCGAGTCGCATGCGACTTCACACGTAAAGTGTAGTAGATGACGACTGTCGTACCCAGGCATCGACCTGCAGGTATATGGGAGGACGTTCCACCAATAAAAAATGTATATCCGGTGGGCGAAGGACGGCTTCGTTTGCGTAATGTTGCTCACTTCTTGCGCAAAAATTCGCCGCGATCATGCCGTCTTGTGCCGAGGATTTGACCAGCGAACATGAAGTTGCTTAGCAATCAATATTGGGTTATGGACGGCGAGCTGAAGACCTTTTGCCGGTTGAACATCAGCGCATCTCACTTGTTCTACAAATTTAAGTAGTCAGGCGATCCCATTGTGAATCCAATTGCATCTTTGTTCTTTTTTTTCAGCCTTGCCGTGACAATATCATCCCATAGAGAGTAGCCCGCAGGTTTCGCCGCGCTGTGGATTCGATCCAACTTGGAAGACGCTCAAAACACGAGATAGATCGCAAGATCACAAGACATGGCGGAGAATCATCGCGCTGAAGCCGTCGAGGGCCTCTCGTTCTTCGCGCCCAAGCATGCACAGTCACCAGGCACACCTGCTTCTCCCGATGACAAAGTGCCTACCCTCTTTGCACCACTCACCATACGAGGATCGACCTTGAAGAATCGAATCGTCGTCGCTCCCATGTGCCAGTACTCTTGCGCGGAGGCCGGACCGTCCGTCGGCGCACTGACTCCGTATCACGTCGCCACGCTGGGCCATTACGCACTCAAGGGAGCAGCGCTCGTTTTCATCGAAGCGTCAGGCGTTCAGCCCAACGGCCGCATTTCCCCTCACTGTCCTGGTATTTGGAGCGACAGTCAAATCCCCGGCATCTCGAACGTCGCGGAGATCTGTCACAGCCAGGGCGCTCTAGTTGGATTGCAGCTGGCGCATGGTGAGCGCTCTCTGATAACTTCCGAGTGATACATTGCGGCTAACACGGGGCAGCCGGGCGAAAGGGTAGTACAGCAGCCCAATACGTCTGCGCCAGTCATCGTAAGCCAAGTCTTCGAGCGTCGAAGGAGGCTGGTGGCTGGCCTGAAAATGTCGTTGGCCCCTCTGGCGGCGACGAGCACAGCTGGGACGGCAAGCGTGACGATGATCCTGAGGGGGGATTCTATGCTCCACGAGCTCTGAGTGAGTCAGAGATACAAGATCTGGTCAAAGATTGGGCGCAAGCAGCAAAACGTGCCGTCCGGGCAGGGGTGGACGTGATCGAGATTCATGGTGCACATGGAGTAAGCTGAGTTTTTCTGACTGTCTGATATTGTGTGCTAATCGTTGCCGTACAGTATTTAATCCATCAATTCTTGAGTCCTGTTACCAATCGCCGAACCGATAAATATGGAGGATCGTTCGAGAATCGAACGCGCATTCTCATTGAGGTCATCAAGGCGGTCCGAGCTGCAATTCCAGACGAAACTCCTCTGTTCCTTCGGCTGAGTGCAACAGAATGGCTGGAGGACACCGACCTCGCCAAGCAGTATGGCAGCTGGGATCTCGAGAGCACGATCCAGCTCGCGAAGATTGTGGCAGATCTCGGCATTGATCTTCTCGACGTTTCCAGTGGTGGCAACCACCCTCAACAGCAGGCCAATCTGTTCAGCAATCTCAAATCTGGTTCATTGGATTATCAGACGAAGCTCGCTGCACAGATTCGACGAGAATTACGCGCCGCCAACAAGAATATGCTGATCGGTGCCGTCGGTCTAATCACCGAGGCGGATCAGGCTCGAGATCTCCTTGAGCCCGCCAGCGTGACCATCAGCGAGGAAGCAGCGGCCGCCAAGCAAATCACCGACACGACCGAAGGCAAAGAGCCGTCTGCTGACCTCATCCTGGTTGCGCGACAGTTTATGAGAGAGCCAGAGTGGGTATTGAAAGTCGCATGGAAGCTGGGAGTGGACATTGCTTGGCCCAGTCAATTCCTTCGTGTACGTTTCCCAAAATTGTGAGGGATCACGAGAAAGAAATGAGGGCTTGCAATCCAGACAAGAGGACAACAAATAGATCGAACTACAGCGATGATTTCATGATGGTTATATCGCAATGGCTCTGCTGCGATTGATACAAGCACATTTGGTCCGCCATGGATGGGTCAAACGACGTCCGCGTGTTACAAGCCCGGATCATCAGGTGTGTTTGTGAGGAGTATCTTAATCTCACACGAGGGTGATGATCATAACCCTTATCATGCCTATGGAAAGAGGAACGACGTCATTGGTAAAATTTTGGGGCCGCGGGGAATGACCCCGCCTATATACGTCAGGGTCCAGAATGTCATCAATCGCATGTGAAATTCGTCGAACAGCTGCATTCTGCTGTTGAGTATGAGGCACAGTCAAAAGGAAACCGGCGGCACTTGCTATACACTCCAGCCTCCAGCCTGCTCGAAATTGATGGAAATGCCCTGCTGAGATGTTTGCTGGCCGCTTGTGAGCTATTGTAGGGCAGATCGTCAGAGCAATGGCAATGCCGATGCGTATGTGGTACTGTATCCGCACCCGTGCACCGATAGAGAGGCTTCAGGTGGTGCTCTGTTGTACACCTGGGCAATAGGTAATGCACATTGCTAGTCGCAATCCCACAAATCTACGAGGCATGCCTTTTTCGATAATATTGGAATGGAGAGTTCAATTCAAGGGTCTAGATCTCCAGGGCTCGCTACCATCATACCTGCGTGGTTGAGTCCCTGGGCAGGAAGGAGTAGTGTGATAAAATTAAAGAGCTCACCGGGAGCAGCTAGTGTCAGCAATACAACATCGTCTAGTATGCAACTCTGGAGGTGCGCGTTACGAGGAACCCGTCATCAACCTTCACACTTCTTACACGTCTTGACTTCTTGATCACCAAACAACGTTGTCCTGGCGTTACCATCGTGAGAAACTCGTCAGCATGACACAAAATTCTACCCTTCTTCTGGTCTGCCTCCTGGCGCTCGTGTTCATCCCTTCGGTCAGCGCATTCGGTGCTGGCAACATCGCATCAGTCTCGAACATAGAAGGTCACAATTGGCGACATGGCGACATCGAAGATCTCCTGGCCACAGTGGCATTTATCAAAGGACACAAGTGGACCAGCATGATGGTCAAGCGAGTCTACTTTGGCAATTGGCTTCGCGATTATAGCCAGGCTGTCGACGTCGGTACCTTGAAAGGTGTTCAGGCCGACACCATCCGAGTCCTGATCTGGGTCCTGGCTTTCATGAGCTTTGGCTACGCCACCGAAGAATTCGAGGTGACCGCCGAGAGGCTCGGAGTTTACCGTCCAGAAGAGCACATTGACAACCCCAAGGATTACGCCGATAACGTAGATGCTAGGAAATTTGATGCGCGGTTGCGCGGACCTATCCAGCCCATTGAGCTGGCCATCGACCCGAACACCGGCATGAAGAACTACATTGCCAACGAGCAGGGAGGCTGGGCGACATCGGTGGGATACATAAAGTACAGCTTCGCTCGCAGCATCCACTTCGGTCGCTTGTATACCCATGGCGCGAATAAAGGACGGGAGGAAGATCTTTGCGAAGCTCTGCGATGTCTGGTATGAGTAGTCGACCATGCGACATCAAATGAACGGGACTGACAGATAATGCAGGGTCAAGGATTGCACTGTGTTGAGGATTTTGGTGCTCACTCGAACTACGTCGAGCTTGCTCTTCGCGAGCTTGGATACAACAATGTTTTCCCGCATGTCGGAGCCCAGAGCATGATCAACCTTCGTGGCAAGCGAGTGTTTCCGCTTGTGACTGGTACTTTCGGTGGAGTCGACTTTCTACACTCTGTTCTCGGTGAAGGTAACACTCAGCAATCTGTACAATTGTTTGACACATAGCTAACACTTGAATGCGCAGTAACCGATCATGTTACTCAGACAGAGGTGAACCAGTCGGAAGTGGACCAATTGAATGCAGCGCTCAACAACGCAAGTGCATCTCAAAACCGTGGCTTCGGAGATTCCTCGAGCAGAGCATCCCCGCTCACAGATTTGCTTGCTTCCATTCCCGGCACTGGCGGTTTGATCCAAGAAGCAATCAGCCTGCAAGCGGCCTCTGACGCCCAAGCCGCCGAGAACACGCGCGCAGAGCAGAGTCGAGGCGCCGACAACGCCTACGTGCCGTACGATGGCAACTTCAATCGTACACGCGCAGATGCTGGAGGCAGTAACTTCGCTGCACCGCCCGGTTCTCAGGGTGGACCACCGGGCCCTGGTATCCCGGGACTGAGCACAAATATCGACCCTCAAGCGGCAGTCGCCAAAATTTATCCGATCTTGGCTTTCCGTGACAAGGTTGTGCGCTCCATCGCTAGTATCGTCAGCAAGATCCCGGGCTTGGAGAGGGTGATCGAAACCATCTCCGAGAAGGTAACACTATTCGTCCTCGGCTTGCTGGCACCCTTCGTAAAACCCATCATCGCGACTGCTTCAAACGCACTGAAGACCGGCAGTGGAACAGTTGTCGATGCCAGTGCCAAGCAGCAATACCTGGTATGGACCGACCCAACGAGTACAGATCCCACACACAGCATGTTATCAAAGGACCACTTCAGCAACGTCCTCAACTCACCAGCCGGGCAAATTGCTGGCGCCATGCTCAAATATGTAGCGCCTCGTGTTGTCTATGGGTGGGATCATCCTGAAGTGCCCGAGAGTGATATCCTCAACGACATCAGTCGCTGTTTCCACCACCCGGCAATTCGAGACAACAACCTTGAAATACACCGATCGATGTACAGCGTCGTCGAAAAATGGGCGCACTCCAGACCGATCGATGGCAAGGATCTCAACAGCGTGCTCAGCTCGGACAGTGTGCGTGCTGGCAAGAACCACATTGTTGCAAACATGCAGCAGAGCCTCCAGCCGCTGTCGCAGAACATCCAGAGTGGCTTCCAACCATTGACGTCAAGTCTACAGGGCATCATGGGCGGTGGCACCTCCAGTCACAGCCACACCGCGGGCGGCGTCTTTAACATGCTGTCTGGCTTCACCGGGAAACGCGAACTTGGCCCAGAGGATTTCGAACCTACCCAGCACGGACAGTCTGCTTCTGGGTACGGCGGTGGCCCATCTCAGACGTATGAGAACCCATCATGTGGACAGCAGCCACAACAATACAACTATGGTGGAGGCGAGCAGGGAGGATATGGACAGCAGGGTGGCTATCAACAAGGTGGTTATCCAGGCAACAGCGGGCAGCAAGACTACCCCGGCAGTGGTGGCTACGGCAGGTACTGATTTTAGATACATTGAGCACGGCGGCGTCGAGGCGCTTGTAGAAAGGGAAAATATTTTCCTTGGTAGCTGTAGCTGTAGCGCGGGAAGCTGTGCTTTTTCGACATGAGTTCTGTTCAAGAGACTGTTGGTGTATATTTTTTTTCAATTCCAAACTTGACAAGAGTTTTGTCTCCTCTGGACATCGATCGGATCCCGGCTATCGTCTGACGAATTCATCTCACACCGTATGTGTTTTTGCAATCCTGTCGTTACAGGCGGTGAACGAGTGATCACGGACGATTGAATCATTAGAGTGCACCAGATGGGAGAGAAAGTTTCGTAGTGACGTCGCCCTCGCATGATGGTCGCGTGCCGCACGGACAGGCAAGAGATCCCTGGCTCTCCACTGGTGCGGGACGAGGTGAACATCCCACAATTCATCGCACGAGGAGACTGGCAGAGAATGGGAATTTCAGATGCCGTGGGCATTGAATATGTCGAGCCAGAGCAGAGACTATATGGTTGGAGGGTATCGCAGTGGTGAATTTGTGAGATGGCTCAACACGTTTGAGACTTCATTTATCGATGTCCAGCTCGATTATATATCCCTGTGGGCTACTTCCCAGGGATTGGCCCAGGCGAGTGTGGAGTAAGAAAAGTCCATGCCGATGTGCAGCAGCAGCAGCAGCAGCAGCTAGAGTCGGAAGCGCGACGCCGTGTGGCCATGCCTTTCTTTGGTCTACTACTTACTATACACAGCAAGAACACTGGAGAAAAAAGCTTCACGATCACGGGAGAGTATTTATTAAGCCAATGTTGCTCGACATCACCATGACCTGACCAGTGTATGAAGCAGCAGTGCACGCCTCGTCGTCGGTCTAGATGCTCGCACTCGCACTCTTGTATGGTATCCTGTTGCCATTGAGTAAGAGAAAGAAATTTTGGAGTCTTGGTTGACAGGCACACAGGGTACATACATTACACCTGCAGTCTTCACAGTCCGATATGCACAAATCCCACGTTGGTGGAGAGAGGGAGACAGACGAGGTGGTCAGAGCTTCTCGTGCTTAAGGTACATTTTCTCGATCTGGAACCGACCTGACCTTGCGAAGTGACGGAAAAATACCCTTGCGGCTTGAAGGCATTGGTGGAGGAGGACTACTGCTGAACAAACACCACTATCTCCACTAGTAGTACCATGCTATAGGCCAGAAGAAAAAAAAATGAGCGGGCGGCAGAGCAGCGAAAGGGCCCATTCTGCGGGAAGAAGAAAAGTTTACCCCAAAGGCTGCGTCAGGGCCCCCCATCAAATCATTACCCAGAGCGTCCATGGTAGAGAGGCAGTCTCTCGGTTCAGACACCACGACCGCCGCCATATCTAGTAGAGTTTTCCTTCTTCTGCCTCTCTCTCTCCTCTCTTTTGCTCTTTCTATATCAACCTTCAACCAGTTGATCCACCCTCGTTTGTGTCTCCAGCAAACACATCTCTTGTACTCCTCCATTGACGGTCTCGCTTGCAGACCACAGAGAGGATTTTCGTCATGTCGAGCCAGGAGAACGGGCCCATGATGGCCCTTGAGGTCAAGAATGGCAACGACGCCATTCGTTTCTGCGAAGGGCAGAGCTTCGGTGCTCCACGCAGCGTTGCCGGTGAATTGGTCTTCCAGACCGGCCTGGTTGGTTACCCAGAGTCCATCACCGACCCTTCATATCGAGGCCAGATCCTTGTCATTACCTTCCCGCTCGTGGGAAACTACGGTGTCCCTCCCCGAGAGGACCGTGACGCCATCCTCAACGATCTGCCCGCTCACTTCGAAGCCGCCGAGATTCACATTGCAGGTTTGATCGTCGCCTCATACTGCGGCGAAGATTACTCCCACCACCTAGCCAGCTCTTCATTGGGTCAATGGCTCAAGCAGCAAAACGTCCCGGCCGTGTGCGGTGTCGACACTCGAGCCTTGACGAAGAAGATCAGAGAAAAAGGAAGCATGTTGGGACGCCTGCTTCTGCAGACGGGCACCAAGCGTATACTGAGCACCGCCAACACCCAGAGCGGAGCCATGACGCCGAATGGCTCGGGCACGCCAGCGGTGACACCCGGAGTAAATCTGGGAGCTGTCAACACTGCGCTGACACCTGCCGCTCGCCTGGCGGGAGCCAACGGTGCCGCTGGATACTTCAGCAAGTCCATCGAAGTTCCCGTCTACGAGGAGATCGAATGGTTCGACCCAAACACCAAAAACTTGGTTGCTGACGGTAAGCGTGCCTTGCCTATATTATTCTCCCATAGTAGTAGTCTGCAGAATCTGATATTTTCTCTCAGTCTCAATTTCCAAACCCAAAATTTACTCCCCCAGCCCGTCGATTGCGTTGCATCATCCGTCTGGTAGACCTGTTCGTGTTGTATGCGTTGATGTTGGTCTCAAATACAATCAATTGCGATGTCTCATCAACCGCGGAGTCGAGGTCGAGGTCGTGCCTTGGAACTACGATTTCCCAAAGCTGGCCGGCAAGGAATACGACGGTCTCTTCATCTCCAACGGCCCAGGTGATCCAGCGATCATGGCCGAGACGGTCGCACACATCAAGGCAACACTGGAGGAAGCTCGAGTGCCCATCTTCGGCATTTGTCTTGGACATCAATTGCTTGCCCGCGCAGCCGGCGCCGGCACTGTCAAGATGAAGTTCGGTAACCGTGGACACAACATTCCCTGCACAAGTTTGCTCTCGGGCAAGTGTTACATCACCTCGCAGAACCACGGTTACGCCGTCGATGTCGCGACCCTCAAGGACGGCTGGGACGAGCTCTTCGTCAATGCCAACGACAACAGCAACGAAGGTATCCGGCACGTCTCACGACCATACTTCAGTGTGCAATTTCACCCCGAAAGCAACCCCGGACCTCGAGACACAGAATTCCTCTTCGATGTCTTCATTGACACAATTGTGAAGACGATCAAGGACCCCAGCAACATGCAGAAGCCCGTCACCTTCCCTGGTGGTGATATTCGAGACAACGAAGCTGCTGCACCCCGAGTCAACGTGAAGAAGGTGCTCGTCTTGGGTAGCGGTGGTCTCAGTATCGGTCAGGCAGGAGAGTTCGACTACTCCGGAAGTCAAGCCATCAAGGCTTTGAAAGAGGAGGGCATTTACACAATTCTCATCAACCCGAACATCGCCACCATTCAAACCTCCAGAGGTCTTGCAGACAGGGTATACTTCCTCCCAGTCAATGCGGAGTTTGTGCGCAAGGTCATCAAGGCGGAGAACCCAGACGCCATCTACTGTACTTTCGGTGGACAGACGGCTCTCAAGGTCGGAATCGAGCTCAAGGATGAGTTCGAGGCGCTCGGCGTCAAAGTCTTGGGAACACCAATCGACACTATAATCACTACCGAGGATCGTGAGCTGTTCGCCCGAAGCATGGACTCGATCGGTGCGCCTGTCGCGAACTCGAAATCGGCCAACAACATCACTGAAGCTGTCGAGGCTGTCGAGTCCATCGGATACCCCGTCATCGTTCGAGCCGCTTTCGCTCTCGGTGGTCTGGGTAGTGGATTCGCGGACAACAAGGAGCAGCTTCTCGAGATTTGCAACCGTGCCTTTTCGGTCAGTCCCCAAGTGCTCATCGAGCGCAGCATGAAGGGCTGGAAAGAAATCGAGTACGAGGTTGTCCGTGACGCTCAGGACAACTGCATCACTGTGTGCAACATGGAAAACTTCGATCCTCTCGGAATCCACACCGGTGACTCGGTCGTCGTGGCGCCATCTCAAACTCTGTCCGACGAAGACTACAACATGCTCCGTACCTGCGCTGTCCGTGTGATTCGTCACCTCGGCGTTGTCGGAGAGTGCAACATTCAATATGCTCTGAACCCCAATAGCCGCGAGTTCTGCATCATCGAAGTTAACGCCCGTCTTTCGAGATCCTCTGCATTGGCATCCAAGGCGACAGGTTATCCTCTTGCATTCGTCGCCGCCAAGCTGGGTCTCAACATTCCTCTTAACAAGATCAAGAACTCGGTCACCAAGGTGACTTGTGCCTGTTTCGAGCCCTCGCTTGATTACGTTGTTGTCAAGATTCCTCGATGGGATCTCAAGAAGTTCCGCCGTGTCTCAACCCTGTTGGGCTCTTCTATGAAGAGTGTTGGAGAGGTTATGGCTATCGGTCGAACCTTTGAGGAAGCTCTGCAAAAGGCTATTCGTTCAGTCGACCCAAGCAATCTCGGATTCCACCAAACCTCTCAAGACACCCTCGTCACTTTGGACCAGGAACTCCAGACTCCCTCCGACCAGCGCATGTTTGCGCTCGCAAACGCCATGCACAGCGGTTACACTGTTGATAAGATCTGGGAGCTGACAAACATCGACAAGTGGTTCCTCCGTAAGCTCAAGAAACTCAGCGACTTTGGTCATCTCATGTCTGATTACACTGTCGATAACATCCCCACTCCGCTCTTCCGACAAGCCAAGGAGATGGGTTTCTCCGACAAGCAACTGTCTCTGTTCTGGGACTCGAACGAGCAGCATGTTCGACGCGCCCGTCTTGAGGCCAACATTGTGCCATGGGTGAAGCAGATCGATACCGTTGCTGCGGAGTTCCCCGCTTTTACCAACTACCTCTACCTCACCTACAACGCAAGCGAACACGACATCAAGTTCGAGGATCGTGGCGTTATGGTCTTGGGTTCTGGTGTATACCGTATCGGATCTTCTGTCGAATTCGATTGGTGCTCTGTCCGCGCCGTCAGGACGCTCCGAGAGAGCGGACACAAGACTGTCATGGTCAACTTCAACCCCGAATGTGTCTCCACCGACTTCGACGAGGTCGACCGCTTGTACTTTGAGAACATCACCATGGAGACTGTCCTTGACATTTACCAGTTCGAGAATGCAAGCGGTGTGATCGTTTCCATGGGTGGTCAGATCCCGAACAACATCGCCCTGCCACTGTTCCGTGCCAACGTCAAGATTCTTGGAACTTCACCAGAGGACATTGACAAGGCCGAGAATCGATACAAGTTCTCCCGCCTGCTGGATCGCCTGGAGGTTGACCAGCCCGAGTGGAAGGAATTGACCAGCATCGAAGAGGCGAAGGAGTTCTGTAACAAGGTCAAGTACCCCGTGCTGGTCCGACCGTCATATGTGTTGTCTGGTGCTGCGATGAACACTGCATATTCAGAAGCGGATCTCGCTGGCTACCTCGCACAAGCCGTCGATGTCTCTAAGGATCATCCTGTCGTCATCACCAAGTACATCGAGCACGCCAAGGAGATCGAGATGGATGCTGTCGCCCGCAACGGCAAGATGATCGGTCACTTCATTTCTGAGCACGTCGAGAATGCAGGAGTGCACTCCGGTGATGCTACCTTGATCCACCCACCGCAAGACTTGGATCCCGAAACCATCCGCAAGATCGAGGATGCCACGCGGAAGATTGGTGACGCGCTCAATGTGACTGGTCCGTACAACATTCAGTTCATTGCCAAGAACAACGAGATCAAGGTGATCGAATGTAACGTTCGTGCGTCACGATCCTTCCCATTCGTCTCCAAGACCACTGGACTCGATCTCATCGAGATGGCGACCAAGGCGATTACTGGGACTCCTGTCCGCGAATACCCTCCCACCAACATGCCTTCCGATTTCGTCGCCGTGAAGGTCCCACAGTTCTCCTTCTCGCGATTGGCGGGTGCCGACCCTGTCACTGGTGTTGAGATGGCCTCAACTGGTGAAGTCGCATGTTTTGGTCGCACGAAGTTTGAAGCTTACATGAAGGGTCTCATCTCGACCGGGTTCCGACTTCCCAAGAAGAGCATTCTCCTGTCCATCGGATCGTTCAAGGACAAGCTGGAGATGCTCGAGCCAGTTCGCAAGCTCCACAACCTTGGTTTCAAGCTCTACGGTACTTTCGGCTCAGCTGATTTCTTCAAGGAGAACGACATTGATATTCAGTTCGTGGAAGACCTCAACTCGGGTGACCAAAAGGATGAGTACTCCCTCACTCACCTCCTCTCCACCGGATTGATCGACCTCTACATCAACTTGCCGTCCAACAACAAGTTCAGACGTCCGGCCAACTACATGAGCCGAGGTTACAAGACTCGTCGTATGGCTGTCGATTTTGACACACCGCTGGTGACTAATGTCAAGATCGCGAAGATCCTCATTGAAGGTCTTGCCCAGAAATACGACTTCAGCATCAGTTCTTTGGACAGTCAAGTCTTCAACCAGGTGCCTCTCGTTCCTGCTATCCTCCCGTCTGCAGGGCCCTCGCCATCCTTGCCCGATCTGCTCGCACAGTCGGCACTGAAGGGCAAAGACATCGTCTCCGTCAGGCAATTCACAAGGGATGACTTGCATCTGCTCTTCACCATCGCTGCCGAGATGCGCCTTCGCGTCGCCCGAGAGGGTGTCCTCGACGTGCTCAAGGGCCGGGTGCTGTGTTTGATGTTCTTCGAACCTTCAACCCGAACTTCATCCTCCTTCGATGCCGCCATGAAGCGCCTTGGTGGCGCCACTATCATGATCAACGAGTCCCAGTCAAGCACACAAAAGGGCGAGTCTCTCGAAGACACCATCCGCACCCTTGATCAATACGGCGATGCCATCGTGCTCCGTCATCCCGACAACGACAGCGCCGAGACCGCCGCACGCTATTCCGACCACCCCGTCATCAATGCTGGTAATGGCACTCGCGAGCACCCGACCCAGGCGTTGCTCGATCTGTTCACGATCCGTGAAGAGTTGGGTACCGTTAATGGCCTGACCATTACCTTCACCGGCGACCTCAAGAACGGCCGCACCGTCCACTCCCTGTGCGAGATTCTGAAGCACTACAACGTGACCATCCAACTCGCAGCTCCGGCATCGCTCGCCTTGCCCAGCAAGGTCCGCGCCGCGCTTTCCGCCCGAGGACAGCTTGGCACCGAGTCGGAGCGCCTCACCCAGGAGATGATCGCCAACACCGACGTCCTCTACTGCACTCGCGTGCAGAAGGAACGCTTCGAGGACCTCGCTGAGTACGAAGCCGTCAAGGACGAGCTCATCGTCAACGCCAAGACCCTTCGTGATGCGAAGAAGAACATGATTGTCATGCACCCGCTCCCGCGCAACATGGAGTTGCACAAAGACGTCGACGACGACCCGCGCGCAGCCTACTTCCGACAGGTAAGTCCCTCTTTCGTGATCTTGCCGGGGTCTGATGCTAACGATGTCACTACAGATGAAGTACGGCATGTTCGTCCGCATGGCCCTCTTGGCGCTCGTCATGGCACCGTAGAGGAAAGGTTCAATCGCTTCACGATGGGTGAGAGACCTCGAGATCGAATGCATAGCGATGGCGTTGGAAGAGTGCTTTGTTGTCCCGTCCAAAAGTACAATTTGATTAGCAAAAGAATGTATGATGATGAAATACGTATGACGATCAACCTGCTATGATATATCGCGACTCCTCGCGAACCACTGTAGCTCGTGGCGAATAGACATTGTAAAAGCGAGCGTGCAGGATGTGTCTAGTCAGCACGAAGACCAATTCTTCCATTCGCCTGATTGACTCCTGTATCTATCCTTGAACTAGCTTGGGGAGCGGAACTCCGATAGGCACAAGCACGCCCAATGTGGCACAGCAAAGCCTGAGAGCAAAAGTAATGATTCTCCCTCCACCTCAAGACGTGCAACTTTCGACCTGCTCTCACAAGCAAAAGCTAAACCTCACAGGAGGACAGATGTAAGCGCTCCGTCAAGCGGAAAGCAGGTTGCAGGTGTCAAGAAGATAGAACGATGTTATCCGAAGTGCAAAAAGTGATTCTCCTTGCGAGATTCGAACTCGCGACTTTCGCATAACCTCATGTAGGGCAAAGGCCATATTAGTCCCGTGGGGCAAATATAAGAACGACACGCTAAGCCACTGCGTCAAAGGAGAAAAGTTTTGGGTATCAAAGTTGTCACGTCTGACCACCACAATCAAGGAGCTGCGCAATTTGAATGTCGTATATATTGTGCAAAGTTATGCATGATGTCATGAGTCACTCAATGCGCGAATGCTTGCATGTCTCATTGGCATTGAGTGCGCGTTGGATATTCATTCAAGATGCCCGAAAATAATACATCGTCCATTCGTCTAGGATTTCAAGAACAAGCAGCGCGCGGAAATGCTTTGTGCTCTTGGCTCTGTCCCGAGTTGCGAGAGTGATGATGAACGATGATAGGCTTGAGATTGCGGCGGCCGTGTATCGTTACATCGGACGGCCACGCCAAGAGGTGATCCTCGCATCGTGAGACGCCCCGCCCAACTCCCAAGGCGCCGTTGGGTGCGCGGCAAGACCGGGGCGATGCCCGGGCGTGGGTTGGAGGCAGTTGCTTGTCCGGAGGAGACTCCCTAAAACGTGCAGCGCAGGGACTTTGCTTATCACGCCACAATGCACAAGCTTTCAGCCCTGAGAGGATCATTATCTGGTTCGCGAATTCGTTAGGTTCAAATACCGAACGTGGAACAAACTTTTGACTCTTCGAAGCGAACCTTGCTCTCCACAAACCTCTTGCATAGACATAGAACCATGTTTGTCAAATCATTGGCAATCGTCGCCGTCGCGGCGGTCGCGGCGGCGGTACCGACGACAGCTCCGTCATACCAGAACAAGAACGGCACCAAGTCGACGCGCCCCAAGGTCATCCTCGACAATGACTGGGGCACCACGGGCTTCATCCCCATCCTGCAAGCTCTCAAGGCCAACTGGGATGTCGTCGGGGTCGTGTCGGACACCGCGAACTCGTGGGCGTTGCAATGCGGGCTCCACGCGTTGGCCACGCTCGAGATAGGCAACCTGAGCTGCATCCCGGTGTACAAGGGCAGCGACTATCCCATCCTGAACACCCCCGAGCTGTTCCAGACCTGGGAGCTGGTGCACGGCGAGCTGCCGTGGCAAGGCGCCTTCGCCCCAGAGAACCTCACCAACGAGGCGCTCGGCAACGACCCGACCAGCGGCGACCCGAACCGCATCTCCAAGGCGGCCCTCTACGAAGGCTACCCCAACACGACCTTCGCGTCGAACACGCTGTCGGGCGCGGAGTTCATGGTGCAGCAGGTGCGCAAGTACCCCGGCGAGATCACCATCTACAGCGCGGGCGCGCTCACCAACATCGCGCTGGCCGTGCGGCTCGACCCGACGTTCGCGCGGAACACGCGCGGCCTGATCATCATGGGCGGCTACCTCGACGTGAACCTGCTGATGACGACGGGCAGCGTGCTGCTGGCGGACCTGCAGAGCGACATCAACCTGATCATCGACCCGGAGGGCAGCAAGATCGCGCTGGGGGCCGACTTCCCCAACATCACGGTCACGGGCAACGCCGCGAACCAGGTGATGAGCGACCAGGGCTTCCTGGACGAGATCCACCAGGTGCGGAACGCCTACACGGACCTGGTGCACAAGTACTACGGCACCATCTTCCCGTTCTGGGACGAGACGGCCGCGGCCATCATGGTCGACCCCAACATCGTCACCAACAGCACCGACTTCTACGTCGACGTCGACACCAGCTACGCCTCGCCCAGCTACGGCAACATCCGCGCCTACCAGAAGGCGCTGGCCCCCAAGGCGCAGACTCTGAGGAAGATCAAGTATCCCTTGAGCATCGACGGCGCCAAGCTGAAGGCGGCGATCAAGGCGAGTCTGCAGTACCCGCCGCAGATCTGCCCGAAGAAGGCGTGACGCGGACGAGATGGGGGTCGGCGGCGGCGATCCAGTGTGATGACCCGGCGATGCGTGTCTCATGAGACAATGACGTGCATGATACAGGCGTACGTAGGGATTCATGTGGGGCATGAATCTAGAAAATAAATAAATGCTCATGAACATATTTCTTTTCCCACGTTTCTTCCTTTACCATCGGATCGCAAGTGACGAATTCGTCTCACTTGAGCTATAACGCGTATCGTTATCGTTTCCGATCAAGCTATCTGTCACATTATGTCATAACATTTGCCAGTTCAACTCATACTTCAAGGTATAATGTAAATAAACCTCCGCTTCCCCTCCAGTGTCCATTGATTCGTCTATGAGATGAAAGTGGCCTCGATGAACGAAGGTCCCGTCTCCTGCGCTTGCTGGGTACCGGCGATGTTCAACGTCGACTCCGGGCCATATTGGTAGATGTAAGGCTGGGTGCCCGAGGCGCTGACGGCGATGTTCTTCACCAAAGTGGGCAGTTCTCCCATGATGTCGATGAGATCGAGACGGGTACCCACGGGACCGGTGCGGGTGGCGGTCGAGCCTGCACCGCCGATGATGAAGGTGGCGTCGGTGGGCACGGGAAGCTTGTTCTTCTTGTCGACCTGGGTGGCATCGTGCTTGACGCTGGTGGCGGGCGATGCGCCCGCGAAGAGGATCTCGCCGTCCTTGGCGACACCACCAACGCTGACCACGGTGTTTTCATAGGCGGGAGGGGTGATGAACTCCATCAAGATGGCGGAGTAGGTAGGGCCCTGGAAGGTGAAGAAGTTCCATCGCGAGGCTGTTGCAAGGACAACATCAGCGAATGCATTTGACGTCATTTCATCGAGCACCATGATATGTTGGACTTACCGGCAAAGTGTGGCTTCATCCCCTGGAGGGCGTAGGCGTACATGCCGCGACCCTTGACATCCACCACGGTGCCGTTGCCACTGATTGAACCGGTGACGGTGCAGCGAGGCCAGAAGTGGTGGACCATGCGACCCCACGGGGCGGCGGGATCGGTGCCAAAGGTGGTCGTGCCATTGGCTCCAACCTTGAAGCCTGGTGCAGCCTGTGTGAAGGTGAGGTCCGCGCTGACCTTGGTGTTTTGAGTCTTCAGGTGGTAGCTCTTGCCATCGGCGCTGATGGTGGCCGAGCTGTAGTCGCCCTTGAAGTCCGCCTTGTCGTCGGACCACGACCACGACTTGAGCTCATCGGTATCCCAAAGCACGACCTTGTCGCCCGCCTTTTTCGGGAAGATCTTGACGTTGACGGTGGTGGTCTTCTTCATGCCCCTGTAGGTGGACGAACACTTGCTGTCAGCACAAGCCATAGCCAGGAAACGGTCCCATGTGACGTCCGGGTCCTGAGATCCAAGCCCGAGGGGAACACGTACAACAAACTGCTGTATACAACCTGGAACATGCAGATCTGTCCGTCGTCGGTGAAGACGTAGAAGGTCTTGGTCTCGACATTGGTCTCCTCCAGCAGAGTCCACTTGTGATCATCGCGGGTAGTGAGGGTGTAAGGAGTAGCCGAGACCTGCTCGCCGACGGATTGCACGGCGGCAGCACCGTGCATCTCCTCCTTGAGGCCCAGTCCCTTGCGCGCCCAGTTCAACATGTTGCCGGTGGGAAATGTGATTGAGGTTGATGTACGAAGTTGTATGGAAGAAACGAAGTGGCGGTTCACAGGAAAGAGCGGGAGAGAAAGAGGAGATGGTGATTGTAAACTCGAGAGCGGTGACGGTAGCTGGCCAGGTGTAGATCAAACGGAGCGCCGAGCTAGAGCAGCAGCAGCAGCAGCATAAACTGGTGGGTGAGCTCTGGCGGCGGAACAGTGCGCGCACATATTAAGTCCTCCACTACCACTACCACTACCACTGATGAACTAGGCATTATTGTTTGGGAGAAACAGCGATCGACAGCGCGCGGTGCATTCTCTGACAGTGCGGGACATGCAAAGTGTGTGTGTATGTGTGTGTGTGTGTGTATGTACTCGGATTCTCCTCATCAATCTGCACGCCCGCATGTGTGAGCGAGTCCCTCCTACGACAAGGGAAGCGCAATGTGTACAGATAGATCTAAGGGTTTTAGTTTAGGTTGAGTACCCAGGTGGTATCTTAGACAGTCAGTCAGGGTCATCAAACAGGAGAAGAAAGATGCGCGTGATACATACCGCTGGAGTATGTACACCCATTTTTGGAGGCGAGGAAGAAAAAAGACACCCTGCAGGGTCCTGGAGAACTGGAGAACTGGAGAAAGCTTTCCCTCGATTGGGGACACACCCGCAGCACTCAACATCAACCCAGCACCAACATGGCAAGGCCGGCGCACAACCCGACCGAAACCATCTGCAGTCCGCAGGCTCCACCGAATGATTCCACTGATTCGATGCATCGCTACGGCGACAACACGCCGACGAAGCAGAGACATTGGAACTCATCATGCCGCTGAGCCCTTCGTGCGGTTGACTGACATCTGTATAGTAATACCAGGTCAGTATCTTTATCTCCAGTGGGGATGAATTTGTTGCAGAGGACGAGGGGCAATCTCCAACCGTCTCCCACTCTCATGAGATTGGGTGGGGTATCTGCAATGTGTTCCAGATAGGTTTCTTGTGGGATTAGGGTTGCCGATGCTGCCTTTCTTTACCCCGCTGCTGTATGATGCGGAGTAGTAATCTGCGAGACAGAGGACAGCAACATCCCTCAATGCCTCTCTGGACTTGCTTGATATCACGTATATACTCCGATGCAACACAGAAGAGGGGAGAAAGAACACGTATATACCTGGTGTATGCTTCGAATACAAAGGTTCGCGATTTATCCACATCGGGAAACAGAGGCGTTGGCGATCACCTCTTTTCAACAGAAATGCGGGGTTTACATAACGCGGGGAACCCCAACGCGGTCCATACCCCAACGCGGTCCAAGGCATCAAAGAGCATAGCATTCAACAATTGATTGCTCTACCAATTATTGTTGAAATACCTTCAAATTGAAAAACATGGTAGGTCAATACTAACTCTTATGATACACAGGTTCTTGCGTTATGGTCTGGACGGCCACACTTGCTACACTTTCTAATACGCTTCACGGGCCTCGGCATCTCCTCCTGGATTTGTGCTTCTACCTCCTCTTGTTCAACAACGTACTGCATTTCAGGAAAGGACAAGGCATTCTCTGTAGTGAATGCCTTCCTCTTCCTTGATTTGCGTATATGCATAGCCTTGTTTGCTTCTTCTAGGGCCACAACACGCGATTGAAGGATCGCAGCTGAAGTAGCCATTATCTGAGCTCCCTTGGTCAGCTGATCAAGCGCTTCATATATAGGCGTTGGAGAACTGCTTTGATGCCTTTTAAGCCTT